GAGCGGCAACTCCTGAACCCATATGCTGAAGCCCACACACCCTAGAGTCCATGCTCCATGGGAGAAGCCGCTGCAATGAGAAGCCCAAGCACAGCAACTAGAAAGTAACCCCTCGCTCACCACCACTAGATGAAATCTCGCGAGCAACAAAGACCCAGCACAGCCAAAAGTAAATACATTTTAAAAAACTATTTAAAAAGAAATAAAATTATTAAAAAAACATGAAAACGTAGAAGGAAGGATACTGGCCAATAGCAGAATGCTGGTTATCTCTGAAGAGCCAGGGAGATGGGGAGATGAAGAAATGTACCTACAATATCAAGTCTATGCTTGTTAAACGTAACATTTGTTAGACCTGTGTGATATGTATACATGATTATTATTCTCTCTAGGTTTTGAAACATTTCATTATTTTTAAAGTTAGGAAACATAGTTTATAGAGGAATATTATTAAGAGGATGTAATTGTTCTAAACTTAAACTATATTAATGGCTGCACAACTTGGTAAAATGTAGCAAAACAGCATTGAATTGTGTCCTCGAAATGAGGGAATTTTATGGCATGTAACTAACCCCTCAATAAAAAGTTGAGTATAAATATCACAGAGATATAAGGAATTCCCTGGAGGTTCAGTGGTTAGGGCTCACTGCCTTCACTACGGGGGCCCAGGTTCAATCCCTGATCGGGGAACTAAGATCCCACAAGCCTTGTGGGCAAAAAAAGGAAAAAAAAAAAAGTTTACAAAGGTAACTGGGCTGCAGGTTGGATGCATGAGACAAGTGCTCAGGGCTGGTGCACTGGGAAGACCCAGAGGGATGGGATGGGGAGGGAGGCGGGAGGGGGGATCGGGATGGGGAACACATGTAAATCCATGGCTGATTCTTGTCAATGTATGGCAAAAACCACTACAATACTGTAAAGCAATTAGCCTCCAACTAATAAAAAAAAAAATTTAAGTTAAAAAAAAAAAAAGATAACTGGGCTGCATGTGGGCTCTTACTTACACAATTAGGGATTGAACTCACATCTCCTGGAAATTGGGAACGCAGAATCTTAATCACTGGACCACCAGGGAATGTCCTCTGTTTTATTTTTTAAAGAACAATTAAAATGAGATCTATCCCTTCTAATTTGAAAGAGGACTGGGCAATTTAGCATTCATATGCCACCTGGTGGACAGAATTGGAAGTGCTAGAGTGAACAAAGGCTGCCCCGCTGGGACTGAAAACTGAAAGGGGCCCTGAGATCATTCTCTCTTTTTGTGTTGGGAAAAATGAGGCCCAGGAGTATGTCTTGAATTATTGGCCAAAACAAGACCATAACCCTAGTTACCCCCAACTCTTTACTCTTGGTTCTGTGTTTTTCTGCCTTGATCTCTGTCTACCTTTAATTCTGTGCCTACTTGGTGTTTTTGTCCTTTATACTAAGCATTGCAGGAAGTTCCAAGATATCACTCGTGTGCCACAGCTACTGAGCCAGTGAGCCGCAGTTACTTAAGCCCATGCACCTAGAGCTTGTGCTCCACGAGAGAAGTCACTGCGATGAGAAGCCCTCGCATTGCAGCTTGAGAGTGGCTCCCACTTTCCACAACCAGAGGAAGACCTAGCACAGCAACGAAGACCCAGTGCAGCCAAAAAGAAAAATAAATACATTTTTAAAAGGTCGAGAAATCCATGAAAAAGATGAACTGTGTCACTGTTCTGTTTATTCTGTGGAGGATAAGGATTAGGCATTGAATCAAGGTGGAAAAGAAAAGCAAAAGAAAATTAGAAAACTCATCCGGTGGAGATGCCCACAACCACTATATCCAAGTAATGCAGAACCCTGCCCCACGTCCCCAGCTACCAACATGATGCACTGGCGTGCCTCACGGCTCTTGAGCAAGAGGGTTTCCTACCAGATCAAATCTGCCACCAAATAGGACAAGAATGAAGGGCTTAGCCCCCTCTTCTAAGTCAATATAAAGGAAACCACCATTGAATGAACATCTGTTGTATACCAAGTATTTTCCCATAAGGTCAGCTCTAAGGTACAGAGAGAAGGATAGGCTCTTGGCTCCTTTGGGGGGCATCTCGTTTGTTACCTGAAATGATTCAGGCCAAAGGGTGTGAAAGTTGCCGCTCAGTGAGCAGGTAAGGACAGGCCTAGAGCCAGGTGACTGCTTCAGTCTTAGGCTTTTGACGACAAGGAGTGAGAAAAAGAAAAGAAAAAGGCTAATTCATCCTGCTTGTATGTCAAACAGGCTTTCAGGGTGGAGGGAGACATATTCTACCCAGTATGGTAACTTAAGGATCTACAGGCCTCTCTTCGGTGGGTCCATAAGACTCCAGCCCTGCCAAGTTCAGGTAGCAGGGTGCCCAGCATCAGCATTCCTCTTGGGCCAGGTCAACAAAGGTAATCTAAGAGCATAGCTGAGTAACCACAGTCCCGGTCAGGAGCCGCCTGTGTGCCCCTTTTAAGGTGCTGCACTTTTCCGTTCTGGGAAATTCTTGAAACTCGGGTAACTCACCAGCTCTCCCATTTGTGTCAGAGATGAACCCCAGGTCTTCTCCCTTCTCTCCCCTTTCCAAGCCCAAGTCCAGCCCAGTCCTATGTGGCCGTAACACCTAAGAGCAAGCCTAGGATCAGCTTACTGGAGGCTCCCGACCTTCATTCTTGGTGGTTAGCATGATTTTGGAAGCGTGGCGTTCTCCCTGGGATAGGGTTTAGCAAATAAATATGCAGAACCCCTGTGCACCTGAAACTAATCCAATCTTGTAAATCAAGTGTGTCTCAGTTAAAAAATCCAGGCCACCTGGTTAAATGTAAATTTCAGATGAACAGTGAATATCATTTTAGTGTAAGTATGCCCCAAATATTGTACCATATTTGACCTGACAACTCTACCCTGGAGGTTTCTGTTTATTCATTTATCCTGAGAGTATTCCAGAACAGGGATTGGCAAATGTTTTCTGTAAAGGGTCAGATAGTAAATATTTTAACCTTCTGGGCCACAAGGTCTCTGTTGCAACTACTCAATTCTGCTGTTGTAGCACAAAAGCAACCACAGACAATGCATAAATGAATAGTTGGGTTCAATAAAATTTTACTTATGGACACTGACCTTTGAACTTTATGTAACTTTCACACTGTGAAATATTATTCTTCTTTTGATTATTTTTTTCCCAACCATTTAAAAATGTAAAAATCATTCTTGGCTCACAACTTGTACAAAAACAGTAGTAAGGTAAATTTGGCCTAAGGGTCATAATTTGCCCGCTTCTGACCTAAAACAGGATGAAACTTTTGTCTGAATCCAAATCACAAGAGGATTTGTAAAGATACAAATCGTCAACCCTACTCCCAGATCATTTGATCCAGTATATCTGGGGCAGTGCCTAATAAGGTCTGTAAGTTCCCAGGTGATGCTCAAACCTGTGTCCTCTGGAGTGGAACGGCCAGGGATGTCCCCATCTAGAGTATTTTAAAATCTCCTCAGCTTTAGGAACTATCTTCTATGAGGATCACAGATCATATCTTCATTTGAGGTACTCCCTCTCCCCAACCATCCCCATTCTCAATAAGAATTTTTCTATGTAATTGCTTCTGGAATTTTTTCTTTCAGCTAGAACTCAGGACAGAATTGGGATGGGAGTTTCTAGTGCATTTGGTTTTTAAAAAGTAGTCACCCCCCCCCCCACCAAGTGCATTTAGGGGCTTTCCTGGTGGTCCAGAGGTTAAGACTGTGCTTTTACTGCAGGGGGTTTGATCCCTGGTTGGAAAAATAAAATCCCATGTACTACAGGGTGCGGCCAAAAGTTAAAAAAAAAACAACAATAAAAGCATTCTAAAATCTTTTATTTTGGAATAATTTTAGACTTCAGAGAGGGTGAAAAGAGGATTAAGTTTTCATATACCCCTCAACCAGTTAACATCTTACATTATCATGGTACATTCATCAAAATGAGAAACCACCATTAGCACAATACTATTAACTGAACTCTAGACTTTATTTGTGGAGAAGGAAATGGCAACCCACTCCAGTGTTCTTGCCTGGAGAATCCCAGGGACAGGGGAGCCTGGCGGGCTGCCGTCTATGGGGTTGCACAGAGTCGGACACGACTGACTTGACTTAGCAGCAGCAGACTTTATTTGAATTTCAACTCTTTTCCCCCTGATGCCCTTTGTCTGTTCCAGGATCCCAAGGACGATACCACATTATGTTTGGTCCTCGCGTCTCCTTAGGCATTGCTGGTCTGTAACAGCTTCTCAGTGCTTCCTTATTTTTCATGGCCTTGACAGTCCTGGAGCCTACCGGTCAGGCATTTTGTAGAATGTCGCTCAGTGCGATCTGTTTGATGTTTTCTTTGTAACTAGTCTGAGTTTATGGGTCTTTCAGAAAAAAAATACTACAGAAGGGAAGTTCCTTTTACATCACCTCAAGCTAGTAATGTTAACTTTGATCTCTAGGATGCTTCTTAGCAGGCTGAGCACCGAGGAAGGGGTGAAGGGACCTCGAACTTCTCTGGCTCGTTTCTCCTTATCGCTCAGCACCCCTCTTCCCCTACTGTCCCCGGGGTCACCCTCCCACAAGAGTTCCCGGTTCCTCAACAGTGAATCAAAGACAAGTCTAACTGGTCCTTCAGCACAGAGGAGAAACAGGATGAGCAGGAGCAGCCGAGCCCAGTCTTTAACCAAGTTTCTCCACTCCCCGCCTCCCGTCACTTTCCTCGCTCTCCACTAAGCGACTCGGAAGCGATATTAGTAGCAACGGCCGCTTCTAACGGCTAGGCCGACGCCACCAGCAGAAAGGAGGAAAACGAGCCACTGAAGTGACACGCCTGGCGGGGCGGGAGGTGCGTCGGGGATGCAGTTTGGGTGTCTGTGTTTTCCGCGCCGGCGTGTTCTGTCGCAGCCCCGCGACCATCGCGATAGAAGAGCGAGATCGGCGCTGGCCCTTTAACAGCCCCTTCCCGGGGGCCTGCCCCGCGCGTGCGCACTGCGGTTCTGCGCTTGTCATCATGGCGACGCGGGGCCATGTGCAGGACCCTAACGACAGGCGCCTCCGACCCATTTACGGTGAGTGCCTGGGGCCAGTCTGGTCGCCAGCCGAATGCGCCGAGGGCTTCCGAAGCCGGGACGAAGGCCCGGGAGGGGCGCTGAGGGGCCAGGAGCCGAGCCGGCGGGCACAGGGGGCGGGACGCGCGGGCCTCTAGGCCGCAGCCACGGGCCTCGCGTAAGCGCCGGCCTGGCTTTCCCGAGCTCTGAGTTGGTAGCGGCGCGGCCAGGGCGGCCGCAGGTCGGCAGAGCCGGCCTGACAGGCAGGCCCTGTGAGACACTACTCTCGCCGGGACCTGCGCTACCCGCAGGCTGCGTTGTCTGTCCGCAGGTGGAAGCTGGCTCCGGCATGAGGGTGGGACACCCCTGCCTGAGGAAAAATTCCTCACTGAAGACTTTTCACTTATGGGAGCGGGGCCTAAAGTGTTGCCTGACTAACTGTGCTTTGCGCTCAGGGAGAAACAGAGGTCCAGGGAGGGGAAGGGGCTGACGCAAGGTCAACCCGCATCGAGTGAGGAGCAGGCCTGGATTTGAGGCTCCCAATACAGAGCCCTTTGGTGGAGGAACAGCTGCTCTGAGCACACGTGGGAAGCGGGGGCGGCGGGGGGGTGGGGGGGTCCTTGGGCCCAAAATAGCGGTGAAGCGACCGCAATAGCTGGTGTCGGGGGGCATGCAGGGAGCGCTCTTCCTTCTTGTAGCTTCTCCTGTTTTTCCTTTGCAGTCTGCCTTCCGCGTGCTAAGTGGATCCCCTTTCATAACGCTTACCTCAACCCTCAGGCTTTAAGACCTTGATGGCATTCTGCTCTTCCAGTTGGGAAAAATCACGTATTTGAGTAAGGGAGAAAAATATCTTCAGTAATCGAGACGTTCTGTAATTGCAAAGTGGTCCCGTTTGTATTTCCTTTCCCCTTAGATGCTTGTGTGGTCTTGGTCTAGTTTATAGTGAGGAAGGCTTCAAGGTCAGTGGTTTTTGCAAAAGGAGGCCTCGTGTTTATAGGGTAGATGTTACTTAAATGGAGGCTTCTCCTCAAGGCTGAGGTGATTTAACTTTTTTGGATGGGGGTAACTATGTTTCTGGTACAACTGGTAGTGCTTTTTGTAATTTGTATGATGTTTTGCTCTCTAGTCTTATTTGAGTCTAGCAACAGCCTTGTTGATAACAATAATAATTATTATTATTAACAGCAATAGTAATAATGTGGATACTCTGCTAATTATGTCAGTCACTCTCCTTGGCCTTTTATATTTATTATTATTTGATCTTCACATTTTCTTCTGGCGTGGGTGGTTTTCTCCAATCCCCTTCTTCCTTCCTCTCCCCCTCTTCTTTCCACAGATGAGGAAACTGGGGGCTTTATTGATGTGTAATTTTTCTAAGGTCACTCACCTAACATGAAACTGGAATCTTAACCTCTGTGGACTGTCCCAGACTTACTCCTTAACCACTGTGTTAGAAATCACCTTAGTTTGAGCTGAAGACACTGACTTGCCAAAGGTCACATAGGTGGAGAGTGGTAGATTTCCATTTTCCCAGGGCTGTAAAGTCTTCTGTCCTCCAGTATACATTTTAAAGGGCAGAGATGAAGTATACAAGGGTGACTTGAGTATACCAGGGTGAATCCAGAGTTCACAGTTGGTAGCTCATTACTGCTTTATAGCAGCTGCCTGCAGACTTTTTTTTTTTTATTGTAGTGGTTTTTGCCATACATTTTTTTTTTTTTTAAGATTGAATATTTTTAAGAATAATTGAATTTCTAAAAATTGTTCTTGAGGACCAAAGAAAATGTCTTTGGTGCCCTGTAAGTCGCTTATAATTAATACTGTTTTGAACTATCCAATAGGAAAACTAGTCCCTTTCACATTGTTAAACATCAGGCTATGTTAACCAGATACATAGGTCATATTCTTAAAACTAAAGCCATAATTATGTAGCTTTTCTTATAGTTACTTGGGAAGAAGATTAGAAGATACTTTCTTTAGGAGTTCAAAGGCAATTAATATACACTGGCAGAATTAGGAAAAGGACTGCCCTTGACTTCAGCACTTCTGACTTTTGACCTCTGGACCTTGGGACAGCCTCTGCTTTTGTGTTTAAATACCTTAGTATCCCTAAACCACTATTGTCCCTTGAATTTATTTCATTAGCTGACAGATGAATGAGCTGATGCTTGGTGGTGCTTACCCACTAGCCCAAAGTTCAGCAACACTCAGCGTTGGTTGAGTGCTTGTTTGTGTGCTAACTGTCCTTAGGTAGGTAAGATTATTGTGAGCATAGTAGTAAACTGAAGGCCAGAGATTAACTTGCTCAGGGTTGTAGCTAGTAAAGTGTAGAGCTGGAATTTGAACGTGGCCATTTTCACTGGTCATGTATGGATGTGAGAGTTGGACTATAAAGAAAGCTGAGTGCTGAAGAATTGATGGTTTTGAACTGTGGTGTTAGAGAAGACTCTTGAGAGTCCCTTGGACTGCAAGCAGATCCAACCAGTCCATCCTAAAGGAGATCATTCCTGGGTGTTCATTGGAAGGACTGATGTTGAAGCTGAAACTCCAGTACTTTGGCGACCTGATGCGAAGAACTGACTCATTTGAAAAGACCGTGATGCTGGGAAAGATTGAGGGCAGGAGGAGAAGGGGACGATAGAGGATGATATGGTTGGATGGCATCACCGACTTGATGGACATGGGTTTGGGTGGACTCTGGGATTTGGTGATGGACAGGGAAGCCTGGCGTGCTGTGATTCATGGGGTCGCAAAGATTCGGACACGACTGAGCGACTGAACTGAACTAAATTCTCACTGGAGAGCTCAGCCCTTACTGAGTTTGGATTCTGCAGCCTCACTGTCTTTTGTGCAGCATTATTTATATTACCAAGGTTTAGGATTTTACAACTGTTAGAAACTTTGCCTATGACCTCAGCTTTTGCCAATGCTGTTGAGGGTAGAAGCAGACAGGGTGATTAATTGTGAAATTATGGTAGGTTGAAATTCTGTTTTTGATGTCTCCGTATGTAATAGCTAGTTGTTTAGTCAAATGTCTTTAGAGTGCGTCTCTTTACTCATAAATTGGTAAGTTTGGGTATTGCATTTTTGGTTTTTGAAAACCATCTTGAGTTTCTCAGAATGCCTACTTTATTGTTTTCTCCTTTCACTAAAATTATTCTCTTGTACTTTGTGGTTCTGAACAGATTTTGTATTCCCATTTGACTTGGTGAGCTTCTAGTGCTTTCTCCTACCATTATTATTTTTAAATGTTTTTGGTAGTAAGTGTGTAGAGTTGGAAGTGATGGTCAGATATGGCACTTAATAAATTTTTATAGGATGCAGGAATTGTAAAATAAAAATAGAGAAGTTTCAAAGAAAAAATATCTCCGTAGTCTTTAGAATACACACACATATACTTTTATGGCACAAGATCCTTTCTAATCTTTGTTACTGACTTACGGTCTTTTTTTTTTTTTTTTTTTTTTGGTATACTTATTTTAAAAATTTTTATTGGAGTATAGTTGAGTTACAATGTTGTGGTTGTTTCAGGTGCACAGCCCGGTGACTCAGTTACACATATATTCATTCTTTCTTAGACTCTTCTCATAGAATGTCACAGAATATTGTGCTACACAGTAGTCCTTATTGGTTACTGACTTGCAGTCTTGCTCTAGCCTGAATCATGTGTAACCTATTTCCTAGCTGTGTTTCCTGAATGATAATCACTTCTTTGGTGCTTTAGGACATTTCCCTTCCATGTGTGGCCATACCCCAGGTAATTATTTTGCTATAGTTCGTTATTAAAACTTCCCAAGTCTTCACATGATTGTTCTATATATTCTGAACCTTCTGTTGGGCGGTGTTAGCTCAGTGAATCTTGTCCTGTTTTGCCCCAGAAGTGACAGGGTGTCTTGGTGAGTGAATATTATCTTTTCTTTCTGTAGAAAAGTCACTTGGCACAACCTGTAGTCTTCTGTTCTGAAATCTTGACCTTTTAAAAAGCTCTTATTAGACTTTGAGATTCTAAAAACATTTTAAGCTTAGAAACACATGTTAGCACAGAAAAGTCCTAGAAGAATGCAGAGTAGAGGATGGTGGGTGCGTAGGGCAAGATGACGAGACTAATAATTCTTTTCTGTTATACCTATATGAATCACTTTTTTTTCCACTATGACTGTATTATTTTTATTATTTAAAAATTAACTGAAAAGACTTTTAAAAGTCCAGTTTGATCATGGGAAGCCATCACTAATCATTGTTCCTTGAATATCCTGTTGTGGTCACTTTGTATGTATGTGTCTCTTTCTCCCTCATTGTAAAAGGATAACTCTGAATACCGTGTGGGAAATAGGTCTAAAAGGGACAGATGCAGGATGGAAGGCCATCAGTTTTCAAGGCATTATTCGTTTTTAAGTTCAATCATTCATTTTTAAGTTCAACCTCACCACCCCCCATCTTGCACATTAGGTATTTAACAAAGGCTTGTTGATTAAATGAATGTTTCACCTACAATTTGTGTTCTTGGTAAAAGCAAGACTTCTGTTCTCAAACATTTAGGGTTTTTAAGCAAAGGACATTGTAATTTGAAAGTGGAGCTGTCTTGTATTCGGTTTTTTTTCTAAATTTGGAGCAATATCTTGACTAGTCTCTGAAGCCCTTGTAGGAAGTGAGAACAGTGCAGGTGATTTCAGCTACTCTGGAAGGTTTAAAAGCATTTGCAAGGACACCTAATTTAAAGACTTTCCTTTTATTTGTGAGATTGATCCCTTTTCTATTGTCAGTATTCCTAAGTATGATTGGACTTACGATTCTTAAGTCTTATGTTGGTCCCAGGGCCTCTCTACAGGGCCAGTAGACAGTAGGCCTGTCTGTGTCAGGGCCTACTGCTGTCTGTCTGCACCTGCAGGGAAGAGGAGCTTCTGTTGGCCGTATTACCCAGGAATTGGGGCTAACTCATTCGTTCAGCAGATTTTGATAGTCTCTTACCAGTGGTTTAACCCAGTGTTTCCCAGATTTCTATCATTCTTTTTTTTTTCTATCATTCTTTTATCCAATCTGATGATTTTAGCTATATTATGGTATCATCTGTACTATTATTTACTTAATATTTTTCTCTAAGTTGACTGTTAAGTTTATTTAAAAATAATCTATATTATTGGGTTTACCTGGTGGCTCAGTGGTAAAGCATCCACCTGCCAGTTCTGGTGACACAGGTTTGATCCCTGGGTCAGGAAGATCCCCTGGAGAAGGAAATGGCAACCCACTCCAGTATTCTTGCCTGGGAAGTCCCGTGGACAGAGGAGCCTGACAGACTACAGTCCGTGGGATCACAAAAGAGTTGGACACGACTTAGCGATAGGGCTTCCCTGATAGCTCAGTTGGTAAAGAATGCGCCTGCAATGCAGGAAACCCTGGTTCCATTCCTGGGTTGGAAAGATCCCCTGGAGAAGGGAAAGGCTACCCACTCCAGTTTCTGGCCTGAAGAATTCATGGACTATATAGTCCGTGGTGTTGGTGTTGCAAAGAGTTGGACATGACTGAGCGACTTTAATTTTACTTCACTTAGTGACTAAACAACAACAAATCTTTATTATTACCGTTAGTGGAAAATCTGTCACTTGTCCTGAGAAAACAAACCATAAGAATAAGTACATACAATGAGAATAAAACAATGTTATTAAAGCCTTACATTTTTTTTTTGTTGAACCAGTGGCATGTAGGGTCTTAGTCCCCTAACCAGGAATTGAACCTGTGCCCCCTGCAGTGGAAGCCGAGTCTTAACCACTGGCCCGCCAGGGAAGTCCCTTAACTAGTTTCTGATAGTTGTGAAACTCTCAATCTGAGACCTGTTACTTCTCTGTTTGAAAAAAATGGGGGGGAGGCATTAGCAAACATTAAAGAAGCGACAGACTAATACAAAATTGAGACTATCTCCTTAATATAAAGGAAATATTAGAAGTCAACTTTCTTACTGTGTTATCTAGTACTGCCTGCAGAGATCACCTAAAAACAGAGTGGTTGGAGTGATAACTATGCTCTGAAGAACACTGCTTTAACTGACACATTATCATCTTATTTCCTGTGCCTGATTTGTGGATGGCTGACCGACTTACTCTTATTAAGGGAACCATACCAGTCCTCGTGGTCAAACCACAATTACCCTTGAGTAAGCTTTTATAAAGACTTAAAAAAATAGACTTAGGATATCATTTTTCTTGGCTTGTTTTCACCAAGTGCTACATAATTTATATTACAAAGTCAGTGATGTAAAATGGAAATAAACATTTCCCAAAGACTCAGCAATCAATTAATCAGTAGGCTTCCAGGAAGGGGCAGCCTGACAGCAGGATAAATGTGGTGAGGTGTCTTAGTTAAAATTCTTTTGGGTGCAAGGAGCAGAAACTCTTTGATACAAGCTCAAGTAGAGGGAGGTTGTTTATAAAGCATTGTGGGAGCCTCGGGCAAGAATGCAATGTTCTAGAGCCTGATGGAAACTGGAAGGCTGTCAAGATCTGAAGCTTCTTTCTCAAATGCTTGTCTCTGCTGCTCTTATCTGTTCGTGTCTATTCTTTTCTCTGCTAGGTTCTTCAAACCTTTTTGTTGTTTTTTAGTGTGCTTACGCATCACTTCCACAGGGCCCAAATGTTGGCTGAAGATAGAGTAGGGAGAGGTTGTTTGCTTAATCAGCACTGCCCCCTATCCCCCCCATCTATTTTTTGATAAAGATAACTGACATTATTCTTTTATAAATGTTATAGGAATGAAGAGCCAAGAGATAACTCCCTTTTTCACTCCCCATTAACCAACTTGCATCTCCCAAGGCTCCTTCCAGATGGAAATTCTGGACCTGCCCCTGATAATCTCAAACTGAAAATATTTATTGCTTTCCAAATGGAATTCTACATAGCTTTCTGACACTAGGTTTCAGCATTGCAGTTATAGACTACCAGGTTTACCCAGCTTGGGTCAAATGTCCACTCCATTTGGCTTCAGTTACGTTATCTAGACATGCTCATCCAATTCTACCCCTTCATCAGAGTCTGTGGAAACCACTCCCAGAGAAGAGGGCAAGGGTACAGTATATATTAATATATAAGAGCCTTGTCAACAACAGAGAGGAAAAGTTAAGTGTCCTTCTAGTCCTGACCTCTGGTCTGATCCGTTTATGGGGAGATCCTCAGAGCTGGGGTTTTGTCAAAGATACCTACTCTTTGAGAAAGCTTCAAGATGTGGTCTATGAACCTGGAGTCTTACAGGACTGAGTCAGACATAACTTAGAACTCACTCTGCATGAGACCACCACCAGGTTATTAGAGAAGATTTCATTTATTGAACTGAAACGTCTCTCAGATATTCTCTAAGGACAAATGGTGGCCTGTCAGCTGAATTTAAGAAAACTGGTATTAGGCATTCAGGCCAAGATTTTGTGTGCTTTTAGATTTCTGTGATTTTGCTCTCCCTGAGTTTTAAGTCTTTGATCTTTTTTAGATTGTGATTCCTCCAGAGTAAGTTTTCTTAATCATTGTACCTAGCATTATTGGTGCTCATTGGTATTAAGTGCATTGAAGAAAGACTAGAGATGAAACTCATGTGTTCATGTGGTTGTTTTTTAAAAGCTGTGGCAAAGTATTCATTGGAGAAAAATTGAAGCCGTCAGGTAAAATGATAGTGTGTTTCTGTTATTTGGCCTTGAGCCACCAGACCATAGATGATTTTGAGTTGTTTTTGCCTCCTGTCTCCCTGTTGCTAACTTGGGACCTTGAGGAGCAAAGAGGGACCAGTTGTAGTAGTAGATTGTGAACTAGCTTGTGTTCAGCCATCTTTCTGTATTCTGAATCAGCAGCTACCACCCTATTTCCCATTTTAACACTTCTTACTTTCCTTTTCTAGAAATGAATCTTTGCTTTTATTAGATAAATATTTTTCAAGTTAATCAACTTTATTTTTCTAGAGCGTTTTTTCCTATTCACCCACACACCCCCCTCTTCTCCTGGCAGTTTCCCATGTTACTAACATTTGCACTGGTGTGGTGCATTTGCTACAGTTGCTGAGCCAATGTAATATGTTATTGTTAACTCCCTAGTTTACTAATTTACATTAGAGTTCATTCTGTATGTTGCACATTCTGTGGGTTTTGACAAATGAATAATTGACACATACCATCATTATAGCATCATATAGTTTCACTGCACTAAAAAATCCCCTGCTCTCCAGCTAGTCATCCTTCCCTCAGCTCCTGGCATCCACTGACTGTTCCACTGTACCTATAATTTTTGCGTTTCTCAGACTGCTATATGCTTGGAATCATATAGTATGTAGCTTTGTCATATTGCCTTCATTCTCTTGGCAGTGTGCATTGAAGAGTCCTCTGTTTTTTTCCTTTGACTTGCTAGCTCATTTGTTTTTATCACTGAATAATATTTCATTGTATGGATTGGATGTACCACAGTTTTTTATCCTTTTGCCTACCGAAGGACACTTTCGTTCCTTCCAAGTTGTGGCAATTATGTACAAAGCTGCTGTAAACATTTATGTGCAGATTTTTGTGTGAAAGTACGTTTTCATCTCATTTGGGTAGATAACAAGGAGCAGGATCATGTGGTTAGCGTATGTTTAGTTTTTTAAGAAACAGCCTGTCTTCCAAGGTGGCAGTGCCATTTTTGCATTCCCACCAGCAGTGAATAAGAGTTGCTTTTGTTCCCTGTCCTCACCAGCATTTGGTCCATAGATTAATTTGAGTTGTTCCTGTTTTGTCTGTTCCCATGCTGATTTGGGACCTCTAGCCAAGAGGGACCTGGTGGTAGTAGTAGGTTGTAGACTGGTCCACGTTTAGTCACCTTCCTATATATAGAATTAACATCTACCACTGTTGCCCATTTAACACACTTCTCATTTTCTTTTAGATCCTCTCATTTGGAAATTAATCTTTGCTTTTATTCTGCTTTTGAATAATAATTGATTGCTTTTCTTCCTTAACAAAATTTTATAGCAAGTCTCCATATTCCTTGTGTTTTGGAATGGGTTCCTAGGTTAGGGAGCTTAGAAGTCCATTTTTCTCCAAAGTCAGTGCCAGTTTCTGTTTCAGCTAATGTATATGAAAGAACTGTTTTTCGTACATCCTTGTCTACTCCTAATATTGCTGGATTTAATTTGCTGCCACTGTTACTATCTTTTTTTTTCCCCCAGCAAATTATTCTTAACTCTGTGGCGTAGTAAGTACACATTAGACATTTTATTGAGGGAACGTGGTCCGTTTGGTAGATTTGAAGTTTGAGCATAATAAGCTGTTTTTTAGATATTTTAATTTTTGTGTGACTAAACCCTTTTGTTTCACATAGGTAAAAATATTAGTGTCATCTGTCATCTCTTGAATCTTCATTAAAGACTAGTATAACTGAATTATATTGCCTTTGGATGAGAAATGACTATAACAGAATATAAGATTGGGTTCTGCATCATCCTGGCTGTTTAGAGTTCGTATCGCTCCGTGATATTTTTAAATACCAAATTAGAACACTTTCTGAAACATCTGATACTAGCCTATGCATTTTTCATATTTGTTGTTGAAGGCATATAATGACCCTAACTTCTGTTTTCATAGATTATCTTGATAATGGTAATAATAAAATGGCAATTCAGCAGGCAGATAAGTTGTTGAAAAAGCATAAAGATCTTCATTGTGCTAAGGTAAGTTCATTTGCCTTCGAGTTACTTATATTTGGTGGGTTATATATTGTAATCTTTAAAGGGAAAGGTGTTTCATTAATCTCTTTAGTGCCTGTGTTTTTCATAGTATTTCTTAGGCCATATATTTTCCTGATCCCTTAAATGCCATAAATAGTATTTAATTAAAAGCTCGCTGTTTTTTTCTTTGGGCATGACTTCTCTAATTTAATTATTCTATTTTCACAGGGCCCCTTTAAGGGGTGTTGTACATTATTTTTGTTTTGCTTTGTGCATTCTTAATATGACTGAAATAGGAAAGAATCTTTATTTGCTGATATTTTTAGTAAAATAGTTGATTCACAACCTAGGCATATCTTAGAATTTACCTTGTGCTTTCAAATTGCCTATCTTTGGTTCATATTTCCGTTTCTGTCCTTTAAAAGCAGTCTTGTCTTTTCTCTCAGGTGTTAAAGGCAATCGGTTTACAGAGAACTGGAAAGCAAGAGGAAGCTTTCATCTTGGCACAGGAGGTGGCCGCTCTTGAACCCACAGATGACAACTCGCTGCAGGCACTAACTATTCTTTACCGGGAGATGCACCGACGTACGTTTCTTTCTTTTCAGTGTTTGTAAAACTGTGCTTAATTTTTGGATATTTCTCGTTGACTTCTGTATTTGTCTAATTTACTTACCACTCATGATTTGATGGATGACAGCAGGTAAACTAATGCATTAATCATGGCCTGCAAAGGCTGTGGACAGAGTGGCTATTTTGCACATATTAGGATCCTTGAATTGGAATGAGGACTTGAATTTTATTTATGACATTTTTACCCGCTAAATGAAAGAGTTGCTTTTTCCCCACTTTAAAAAATGTATATTTTTGGCTGTACTGGGTCTCTGTTGCGTTTCGTTGGCTTTTCTCTAGTTGGGGTGAACGGGGACTACTCTCTGCTTGCAGCGTGCAGGCTCCCTTGTGGTGGCTTCTCTTGTTGCAAAGCGCGGGCTTCGGTAGGTGCAGGTCCTGGGCTCTAGAACACATGATCAAGCATGGGGCACGTGGGCTTAGTTGAGGCATGTGGGGTCTTCCCGGATCAGGGATCAAACCTGGGTCTCCTGTATTGGCAGCTGGATTCTTTACCACTGAGCCACCAGGGAAGCCCCCTTTCCCACTTTTTATTATGGAAAATTTCAAACAGAAACAGAATAACATAATGAACTCCAGTGTGCCTGTTACTCACCTTCAGCAATTATTGACACATGGTCAGTTTTAATCTATACCCCTCTGCCTGCCAGATTATTTCTGATGGTATCCTAGGTAGTCTACAGTTTCATCTGTAGATAAAGTTTTTCCTTGTTGATTTCTTAAAATGTTTTGTTATGAGATACATATCTTTAATAATACATGTTATAGAACAGTATATTTTATGTAACACACTAGAACATTTGATGTGAAGTAAATGAACATTCATTAAACCTACCACCCAGCTTAAGAAATCGAGCATTATTAGTATAGGCATACCTTGCAGATATCATGGGTTTGGTTTCACATTAGAGTGAATATTGCAATAAAGTGAGTCACATGAAGTTTTTCCCCAGTTCTCTCAACCTTTATGGAATTAAAGGGAGTTATGAGTCTTCTTCTGGGCTAGGCTTTGGCTTAAAGGAATATCGTGGCTGGTTGATTGTCTACCCAGATCACTAAAACTTACTCCAGGTCAGCAATAAGGCTGTTTGACTTTCTTATCATTTATGTGTTCACTGGAATAATACTTTTTTTAGGGAAGGGCTGCACCTCTTGGCTTGTGGGACCTGGTTCCCCATCCAGGGAATTCCCTGGAGTAGTACTTTTAATTTCCTTCAAGAACTTTTCCTGTGCATTTACAACTTGGCTAACTGGCACAGGAGGCCTACCTTTCAGCCTGTCTTGGCTTTCTACATGCCTTCCTCACTAAGATTAATCATTTCTAGCTTTTGATTTAAAGGGCCAGTCATGTGACTCTTCCTTTCACTTGAGGCTGTTGTAGGGTTATTAACTGGCCTCATTTCGATATTGTGTCTCAAAAAATAGGGAGGCCTGAGGAGAGGGAGATAGACAGGAACAGCTAGATAATGGAGCAGTCAGAACACACAAACATTTGTTGATTAAGTTCAAGGTTTTATATGGGTATGATTTGTGGTGCTCTCAAACAATTCCAGTAGTAACTTCAATAACCAGTGGTTGAATGTGCCTAGTGGTCCAGTAGTTAAGAATCTGTCTGCCAGTGCAGGGGTCACAGGTTTGATCCTTGGTCTGGGAAGATTCCACATGCTGCGGGCAACTAAGTTTGTGTGCCTTAGAGCTGGTGCTTTGCAATTGGAGAAAGCACCACAATGAGAAGCCCATGAACTGCAACTAGAGAGTAGCTCTTACTCACCACTATTAAAGAAAGCCCATGTTCAGCAACAAAGATGCTGCACAGCCAAATAAATTAATAGATTAAAAAAAAAAGATAACTGGTCATAAATCACCATAACTTTATAATAATGAAAAAGTTTGAAAGATTGTAAGAATTACCAAAAATGTAACACGGTGACACAAAGGGAGCAAATGCTGTTGGAAAATGGTGCCAGTAGATTGGTTTAGACACAGGGTTGCCACAAACCCTCAATTTGTAAAACACACAGTATCTGCAAATCACAGTAAAGGGAAGTGCAATAAAAAAATGAGGCATGCCTGCGATTAGAGGACTTCCTGTCTGTCCTTTGTCAATCTCATTTCCCCTTTAACTTTCTAAGAGGGATTTGCTATCCTGAATATTTTTTTTTCGTTCTCTTGCTTTTCTTTAAAAATATTTTCACATTTGTTTTTCTAAGCAATACGTTGCTAGTTTTGCTTATTCTTGGATTTAATGTAAATGGCTTCATACTGTACAACTTCTGTAACTTGCACTTTTCATCTAATATCCAAGTGTTGTAGTTAATTGTAGTTAATTCATGTTCACTGCCACAGAATACTTTTTTGGGTGAGTACACTAGAATCTAGGAATGGAGGTGTTAGGTCATAGGGTGTAGGTTCAGCTTAAAGGTAAACATGATGTCAGCTTGCTTCTAAATTTACCCTCCCACTAGCAGTGTATAAGAGTTCTAGTTGCGTCACATCCTTGTCATTGGTATACTTAGACTTAAAAAAATTTTTGCCATCAAACCATCATGTTGTGCCCCTAAAAAAATAGTTTTTGTCAATTATTTCTCAGTAAAACTGGAAAAAAAAACAAATTTTTTGCGAACCTAGCAGGCAGAAAATGTTATTTTATAGTTCAGTTTTGTTTTTCATCATATAAACAATTAAAACTAAAGAATTGAGATATATCTGATTATTTAGGGGTTATGTCAATTTAGTGCTGTGGATTCTCTCTTAGCATTAAAAAAAAATTATCCTACAAGTATTGGTTGAATGTTTTTCTATGACAAGTAGTGTACTAGAGTCATAGAGGAAAGGTATTCTTTCTGCTCTCATGTTACTCATAGTCTATAAGGAGAAATAGATCAATAGATAGTATATTGCATTATATATTAATACATTGTATAAGAAAGTTACTTAAAAGATTTAAAAGTGGCAGACGGAAGCAGTGATCAAACAGGTGGAGAAGAGATGGTGTCAGGAAAGGATTACATTTGAACTTGCATAGTTTCTGGCAGTGTGCATGGATGTGCGTGTGCTACGTCTTGTCCGACTCTTTATGACCCCATTAACTATAGCCCGCCGGGCTCCTCTGTCCATGGAATTTTCCAGGCAACAGTACTGGAACGGGTTGCCATTCCCTTCTCCAGGGGATCTTCCCTACCCAGGGATCGAACACACATCTCCTGCCTTGGCAAATGGATTCTTTACTGCTGTGCCCCCTGGGAAGCCCTGTTCCTGGCAAGAGGGGATTACATTTGAACTGGGTCTTAGCTGATGTTCTCTCAGTAGAAAAGAGAGGAAAGGGGAATCCAGGCAGAGGAAACAATGTGAAGTCATGGAGATATGATACAGGACAGGGAATCTCGTGGAACTACAAATATTTCGATGTAGCTGGAGCATAAAAGTGTCAGGCGGAAGGAATTTGGAAGAAGACAGAAAGGCTAGATAGATCCTGGAGAGTCTTATATGTTGCCAGTGTCATCAGGGGGCTGACGTAGTCCATTCTTTACTGAAAAACACCTAAGCAAGGGAAGAGTAATGATCAAGTGAGGCAAAGCAGATATATATTCTTCCTTAATGATAGGAGACATCTGTTTTCTCCAAATAGGAAAAAAAACTTGCTGCTAAGATTTGTTACACGTCAGTAATTAAAATCCTGTTTCTCTTTGTCTTAGCGGAGTTAGTCACAAAACTTTATGAGGCAGCTGTGAAGAAAGTTCCCAATAGTGAGGAATATCACTCTCACCTCTTCATGGCCTATGCCAGAGTGGGCGAATACAAGAAAATGCAACAGGTAACTTGATGCCCACATCTCCTGGGCTGTGGGATTTTCTCTGAAAGCCTTTTTACTGTGGTTTAACTGCAGTTGTGTGTGTGTGTGTGTCTGTACATGTATGCTTGCGTACATGTATAGGAGTCAATGTATGTATTTGTGTGTGTGGATCAACCTGGTATTTTTGTGTGTGTTTTAAAGATGAACAACTAAAAAAAAAAAAAAAAAAGATGAACAACTATTCAGATTCTTTAATTGATTTATTTGGGAAACGTGATTGTTCTTTTGTGGCCTAAGGTATGTTTTGTTTGGTTTTAGTAAGAACAGTCTAAAGGACAATCTTTAGATTGTCCCACTGCATCAGATCACAGGTATATTTTCAGAAAATGGGCAGAAATCCCAGAGCAATAACTGAACAGACTAGAAAGATTAGCTTTAACAGTTTACATCTATTTTGTAAATTCAACTGTTTATATAGCCTAAGATTTTTTTTTTTTTTAATAGCCTGCTAAGAATTTTAAATCCACAGAGGGGGAAAAAATATCTGTTGCTTGGGATGCTTTTTTTTTTTCCCCTTTGGATGCAGCTTCTCCTTCTTTGCTAGTTAGCACATTTTTCGTGTTCCTTGTATACCTGTGAAGGTGCCTTATTTGGATACATTGGGGCTGATACTTAAGTAAAACTGGCATCCCGGAGAAATGAAATTTGCCCAGTTAAGCTCATAAAGGGTTATGATGTCTAGCTAGAATTTTTTAAAGAAATGCTTTGTGTCTATAATATGTTCTGAAAGCAGTTATTTCCTACTTGGGTTTTTATTTGGTCTTATTTACTTGAAATATCAGGCTTCCCAAGTGGCTCGGTGGTAAAGAACCTGCCTGCCAATGCAGGATCTCCTGCAGGAGACACTGGTTTGATCCCTGGTCAGGAAGATCTTCTGGAGAAGGAAATGGAAACCCACTCTAGTATTCTTGCCTGGAGAATCCCATGGACAGAGGAGCCTGGTGGGCTATAGTCCATGGGGTCGCAAAAGAGTTGGACACAACCCGAGTGACTAACATTTTCACTTGAAGTATCAAACTGTAACATTAGATAAACCAGGGAAGGTGAAAGATACTGTATTAAGATAAATCCTTTAAAATCAATCTTTGTATTCACCTTGGCAAGTTTTTAAACTGGAAGAATTTTGGGGGGCCCAAATATAATTCTTTGAAGAAATTTTATCATTATTTTTATTTATTGTTGGAGTATATTCTCAGGAAAAGTATTCAGAAATTATAATTTTTCTTCTGTTGTAAAATGGGTATGTTTTTTAAAATTGGTAACACATATACATATAAATCTTTAGTATCATTTTTACTTCTAGGAGTATGTTTTAAGTAAAGCATATTAAATATACATTAATATGGACACAGGTAAAGAAATTACAGTTCACCTATATGGTGGAAAAACTACAACACCTCGTTCTCACTCCCTGCACCCATCCATGGTACTATGTGTCTTTATTTGTTCACATAGAAAGATATTCCCAGTAGTGATTGAAGAGAGCAGATTGTAAAATGGCCTTCTCCCACTCCTTTCCCATCCACCTCTCCTTAATAAAATATATCATTAGATGTATGTACTGAAATATTGCCAGGATATAGGGCTGTGGATACTTTCCAACTTACTTTCTATTCTTTCTTTTTTTAAAAAACTTTTGCTAATTTTATGATCCCACAAAATAAATTTTTGAAATATATATTTTATAAAATATAAACACATAAAATAGCAAAAAGTAGAAGTTCATGCAATGGCAATATTAAGGTAAATTTTGAGAAAAGGAAAAAATAATCTGCCACTTGATCAGATTTTATTTTTGTACGGTTTAACTTTATTTGTTGCCAGAGATATGTATAATTTTTCAGCTTGCTTTTTGGAGACTGTTGCTTTGACTTGGCTTAGTATACAGTTTCTCAGTGTTTTAACCATAGCTTGCTTTTGCATTGTCTTAGTCTAATGTATTGGAAGAATGGAGTCCTCTAGTGTTAAATGTCTTAGAACAGAATTTCTTAGTTCTGATTCTACCTTTGTTGCTGCTCAAGGTAGTCACAGTTCTTAGCACATATGTATGCTTATTTTGAAATGGGTATGTCCGTCTGGGGTAATAGGTATTTTATAAATGACATGCTATGTTTCATAAGAGTAAGGGCTTTTGTTCACTACTGAATCCTCAGTTCCTAGGATAACATATGCATGATAAATATTTGTTAAATAATGAGCGATTTGCATAAACTGGTTTAGGTAAGAGGGAGGGAAGCCAGGGAATCAGAAAGTTTAAGGATTTCTGCCCCACAGATATCTCCAGCAGGTAATATTTAAAGCCACCTTGAATAAAGAGTTGCTAGTTCTTCATATGATAGATGACTAGACTTTCCTTTTTCTGTTAGTGAAATTCCTCTTCTCTGAGTCACCAATTTGTGGCCACGTTTTTCCAACTTCTCTGTGGTTGGAAATTCTCTGTAGAAACAGAATGTTAGCACCTCTAAGACAGTAGGGTATAGGCATGAAATTTTTCTTTTATGTTAGAAATTCATATTAATTTTCCTTTTTATTTCTGTATGTTATTATAAAATGTTTTCTTTACTCAGAAATTATCGAAAAAAAATTTTTTTAATGCTTTCCACTTCATTTCTCCAGTTTGTTATTAGAAACAGGGACCTCAAGCCGTCCTGGACTCTCCTCCTTATCCTCTCTGTCCGTTTTGTCTCCAGTCATTTTTTAAATTTGTTGATGTGTAGTGAGTTGCTTTGCAGTATTGTGTCAGTGCCTACTGAACGGCAGAGTGAGTCGGCCGCACGTGCCTGTATGTCCCTTCCCGTTTGGCGTCTCACCATCCACACCATCTTGATTCTGCCCCCAAGGTGTTTTTGAGGTCTCTCTCTCTCTTTTTAGACTTCCCTGGCGGCTCAGATGGTAAAGCGTCTGCCTACAGTGCAGGAGACCCGGGTTCAATCCCTGGACTGGGAAGATCCTCTGGAGAAGGCAATGGCAACCCACTCCAGTACTCTTGCCTGGAAAATCCCATGGACGGAGGAGCCTGGTAGGCTACAGTCCATGGGGTTGAAGAGAGTCAGACACGACTGAGGACTTCACTTTCACTTTCTCTCTCTCTTTTTTTTTTTTGGCCACAGGGCTTGTAGGATCTTATTTCCCGATCAGGGATCATCCGACGCCCCCAGCAGTAAGAGCAGGGAGTCCTGACCACTGGGCAGTCAGAGAATTCCCTGTTTCATGTACTTGTTCTTGGTTTAGTTCTTCATTGCCTCCCCGATTCTTTCTCCCTATTTTCTTTCTTCACAGTACTGGTAAAACACTCTTTCTGGAAGAGTATAGATTTATACAGTGTCACAGTCTTACTCTGTATAGCCTCCTTTTTGAATGCCTTAATAACAAAGGTACCTCTGTCTACCTCTTAGCCCTTTTCCCTTCTACTGCTCTTAATTTTTTGCTTCAGCTGGATGTCCTACTTGTTCTTGTCAGCATGTCTTTTCTTTAATGTTTTTGTTTAGTTATTAATTTTGCTTCTACTAAGAATTGATTCACTCCAAATGATTATATGTATTTTTACCCTCACATCTTTGCTTTTAGACATTGTGTTTGACCTTCAAGTTCCATCTGAAAGACTGGTACTTTGGAGAAGGCTCTTCCCTACTTTTCTTTAAAAAATAAAAAGGAATAAACAGACTTATTAACCTTGCTTTCCTTGAAAACATCCTGTTGTTTAGTCGCCAAGTCATGTCCAACGCTTAGAAAATCCCATGAACTGTAGCCTGCCAGGATCCTCTGTCCATGGGATTTCCCAGGAAAGAATACTGCAGTGGGGTGCCATTTTTTCCTCCAGGGTATGTTCCTGACCCAGGGGCGAAGTCTCCTGAGTCTCCTGCATAGCAGGTGAATTCTTTTACTGCTTAACCACCTAGCAAGCCCCTGGAAACACCCTAGCATGGTGTTTCTGTATAGGATGTTTTTTTGGTTTGTGATTGTTTTTTTCGGTGGCTTGTGGGATCTTATTAGTTCCCTGACCAGGGATCAAACCCAGCCCCCATTAGTGAAGTACTGAGTCCTAACCACTAGACTGCCAGGGAATTCCCCATATAGGATGGTTTATTTTTATTGCCAAGAAAATTTTTAGTAGTCTGAATATTTGTCTTTTTCCCTAGCTTTTAAGTGCCTTGGGGATCAGGACTCAATCTTTGTATTCTTGGCAGGAATAGACATTTCCTTTCACTTAATGTAATAGGGGCTTCATGTATTTTTTTCAATAGTAACTGTGATAATTAGCTGACAGAGTTCTTAGCATTGGTTATTAATTGGGCAATTATGGACAGATTCTCAGTTTTACATGAGTAGATTTTTGCTCCTTTATGCCATGTTTCTGCTTTTAAGTATTTGAGTATTATACAATGAAAGGGTTCAATTCTAATTAATGGTATCTTGAAAGAATTCTAATATTTTCCTGACCTAAGAATTATTTTTTGAATAATGTCAGAGTAATTTTGTCTAACTTTGAAGTTTAAATATGCTGTATTTTTTAAAATTTTACTGTAATTGATTAGTGCAGTGGCTTCAGTGAAGTTTGTTTATTGATATATAGTCATAAGCCACATTTGTTTTTGCTTGGTTGTCTACCAGAAATATATTAGAATGCAGTATTGTCTAGGAACACTGGGCTTCAATTTGAGAAAATGTGATTTAAAAGGTGAAATACCATTCCTGATCTTGTAAAAATTCACTGTTTTGATTACCTCTCTTGTTAGCCTATAGATCATATCCATCAAGTTACTAGGCACTTACAGTAACTGGCATATGTAAACATGTGGTTATTTTCCTTGGAAACTTCTTGCCACATATCATTAACTGCTCTCTGATGTTTTCTAAACAAACTATTTATGGCTCTCTGTCTTTCAGGCTGGCATGGCTCTATATAAGATTGTCCCCAAAAACCCTTACTACTTTTGGTCTGTGATGAGCTTAATTATGCAAGTGAGTATGTCATTCAGAATGGGATTGAGATTTGTTTTTATTTTTGTGTACAGTAATTGTCCTTAATGTGTCCTCTGAACATCTTGGGTAATGTATTGCAGCATGTGTCAAACAGAGACTTGATACACTGTCAGCTGATATTTTTTTAGTTGGGGAGTTTTGGTATTCTTTATGAGTTGATATATTGGTTTATTTGTGTGTAATACAGAGTGTATTTCCCCTTAATCTTAGATCTATTACTAGGTTGCTTAATCAAGTATGAGCCTGGAAATGTTTGATACTGTTGGGTAGTCAACAGATCATTGAACTGGGTGACCTGTTTTGTCACTTCTTTCTGAGCCTCAGTCACTCTTCTGCAGAGTGGAGATGCTTATGTCCCAGAGCCACTGTGAGGACCAGAATGAGACCCTGTGTATGAGAGGATGGGAGGAAGGTGCTAAAATGTAGCAGTTTAGAACAGAGAGGCTCAAAAAAAAAAAAAAAAAGAACAGAGAGGCTCAGACTAGTCTCCTTTTCAAATACTGAAAATCAAATATTTTCAAATAAAGACATGGGCTTTACCCCATGTCTTGAGCTGTTGGGAAATCTTTTTAACCTTAGTTTATCTGTAAAATAAGCATAATAACTACTCTGAAAGATTATTTACAGGAGGCAAATGAGCTCGGAGCAGAATCTTTGGCAATGTTGAAATGATTAATATCATGCAGTGATTTTAATGATCAGTCTGAGGCAACTGTAGCTGTTAAGTAAGCCATGCTATAAATAGAAGAAATTGGCATTTCCTTTATAATATGTGAACATCCCAGGAAGACATCGCAAAAGCTTTTCTCTTCAAATGCTTGGTACCATTTATCTATAATAAACAGTATAAACGTAACCTCTCAATATATTTCGAGAAAAATGTTTGAGTGACCTATTTAAAAGTTAGGTCATATTGTAGAAATGGTTTCAAGAATGTGTAAGATAATAAATCTTTAGTAAAGAAATCTCTTGTAAAGCAAACCATCTCTAATGTATCTTCTTTTAAATTCAAATTAGGTCTGATATTTGACATAGTGGTTTGTTAATTATGGGCCAGAGTCACAATAATAATCTGCCCTGGCCATAATATAAATAGTGCAAACAGGGAAGAAATTAGAATGAAACATGTATCTTTTCTCCTCCAGTCTATATCAGCCCAAGATGAAAACCTCTCAAAGACAATGTTTCTGCCCCTTGCTGAGAGAATGGTAGAAAAAATGGTGAAAGAGGACAAGATAGAGGCAGAGGCTGAAGTGAGTAATTTAAACCCTGCTTCTGTATTTGCATGGTTTTGATATTGTTACAATATTACAAATTGTTGCTTTTTTACCTTTAGAGGACTAGTTCCTCACTTTTATCTTTTGTGTAAATGTGAAACTGTAATTCCCCAGCCTAGGTGTAGTGAATGAAGGAGCTGTTGTTTCTTGCATGCTTCCAAGTGTTCTCTGTTGAGATAAACACAGATAGGGGAGATAGTGTTGCCTGATTCTCACTGTTAATTTCATCTTATTTGAAGATAGTGTTCTTTTCTATTAGCTTTTTAAAAAAATGACATATCTCTTTATTATTGAAAAGTTTCAGTGGTTACACTTTTTGTTTGTTTTTTCTATAAGGTTGAACTTTATTATATGATCCTGGAACGTTTGGGAAAGTACCAAGAAGCCTTGGATGTTATCAGAGGAAAATTAGGAGGTAATTGAGGGCCTGTTTCTTTACATACTTACCCATCTATATTATCAAACTTTTTGTTTTTCAGTTAGATAAAACATACCTTACCAGTTTTTTATTTAGCCATGAGGGAGCTTAATTATTTTTTCAATTGTTTAAAAATCATTAATGTTTTCTTCTTCTCTGAGCTGCTTTTCCTTAGTCTTTCCCTATTTCTAAAAATTTGATTAATCTTCTTATTGATTTGCAAGAGCACTTTACATGTTAAAGAAGTTAGAGCTCTTTTCTGTTGTGAAAATACTTTTTTCCTTTTTGTTGGAAAATGTGTATGAACTTCATAGATGGTGTTAACTATTTCTCTATTTTTAGACATTTATAACAAACAATTTGTTTCCTAAATATTTACACATTTTTGGTTTTCTTAGGAGAGATTCATGGGAATGCAGTTATTGTTTTGACAACTCTGGTTTTTCATTGTGACTTTATGGTCAGTTTCTTTTATGGCCTCATAACTCTCATTTGGTCCAGCCATGAAAAAGATGTTGTTTCATACAAGTAATGTATATCCTTTACTGAAACCATAACAGTAACTGATAGTTTTAACTGTTTTAATTGTATCAAATGTAGGAAGAGTTTTGTTTTTATTTTTAATGTTACTTTCTAACTTTGGCCTCCTTGCAGGTGAATAGAAGTCAACTTTGTGTTTTTATTCAGTTAGGTTGTAGTTCTATGGATAGTTAAAATTTAAATTCTCTATAGAAAATTCATAATGTAATTGTTGGCATCCTTAATCTGCTTAATCTGCTAAACTGTTTTAAAAGAACAGGGCAGATATCATTTGATCAGAAATTTTATCCTGTTTTTTTTGTTCCCAGAAGAGTTTGATTCATTTCTTTTCTTTTAATCTTCCTCGTAACATCTCCCCTTTCTCATCTCGTTTAAGTCCAAGCTTATTCAATGTTTTGAAAGTGTGTGAATGGTCAGTCTATGGTCTAAATATACAAGTCCTCAGATACTCTTGGGATTTTATATGTATCCCATATACTAGATCTTCAACTCAATATGTTCTGGATCCTTTTATTTTATAGGAAAACAGGATTTAAAAGTTTATATCAGAAATATACTATTTTTCTTTTCAGGAAAATAACCTTTAGTGAGATAGAAGTTTGTATCTAATGGTGGTCCCATTTTCTGAGAGACTGAATAAGAACATGTGACAGTTTCCTTATTGTATTTGGACTTTGTTCTGATTTCTGAGTGAAAATGAAACCAGCTTTCTAACTTTTATTACTTTTAATTGTAGAGAAGTTGACAAGTGAGATTCAGAGTCGGGAAAATAAATGCATGGCTATGTATAAGAAACTGAGCAGGTGGCCAGAGTGTAACGCCCTTTCGCGGCGCCTCTTACTGAAAAAGTAAGTAGATGCTTCTTGGACTATGAGAGTAGAGCGGGGCTTTTTGATTTTTTTGGACTATATCTTTTGAGATTTCTGGGCATAAAGTGAAGTCCTTTAGTTGTGTGTCCTGGATACTTTTTAAAAGTTTTTGATGAGCCTTCATCTTACAGTAAAGGGGTATAGTGAAACTTTTGCCACCAGGATGCTGAGTATTCAGAATGAATGCTGAAATTTCATTAATTTGTCGAACTAAGTATTGGTCTTCCCCCAGCCCACCTAGGAAGCACTAATGTGGTGGATTTTCTATAAAGAATATTAGTTTTTTAGACCTGGTCATTTTATTGAAGGAAAGAATAGCTTCTTAGAAGTGTTTGACCTTGAAAATACCTTTGGAGTTGCTGCCCTTTTAGGGCTGTAGAAGAAACCCAGAGGGAAGATTGGATTTCTCCTAATGAAGACTAAAATATCACTTAGAAAATAAGTTGAGTATCATGGTTCCTCAGGCAGATTTGTCACAACTTGGGTTTAATCCTGTGTGCACCATTCAATCTGATTTTAGCTCAGATGACTGGCAGTTCTATCTGACTTATTTCGATTCTGTCTTTCGACTGATTGAAGAGGCCTGGACTCCTCCTGCTGAAGGTGAACAGTAAGTTGTCTTCTTTCCTGTATTACAGCACTTTTTAATATGTTGTAGCAAAAAGATTTCCTTATAAGCCTAATTGAATTCTCTGTCTCAATAATGTATCCCTTTCAAAGAAAGATTTTTTTTTCCATTTTAAAATTTTAAAATAAACACATGTCCATTGTAAAAATCCTAAATTAGCACAGAAACTATGGTGTGAAAAATCTTAGTTCCTAGTTACCCTATCATCCCAGGATGGTTTTTCTCCCAGTTTTATTGAGATACGATTGACAGAAGTTACTCTTGATAATATTTTGATATCTTCCAGATTTATTTGAAAAAGACTTTGGTGTCTTTTCTTCCAAATTTATTTATATTATGCATATACTAACATAACTATTCTTATTTAACATAAAAATGAAATTGTTTTAGATGTAATGATTTACAACTTGGTATTCTCCCACCTTAAAATGTATCTTGGGCGTCTTTCCATATATAATAAACACAGATTTGATTAATTCTTTTTAGTGACTTAAGAGAACTCCATTTTAGAAATGTATAAAATTCATTTAATCTGTCTTCTGTTGATGGGTACTTGTATTGTTGCTGATTGCTATTTTGGGGGCTACTACAGACAGTATTCATAAATAGGATCTTTTAAAAAAGTGAATAAGGAAATAGGATTCATGATAACCAATTATGAACTGATGCTTACTTTATAATGTTAGCTACGTCTCTAATTTTTTTCAGCCTCATTTTCTTAGCACTAAAATTTACTTATATTTTTAATTAGGTAATATTTCATATATGCAAAATATATAAATAATGTTTTTTTAAGAAAACATAGAGGTGGTTAGTCTCTGTAATAATCAGATGCCAGAACTGGGAGGAATCATGTGTCATATTAACTGTCAGAGTATGCTCATGGCTTTTATTCTCATTTGTATTGTTTTATTGTTATCAGATACTTTTTGTTATTTTTAATTTGTTTCTTGAAATCAGTTTGGCTTGACTTGTAAGTTTTGGCACAAAACAACAGAGGCACAAAATACCTTTTTCATGTGTTTATACCCAGCTCTTTAGAAGGAGAAGTACATTATTCTGCAGAAGAAGCTGTGAGGTTTATAGAAGATCGGATAACAGAAGAATCTAAAAATTCTCGCCATCTCCGAGGACCACATCTAGCTAAACTGGAGCTGATTAGACGTTTACGACGTCAAGGTTTTAATGATGAGTACAAACTGGGTAAGAAGCTGTAATAATATTTGGGAACCATGGAGAAGGGATAGGGACACACTCAGTACCCAAGGGCAGTATCTGTTCTCTGAGGCCTACAGTGATAAAGTTGTGTTTTGCAAAGCAAATGTCTTCATAACCTGAAAAGACTTACTGATGAATGGATCACTAATAAAATTAGGCCTCAGTCACACATGCAACTTGGCTTAACTTTAACATTTCTCTCTATGCCATCAGAGTCTTTGTCAGGCATTCTTTTGCTGACCTAACAATAATATCAAAATCAATTTCAAAGTAAAATAGCCAGTTCTGTAAAAGTTCCAGGATTTCAATAAATGAATGAATGAATTTCTTGAAAATCTGATCTAAGCACTCAACAAAACTATTGACAAAATAACTTCTGGCCAAGTTAGAGCAGTTAACAGTTGAGGAGAAAATTTATAAGGATAATGACAAGATGGGAGAAAAGAATGATTTGGATAGTAGAGCATTAAGAGAGACCTTCAGGAAATTTGATGAAGCGCTTAGATGTTTTTGTAAAATGGTTCTTGTTGCATTTACTGCGCAAGAAGTGAATGTGGTCATATTGTACTAGTTCACAGTTTGATGGGGAAAAAGCACTACTCCCAGCCCAAATCAGCTCATATTAAGAATTAGAATTAGCTTTAGTTTTAATTATACCCTAACTTTTTTTAGGTTTAGGATCATGAACTTTAAAAACATTTTCAGTTTCTTTTTTTTTTTTTAAGATAAAGCTCCAAAGAACCTTTCCCATTCCCCCCTGCCCCCCACCTCATTCATCATTATAGAAGTTTGGTCCTCATTAAAACTTGATTAACTTTAAGAGGGTTTTTTTAGGGACCAGTTGTCTTCAGATGATGAGCACTTCTCAATACCTAAAACCTATCCTAGAACATCTCTGTCCCTTCTAATCATGTAATTAGTGTTCTCTGCAGTTTATTCTAAGATTAACTGGCTATCTCTGTCATTCTGTATGTCGATTATTCACAGCCAGTTTTGAATTCCATGTTGACTTCTTTCTTTGCATCTGCCTCAGTCACTTTAGTTTGTGTTTATTCCTGAATTGCAAATGAAAAATTTTCACGTGACTTTCAGCAAAATATTGTTAAAATATATTTCAAAGAATTTTTTTTTTCAGATTTCCCTGGTGGTCCAGTGGTTAGGACTCTGCTTCCACTGCAGGGGACCTGGGTTTAATCCCAAGTTGAGGAAGTAGGATCCCACAAACTGCATGGTGCAGCCAAAAAAAAAAATTGCTTTCTTTCCAAAGCTGAAAGAAAACTATTTGGATCTGCTCTCACACTTGCTATTATATTCATCCCCTATCTTCCTCTTCCCTCTCACCCACCTGAATCTTACAAATTGGATTTGTCTAATCTCCACACACAGAAGAAGTTTTTGTCTTTTTCTTACCAGTGAGTGATTCTTAGTCTCTTTTGGATCACAAAGACCTGTGAGAATCTGATTAAAGCTGTGTGATCGCCATTCCTAGGAACAGAGAAGGAACTGAGACCTGAAATCTGAACAGAGATCTTAATAAAAATCTCTGCTTCTTAAGTCTAGTTCAGTTTGAGAGCATTCTACTTTTATTATTTTTATTTTTGAGGAAAAATAAAATGAGCTGGCAGCTTTCTGCCTACCCAGGTTTAAATTTTACATTGTGACTTGGGAGTTATTGGCCCATGGCTCTTCCCATTGACTTTCTCTCTGTTGGTGTGCCTGTTAACAAACATTATCTTTCATTCAGTTAACATTTATTTAATATTTGTTAAGTAGTTCAAGAACTGGAGAAAAGCATGTTTGTTTAATGCTTGCATATAGACTCAAGTATTTAAACTTTAATGAAAACTTTTTAACTATTTAAACTTAATTTGAATGCAAAACTTCACATTTCCTCAGTGCAATAACTGAGTTGGTAAGATTCAACTTTTTCCAGTATTCGTTTATTTTTAAATGAGCAAGCCATCTTCCGGCCCTCATTGTCATCCTCATTCTCATTGAAGCAAAATTTTCATTTAATTGAAATAAATGTTTCTCAAATCAGACTTATCACTTAAATTAGAAATTTCTTTAGTCCATGTATTATATAGTAATATTTTACCCTCCTCTCTCTTAGGTGATCCAGAGGAATTAATGTTCCAGTATTTTAAAAAGTTTGGGGATAAACCTTGTTGTTTCACAGACCTCAAGGTGTTTGTTGACCTCTTGCCTGCTACACAGTGTACAAAAGTAAGTAAGGTTCTGTTGGTTACCTGTATTTATTGTAACTAGTTAAGGGTTCATGTTTCTTTTCTAAAATGGCTGAAAGTAGTGAACATGAGATTATCAAGATATTGCTCTATCAAGCCAAGTAGTCTAGGTGCTATCAGATTTAAGGCATAATTCCTTGTAAAGCTGAGCCTCAATGAGAATAAGCCCCTGGTAGGTAATTGAATTCTCCTGTTCTCTGTGTGTGTATGTGTGTGTGTGTGTATAGAGAGAGAAATGCAGTTGTAAGGGAAATAATACAGAGAGATCTGTTATGTCTTTCACCCATTTTGCCTAATGGTGAGAGCTAGCATAACTATGGTATATAACTAATTATATAACTAATTATATACCATAATTAGGAAATTGGCATTGATAAAATCCACTGACCTTATTCAGATTTCACCAGTTTTACGTGCATTCATTTGTGTGTATATGTGTGGTGTGTTTGTGTGTGTATATTTAGTGTGTGTAGTGCATGTGGATTCATGTGGCCACTGTAGACAAGATGCATAGTAGTTCTGCCACCAGAGTGCCCCCCATGTGCTGCCTACCCTTTTCTGCCCATAGCCACCTCCCTGTATCTCCTCCTTTACCCATCCCTCTCCCTTAGCAACTGCTAATATGTTTTCTTTTTCCACAGTCTTATCATTTTAAGAATGTTATATAATGGAATCATATTATGTATAACTTTCTTTACTCAGCGTAATTCCTTGGAGTTCATCTGTGTTGTTACATGTACCATGTTCATTGCTGGTACAGCAGTATTATTCTGAATAATATTCCTTGATATGGATGTACCACAAGTTTCTTTAACTTGTTGAAGAACATGTGGGTGTCTCTGGTTTTAGGCGATTACAAATAGAGCTGCTGTGAACATTTGCATGCAGGTTTTTTATGTGAACCTAAGTCTTCATTTCTCTGAGAAAATGTGCAAGAGTTCAGCTGTGGGGTCTTAATGGTAGCTGCATGTTTAGTTTTTTAAAGAAAAGGCCGAACTTTTCCACAGTGACTAGGTCTTTTAAATTCCTGTGAGCTCTGTATGAGTCATCTGATTTTTCAGCATCCTCATCAACATTAGGTGTTATCTCAGTTTTTTATTTTTGCCATTCTAGTAAATATGTAGTGATGTTTCATTATGGTTTTATTGTGCATTTCCCTAATGGTTAATATTGTTAAATATTTTTTCATGTGCTAGTTTGCCATCTGTATTTTCTCCTCAGTGAAATGTCTGTTATTATCTTTTGCTCATTTTCTAATTGATTTTTTTTTTTTTTTTACTGTTGAAGTTGCTCAGTCGTGTCCAACTCTTTGTGACCCCATGGACTGTAGCCTGCTAGGTTCCTCCGTCCATGGGATTTTCCAGGCAAGAGTACTGGAGTGGGTTGCCATTTCCTTCTCCAGGGGATCTTCCCGACCCAGGGATCAAACCCACGTCTCCTGCATTGTAGGCCGATGCTTTGCCGTCTGAGCCACCAGGGATTTTTATTGTTGAGTTCTGGGAATTCTTTAGATATTCTGGATATAAGTCCTTTGTCAGATATGTGATTTCAAATATTTTTTCCCAGACTATATCTTGTCTTTTCATCCTCTTAACAGGATCCTTTGCAGAGCAAAGTTATGTTTTTGCCCATGTCATGGGACTTGCAGGATCTTAGCTCCCTGTCTGGGGGTCAAACCTCAGCAGTGAAAGCACTGAGTCCTACCCACTGGACCACCAGGAAATTCCCATACTTTAAAATGTTAAAGTTTGATGAAGTCCAGTGGACTTTCCTTTTAATGTCTTGTCTCTGATTTTTCAAAACTGTAGCAGTTAATTACTGATTGTGTCAAATCATGATTTATTCTTGCTGAAGCAGTCTGGAACTCAAATCTTAGGGATTTTTAAAAAATACACCTTGAAGACCCAAATAGACATTTCTCTGAAGAAGACATGCAGTTGGCCAACAGGCACATGAAAAGATATACAACATCACTAATTATTAGAGAAAGGCAAATCAAAGCTACAGTGAAGTATCACTTCATACCAGTCAGAATGGCTTCAACAAAAAGTCTGCAAAAAAAAAAAAGTCTGCAAATAATAAATGCTAGAGAGGGTATGGAGAAAAAGGAATCCTCCTATATTGTTGGTGGGGGTGTAAATTTGTGCAGCCACTGTGGAAAACAGTATGGCAGTTCCTTAAATAATTGAAAATAGAACTACCGTGTGATCCAGCAATCCTACTCCTGGGCATATAGCCAGAAAAGATGAAAACTCTAATTTGAAAAGATAACATGCATCCCAGTGTTCATAGCAGCACTGTTTATAGTAGTAAAGACAAGAAGGCAACCTAAGTATTCATCAGCATATAACTGTGTAAAGAAGATATGGTACGTGTATATCTATGTCTATATGCACACACATATATACATATATTGTTTAGTTGCTAAGTCATGTCGACTCTTTTGCACCCCTGTGGACTGTAGCCCACCAGCCTCCTCTGTCCATGGGATTTCCCAGGCAAGAATACTGGAGTGGGTTGCCATTTCCTTCTCCAGGGAATCTTCCAACCCAGTGATTGAACTCACATATCCTGCATTGGCAGGCAGATTCTTTACTATTGCACCACCAGGGAAGCCCTTACATACATACATCATAAACATACACACACATGAAATGAAATATTAGCTATAAAAAGAATGAAGTGTTGCCATTTACAGCATAGATGAACCTAGAGATTATCATACTAAACAAAGTAAGTCAAAGACAAATATATCACTTATATGTGGACTCTAAAAAATAATACAAATGAACTTATTTACAAAACAGAAACAGACTCACAGATGTAGAAAGCGTAAGCACGGTCGCCAAAGGGGAACAAGGGGGGAAGGGATAAATTAGGAGTATGGTGTTAACAGATACACACACTACTATATATAAAATAGATAAAAAGCACAGGAAACTGGATTCAGTATCTTATAAAAACCTATAATGTAAAAGAATCTGAAAAAAAATATAGCTCAGTCACTTTTCTGTATATCTGAGACTAATACAATATTGTAGCAACTATACTTCAATAAAATTAAAGAAAAAAACCCCTTAATTTTGTAATAACTACATTTATAGGAAAGTTGTAAATATAGTAAAGAAAGTTACACTATACCCTTCACCTAGCTTTCCCCAATGTTAACATCTTAAAAACAGTGGTACATTTGTCAGAACTAAACTGATACATTACTGTTAATTGGCCTTTAAACTTTATTCGTACTTCTGTGGCTCTTCCATTATTGTCCTTTATCTCTCCAGGGATCTAAGCCTGGGTACCATATTGTAGTTAATTGTCAACTATCAGGATTTTTTTTCATGTGATTAAATCAGTGTGAATCAATTACATGCTGAAGTGGCGAACCTTATCTTTAGACGCCTCATCCACAGCAACGTGTATTGGATCAGATTATTCACCCATTAATGAGAATTTCATACCTTCTTGCATATTAAAGGTTTTTAAGCGTTTAGCCCCGAGTATCCTTGGGTAATGGGCAGTTGGAGTACTCTACCAACGGAAGAGCAGTCTGCCCAAGGTAGGATAGAGCACTATATAAAGAAATACTAGTGTCTATCAAGAAAGTCTGTGACCTTTGGTGGAATGAGTGAAGCTCTGGGGGTGCAGTGGTGAAGACCGCAGCGTTGTCTCGTGGCCGCACCCTTAGTCCACCTGCGCTCAGTGCTGGCAGGCTTGAGGTTACACATCCAGGGCGGATGCAGCAGTGCTTTCCCAAACTGCTAAGTAGCCAGTGTTCTCTGTTGGATTCTGAAATGACTGCCACCGTTCACTTTGGTTTGGAAAAGGTTATTCTTGGAGTGCTGTTAAGCTCAGACGAAGCTTTAGAAGTTTTCTAGATAAATTATAATATATCCAGAAAAGAAGGTTCTGGGTTATACTTGAAAACCTTTGAGAAATGGTTGATTGGAAGAGAGATGTTTGGTCTGGTGCTAACAGTACTTTATGTCTCCTAATTTGAAAAGCTCTCCTGTAGAAGAGGATTAAGAACAGGGACCAACAAGAAGTTGTTGCAGGGAATCAAGAATTTGGCTCAGTGAGAAAAAGATCTTTTTTATAGTCACAGTTCTCTAAAAACGCAGCGTGTGAGTTTATCATGCTACTGGAGGTATTAAAGCAGAAAATAGAACCATGTGGGAGACAGATTCGTTCAGTAAGTGGCACCCATGTTATGTGCTGAGTGCTAAGGTAGGGAACAATTGACCATGCTTCATAGTGCTTACCATCTTGTAAATTAAAGCATCAAATGATGGGAATGCATTAGAGGAGTGCTTACATCTCACTAAGTTGAGATTCATACAAGTTTGCTAGCACCGTTTTAGAACCAGAAGCTCTACTTTATCGACATAAAATCTTAGGTTTGAAAATCTTAGGTCACCTCTGTGACACCATATAGTAATCTACTGGGAAGAACCCTCTAGAAATAGCGAAATACTAGCAGTGTTGAGGTGGTCATTGTTCAGTGAGACAAAGGGTTGAAAGCTATTGCAGTGAGTTTTGTAGTCCTGTGTAAACTTTTTAATTGAGAGGGGTGATTTTGCTGCCACAACTTTTTAAATGTAGGATGACTTCAGTAGCTAAAAATTCTGCCACTCAGCAGTATGTTTGTTAGAGGATTGTGGACTCTCCAAGTAAGGTTCACACTGAGAACTGCTGTCCCACTGAATTAGGAGACATGTTCTAAAATGGGACTGGCCCCTAAGAATGGACCATACAGTTCAGTTATCCCAAAGTGTCTCACCCCTGGTGACATTTTTATATTTTGTTTACTTTGTCCTGGGATTTTAAGTTAACAATAAAATAGTTCCAGTTTTTAAAGAAGCTTTTTGTATAGCAGTAAAACTGTAAAGACTAGAACAGAGAATGAACATATTGTTTTATGACAAAACCTGTTGGAAGGCCTTAATAATAAACATAACTATATGTATAAAATGGTTTACAAGAAATATAAAATGGCTTACAAGAATGGAAGAGCTGGCAATAAAAATTATTTGGGCATTTAATCAAAAACATGAAAACTAATACCACAGAGGTTTTGTTACAGATGTGGTTATCTGATCATAATAAAGTTAAAATTCATACAATTGCAGAGAAATTGAAGCAAAGTTATGACAGATGTGAAACTGCATGATGAGTAGGAATTTTAATTTTTATTTGTATCTAAAAATTACATGTATAAAATTGAAGTCAAATGGTACTACAAGGCTTATCTTGAAAAACAATTGCAGCTCTTTGCCTTCTCCAGCCCTGGTTCTGGCTCTGTGCAGACAAATTACTTTCAACTCTTCACTGTTTCTTTTGTTATTTAACGCTGTACTTCTAAATTTTACGCTCATATAGTTCTTTATTTTTATAGTTACAGTCTTCATCTGTTGGTATCCTATTGTGTGTGCTAAGTCATGTCCAATTCTTTGCAACACCATGGATTGTAGCCCACCACACTCCTCTGTCCATGGGATCCTACTGTGGAAAGCAATAATTTCATTTCTAACATCCTACTTCTTCCCTTACATACTTTCCCCTCAATATAGTATAGTCATTATTCAGTGTTTATATTTTTATGACTAAATAATCACAGCTGAGCCACTTTATATATGGAGATAATAGCTTTTTTACACAACTTTCTTTCTTGTTTTTGTTTTTTGTTCATTTTACCCCAGTCAGTCTGACAGAACCATGAACATTTGAAACTCCTCTTAGGGGGTTGTCTGAAATGTGAGGTTAACAGATCTGTTCCAGTCTCCCCTTGAGTCTACAGTGTCTCTGGGTTCAGCTTCTCCTGGGGATGAAGGAAAACCCTGACTTCTACTGGGTTTAGGAATTCACTCAGTGACCTTGGGAGGGATCTAACTTTTTAGAATTTAGCAGATTCTCCTGTTGAAGCTCCACCAGCACTTCAGCTTTCAGACATACTTCCTGCCTTTAATTTCTGAGTCTTCCAAAGCTCCGCAGCTAGAAGAGGCTTGCTGCTTATTGGTGGCCTCCCTGTTGCATACTGCTGGATTCCAGCATTCTTGACCCCATACGTTGGTTATTACAAGGCCTGCCCTTGTGCCTTTTATCTTTTGAAATCTTGTTAATGCTTTTTACTCGCTGTCATCTCTTCACATTTCACATGTTCTTGATCCTTATGAGTCCTTTTTTGTTCTTCACTGTTGTCTTCATAGGATCTTGGAAGGGAGTGAAAATAGCCTGTGTTTAATAAATATGTAGTTGGAACTTTTTTTTCTTTAAAATATTAATTTTGGATCATAAAATATAGAGAAGACACAAAATATAGTGACCCCTTGACTGCATTTCTCTTCTATAAACACCTCTGAGAACCCCAGGCTTGTGCTGCTCAAGCATTCTCTCACATCCTGACAGCTGCAAAGTATAGCATCCAAGCATGTGTGACGTGTAAACAGGCACCCTGACTGCAGTGTAGGGGTCCCTTCCAGTTAAGTCTTCTAACTCACTTTTGCCAGTATTGCAACTGAACTGGTTGTGGAACTCACATTTTTAAAAATTTATTCCAGATTTAGAGAATTAAACATTTTAATACAAGATGTTACCATAGGGATGGAATTTCCTAGTCCAGTGGTTAGGACTCTGATTCCACTGCAGGGGACCACAGGTTTGATACCTGGTCAGGGAACTAAGATGTTGTATGTCACACAGAGTGGCCAAAAAAAAAAAAAAGGTGTTATCATTGGAAAAACTGGGTGAAGGGTACACAGGATCTGTGTTATTTCTTATAACTTCATGCAAATCTATAATTATCTCAAAATTAAAGCTTTAATCAAAAAAACAATTTAAGGCTACTGACATTCCCTTCAGTGTATAATGTTTCCTTTAAGAATTTATTTGTAGTATAATAGAGTATTTGTTTTAGGGTAATTGTTCTTTTTTACAGTCTTCCTAAATAAACTTTTTCATTACTACATTGTATATTATGTTAATGCGTTGTAATTTAAGAAACATTTTCACAGTTCTTTTCATCTTTTAGTGCTTACACTGCATGGTGTTAGCATTAACACTTTTGACCAGTAGTGATTGTTTCACACGTGCCTGTTTCACTGGAGTTTCACCAGCATGTGTGCTGTTAGAAGTGTTTTGTTGGCAATTTTGGTAGATAGAAAATGGAGTTTTAATTTGTATTTCTCCTTGATGTCTTTTTCTAGACCATTTCGGTATTTGTTAATTGTGACCTACTAAAGATGAGTTCTATTTTGAGACCTGTACTTTTTTTTTCTTTTAACTTTGCAGTTTATTAATCAGTTACTTGGAGTGGTTCCTTTGTCGACACCAACAGAGGACAAGTTGGCGCTGCCTGCCGACATCCGAGCTCTGCAGCGACATTTGTGTGTGGTGCAGCTGACGAGGCTACTTGGCTTGTACCACACGATGGATAAGAGCCAGAAGCTGGGTGTGGTCAGAGAGCTGATGTTAAGGTACCAGCACGGACTGGAATTTGGTGAGCAGCCTTTCAGAGTGTTCAGTAGTTCCCTGCTCTGCTAAGACCTAGAAGTCAGGTTTTTTTTTTAAATGTCTGTATACTTTTTGTTTTAATTGGAGGCTAATTACTCATAACACACTGTTTTAATGCTTTTGGCAAGAAAAATATTTTATCAAGTGGGAACACTATCCAAGTAATAAAATGCGAAGCCTTTCTTAAGCTTGGAGTTTTAAAAAATTTTAATAGGCCCAGATAGCCATATTCTTCCTGAGCTGGCGAGCCAACTTTTCATCACATTGGGACTCAGATGAATTGCAGAGTTTATGATAATTGTCATGTTTTCTGCTTTGTAGGCCTTAATATTCTTAATATATAGACATGTAAATGAACCAGAGAAGCCACTGGAGACCCACTCCAGTACTCTTGCCTGGAGGGTCCCATGGATGGAGGAGCCTGGTGGGCTGCAGTCCATGGGGTCGCTAAGGGTCAGACACGACTGAGCGACTTCACTTTCACTTTTCACTTTCATGCATTGGAGAAGGAAATGGCAACCCACTCCAGTGTTCCTGCCTGGAGAATCCCATGGACGGGGGAGCCTGGTGGGCTGCCGTCTATTAGGTTGCACAGAGTCGGACACGACTGACATGACTTAGCAGCAGCATGTAAATGAACAAAGAATGTTGTAAATTGTAAGGTATATATTTAGTTTAGAAGTAGATGATGTTCAAACTGCTTAGATATGTATGATAAAATATAAATTATCTAAGTGGATGATGTTAGTATTTCTCTAACTGTATTCTAAAAAATTAGGTTATGTAATGAGCATTTTACATTAGTTGTACATAGCTCTTGATGTCTGTTCTTTTCTTCACTTGAAACCTTTCACATCTTGCTGCTCTCCTTTTAGAACTATTTGGAGTACCACCTCTGTTCTGAAAGCCTTTTGCTCCAGCTGAGTGTAGTCTCACCTTTTTTTGACTTTTAATTCATGGCTTATATTTTCTTCTGGTATTTACTCCATTCTTAATAGTTTCTTTTACCCTTCTTCCTGCTGTCGTTTTCTTGCTTTACATAAGTCTTTGGGGATAATAATCATTGAACAAATCTTAAAATACAGATACGATTTTTTCCCCCCTATAGGGAAATCCTGTTTGAAAACCGAATTGCAATTTTCAGACTATTACTGTCTCCTTGCTGTCCATGTGCTTATTGATGTATGGAGAGAAACAGGTAAAAAGCAGTGATTTCAGTTTAACTTTATTTATTTTTACTCTTTGTTTTTATTGATTATAAATCCTTAGACTAATTACATAATCTGAGACTTTGATTTATGCTTTTAGGTTTTTCTTCTTGCCTTTCTCCAGGGTGCTTCTAGAAGAACCCAAGTCTCTAAGTATCCTCTGTATATTCAGGATAATCTGAAATTAGTGGATATCTGTTCTGTTTTAAAATGTTTCTGAATAATGAGTAAACAGCCTATTGCAAAGTTACAATAATTAAAATGCAGAGAAACTGATTTAGAGATAGATATATGAATCTATGGAATGAAATAGCTGTTTTTGTTCATTTAAAATTATATACACAGATATATACTTTTTTTTGGAATATAGTTCAGAGTAACCCATTTAAGACAAAAATAGACTACCTGGTAAAGGAAGTATCATGAATCATTGAGCAAGAGAAGGATGATTCAGCAGATGGTTCAGCCTTTTCTTTAGGTCTCATGCTTTTCTCTTATTAGCAGTTTTTGAGAAAAAATAGCTACTTACTGCATTATTATTAATGAAAATAAACTACAGAAGAAACAGGGCTGGGGAGACAATGGTATGTGCAGACACAACCCTGTTCTTGTGGGTCATTTCACCAAGCACTCAATTTTGATGTCCTCCTCATGCTTAAAATCCTTCAGAGATGCCCTGTTTTCTTGAGGATAAAGGTCAGCCTTGTTAGGATGGTTTACAATGCTCTCTAATCTAGCTTTTGCCTACATCTCCAGATTCTTAAGTACTTAAAGCCCTAAATCTACTTTTTTTGTTGTTGCTGTTTCTGTCACTGAACATCACGTTGCCTCTCTTTGAAATAACTGTCTCACCTCCTTCGTCTAACTTTTACTCAGAGTGCCTCTGACAAGTCTGTCTTGATTTCACCGCTTTCCTCATTGCAGATTTTATGCCCTTTCTGAACTTTTGTAGGACATTGTATATACCCATATGATGCTGCTTGTTATACTGTGTTCAACTGGAGGTGGGGATGAAATTCATTTCATCAGAGTACTTGCTATCAGGAGCCCCAGATTCAGGAGGTTGCATAGAGTTGTAAAAGTCATCTTAATGTAAAAACCATAATGAACTGATTACTTAGTAATTTGGTCTCTACTCAGATACCCTTCCCCACTTATTCGTAGCATCTGTTCTTGCTCATACTGACATGGTTTTGCTAATCTCTTGGTTTTGGAGCAAGATAGCTGACCATATAATAATAATAACACTTGACACTTGTTGATCATCAGGCACTTGAAAGTACTTTATATGAATTAGCTAATTTTAAACCTTGTTAACAATACAGTTAAGATTGTTACAGTTTTACAGATAAGGGAAATACAGGGCAGAGAATAAAGAAGGTAGGTTGTCAAAAAATCATACAGTGCAAATACATGGGAAGTTACAGATATTATAGATGCAAGGTTTCTTTCTTTTTTTTTAGGATTTTCGTTTTATTCTTTTTTCCTTTTTCTTTTTTTGGTTTCTTGAAGTCAACGGAAGTGATGCTGAGTGTTCCAGTTATAGACATAGTCATTGTTCAAGGTGGATCTGATAAAAATTAGAAATGTTATAGAGGGACTTCCCTGGTGGCCCAGTGGCTAAGACTCCACGTTCCCAATGCAGGAGACCTGGGTTCCATCCCTGGTCAAGGAACTAGATCCCACACGCCGCAACTAGGAGATCCTACATACCATAACCAAGACCAAAGATCCTGCATGCCACAACTAAGACCTGGCACAGTCAAATACATAAATAGATTAAAAAAAAAAAAGAAAGAAATGTATAGAAAATTGGGAGGATGTCTAGAGAGACTGATTTGAATGTGAAAGGATTAAGAAGAGCACTTTAAGATTAAATTGATGATGCTCTCAAACACTTATTCAGGGACTTCTCTGGTGGTCCAGTGATTAAGACTTCACCTAATGTAGGGATGCAGGTTGGATTCCTAGTCAGGGAGCTAAGATTCCACATACATGGGACCAAAGAAACCAAAACAAAAACAGAAGCAATATTGTAACAGATTGAGCAAAGACTCTATGATTCTGCTACACAAATGAAATGAGGCATGAAGGATATATTCCCCCCCCCCTCTAGTTTTACTGGGATATAATAGATATGTTACATTGTGTTACTTTAAGGTATACTATATGATAATGTGTTGCAAAATGATTACCACAGTTAAAGTTCATCACCTCACATAGCTACTCCCCTTGTGATGAGCATCTACTCTCTTAGCAACTTTCAAATAAACAATATAGTGTTGTTAACTGTAGTCACCATGCTATATATTATATCCTCAGAACTTAATGTATTTTATATTGATTTTTTAAATCTTTTTGTTATATTATAAAATTTAATTAGAAAAATTTTGTCCCCAAAATCCTCATCAACCCTTGATGTTCTTTGATTTGGTGAAGAATTTTATAGAGTTGCAGTTATATTCTAAACTTTGCAAAATAAAATAGGATGATAAATGTCTTCATAATGTTGGGTGTAATAGTTCAGAAGTGTAAATTAAACCTGGTTTTTTTGCTATTTGAAATTTTGTTTCCATTTAAAAGAGATCGTTAAGAAGTTAAAAAAAAAAACTCTGTTATGGTTATCCTTGATAACATTGGATTTAACAAATTTATCTGTAATTGTCCAGCTGTCTCTTCTGCTCAATTCTGAACTTGTTGAGGCCAGCAACCACCTATGACTCTTATCTCTGGGTCTTATATCTAGTGTTACTGCAGAGTTTAGGTCACTGAGTGTTGAATTAAATAAAATTATGATTATAAAGCAACATGAGAAAACACAAAATTGGATGTATGCTGTGATTACTACTGTGTAAAAGTAATTATAGCAAAAGCAATACATTAATCATAGTGGTAGTTTGAGTAGGTCTTGGATAGTTTACATAGTTTGGGTAGGATTATAGATGATATTTATTTAAAACCCCAATTTGGGGTTATATTTTGTTTCTTTTCTCTTGGGGAAAAAAGCATATAAAACATAATCTCAAAAGCTCAGTGCTTGAAGCTTTTCATTTTAGATGTTTTTTTCCCTAAACAAAAGTAGCTGGAAAATGGTATATTTTAATCTCAGTTTTCCAGCTTCCTAAAGACACTAACATTTTTGCATATTTCCTTCCCTCTTTGTGAATGCTCTATATACTTGAGATGAACTCTTCACACTCATTTGAATTTGTATGTTTTACTGGTCATTACTGTTTAATTTGTTGTTGTTGTTTTTTGCTATTAAAAATTTCTTGTTAATGTCAAATGGCTGTATGATATTCCCCTGTGTGGGTATAATTATAGTTTACTATTCCTCTCTTATTAGTACAATGGATGTCCTTGTATGTAAAACTTATTCTGCATTTCATATTATTTTCTTTAGATAATTTCATAAAAGAGAAATTACTTACCTGTTAAGAATATTGATGTGTGTAACTTTTTGAATTTTTGTACTCCAGAAAAAGTGTGTCATTTTAGATTAATTATTAGAGGACAATTTTTTTTTTTTCAAATATTAGTTGACATCCTATTAGTAGAGTTACATGTGGAAGAAAAATGATGCCTAGAGAAAGCATCTGTCTGGGGTTTTATAGAGAAACCCCTGTACTGGGAAGGTTGGTGGATTCCAGTTCTCCTTCAAAGTTCGTCTCTTCTCAGAATCTAGGATTCTGTGAGATTCCAAACTTCTCTTTAAGACCCATCAACTTAAAGTTGCATCATTTTTGCAGATCTTACCTCAGTTAAGAACTGAGGTAACTATTGAGGGACTGTCTATTAAGGGAAATTACCTATTTTGCTTTCCAGGTGTGTATCTAAAATTTGTTCTGTGCCACCCAGCCTAATTCTTAAAATAATGGAGGGGATGATGTCACTAAGTTTTTGTTTTTTACTTTTGAGAACCCCCATTTGCTGTCAAAAACTGGATAATGCTATTATATTTTGGTTCTAGGTGATGAGACCGCAGTGTGGCAGGCCCTGACTTTGTTGGAAGAGGGACTAACTCACAGCCCTTCCAATGCTCAATTCAAATTGCTGCTTGTTCGAATCTACTGTATGCTGGGGGCGTTTGAACCAGTGGTGGATCTGTACTCCAGCCTTGATGCTAAGCATATCCAGCATGACACCATTGGGTTGGTAGTATATACTCTGAATAATGAGCAGCCAGCTACAGCAGGGTGGGGTCCTCATACATGGAACTCTAGTATTTTAATTTTAGCAGAAACATTGTTCCTGGTATTATGTTTTGTAGATTAAATAATCACCTGTTATGACCCATTGCAAAGCAGATTTTTATATCTTTCAGCGTTTTGTGATAATTTTAAATTTGTACAATTTAGAAATGGTTAAAAAAATTTTTCCTCGGATTCAAAAGAACAGTTAATGTACTTTGAACTCTTTTTCCTTAGCACACATTATTTTGAAGTCTACCTCTGCCTTGCAATTGAGGTTGAGACTTCTACATTATGCATTGATCTCAGAGATCCTTTGAATTTGTATTTTGATTGTTCTTTGTGGTGAGTCAAGGGTATTTTCTCCATGTCCCATAGAGTTGTTTTAGGAAGACAGCATTGAATAAAACTGAATTAACTTTGCTGTTTTTTAAAAAAATTTGATTCTGTGAATTACATCATTTCTTTGGCAGAATTTTTTAAACTTTTCTTATGCCTAGCTATTTGAATAATTTGAAGTGTAGTATTTGATACTAGAGGTGGGTAGTAATTTTGAAGTGTAATATTTGATACTAGAGGTGGATAGGTATAACATTTTTTTTTTTCCTTCCGACCTAGTTATCTTTTGACCCGATATGCCGAATCCCTAGGTCAGTATGCTGCTGCATCCCAATCGTGTAACTTCGCACTCAGGTTTTTCCACTCCAACCAGAAAGATGTAAGTGAAAAAAAAATTTTTTTTTCTTTTTCTTTTTAATGTTGTCTTGGTCCACTGAATGCACATGATCCAGAGAGCGTCTTCCTTCAAGTCACAGACGCACACGTGAAGGTGCACCGTGCTGTACTTGCCAGGCCTTAGGCCATACCTTCTGGCCAGAGGTTGTTAGGCAGAGGCAGAGAGTTACTCGTGGTTGTTAGAACAGGTGTGTTTAATAGAATCCTTGCAAGTGCATTTAAAAACTGGTTATTAACAGAATAGGAAGTGCCTATTAGGTCTGTCTTTTAATCTCTAAGAGACTTTCTAAGGGTATACTAAATAGCCCGTAAGAGTTTATAGCCTGGGATGCCAAATATGATTTTATAATAGCATTTGTTCTCTGTTACTTTTATGGATTTCTGAAGTTTATGACAACCGTGCTCTTTATCACAGAGAGTACACTTACCTTTTCTTACAATTATAAAATTGACCATTTGAAGGACATTTTAAGAAACTTAAGTCAATAATTTGTATTTTAAAGTGACAATAAATAGGATAGAGTTTTTATGTGCCATAATGAAAGGATGGGATTTGCACCATATTTTTCACTGCAAGCAAATATTGTCTCCACTTGTCAGTTAAGCAGAAGTTTTTGTGGGAAAGCCATATGGTCTCTATTAAAGTCAAAGTATGCAGAACCACTGAGGAACAGAGGTGGAGAAAAGACATGCCTCTACAGTGGTCACTTCCTGCTTGCTTCTCGTGTGCTTCTAAGACTCATCACCTGGAATTTGGCCATGCCTGGTGTCTGCCATAGTGTTCCATTTTCATGGTCTAACAGCAACTAAGAAACAGCAACAAGGAAGCTGGTTTCTGAGGTTCTTCTTGGCCAGCAGTCATGAAGATTTTTTTTAAAGCCCTTTTGTAACTATGACAGCTGTGCCTACTTATCTTTCATCTATAATTCTTCATGTGTGTATTAAATAGAAAGCCGGGACAGGACAGAAGCATTTCTAACCACTGGAATATAGGTTTGTTTCTCTTAGCTTGTGATAATTAAATTCTGCTACACTTCAAGGCATGGCCTAGAGGGCTGGTGTAGCACAGAGTGGCGATCTTTGCATCATCAGTTGGCTTTTAAGCTCTGTCCCTCTTCCCCATGACTCCACTTCCCAACAGTGATCGTGTCTGTTCAGATCTCATTCTGTGCCCTAACTTCTGAGTGGGGAGGAACGCAAGTGGGCACCTGCACTTAAACATATTGTTCAGAAGCTGCTGGCCTAGCTTTAGGGTCAGAATGGCGTCTCCAGGCCTTGGTTCTGAAATCTCCCAATCAGGTTAGAAATCGGTGCATTTTCACTGTGTGTGCAAGTGTCTGTGCTTGTTATTCTCTGTTTTACCACCTGAGGAAAGACTCGAAAGAAGAGTGTATTTCAAATCTCATTATTCTGACTGTCATTACAGTGTTTCTAAGGGAAAGGTTAAATAAACATTTGATATCCTGAAGAATCCTTTTTAAAGTTTTGTTTCTCAAATAGCTTTGATGTGGGAGTGCGGGGTTAATTAAGGGATTAATCCAAGTCTGGAGTTTGGTTTTCCTCCAGTTTTCAAACATCCAGCATTCTGGAGGAACTATATTGTTCATGGATTGGTCAATAAAGGCACATTATTTTATACTAATAAAAATTAAGCTTTAATATTTTTCTCCCCCAAATATATTTTACCTGGTATTGTTTTCAAAACAAGCAAACATAAAACAAAACAACCCAACCGAAAGTACTGTAATAGGGAAAGGAAATCTCCAGGAGTGATTTCAGAGAGCACATTGTCCTCAGTGGCTTTTGGTATCTTTGTTTGATATTTTCCTGATGGTCATGTGTGGCAGGAGTGACTAATTCACCTGAAAGCATGAGATGCTGAAGATGATAAAAGTAAAGCATTTATGAATCTGTGACTAGACCTCTGCTTGAACTTTATTTATGTTATTACTAACTAGGAAAACAGCTGTTTAATCACATTAAAGTATATAACTGAGGGGGAGGAGAGGGGGAGGACTAGGTCCTGGGGATAAAAGCAAGGCACAATACAGCAAGGCAAACACCTTAAACTGTAGTGCCTAGGCCAAGTCCCAGAATAGGAAAATGGAGACTGTGGTGTGGACTGTTCCCTTTAGGAGTTTGAAGCTAAGAAAGGTCATGGTTGTAGTGTTGTACTGTCTTGTGTTAAACCTCCTGACAGTATTAGAAATACCTCTCTGGAAAGCTAAAGCTCTGTGTTCTACATCTTTTATGCTCAGTAGTTTTTGGTATCCCCAGATGATTTTTTGCTTGAGTGACTGATTTATTTCAGTTCCCAATTTGTTCTTTGAAAGAACACCTACTCCTTAAAATCCTGAAAAATCTTTGTAAGGCTTTGTGCTGTGGGATTGAAAGTTCTATTTGGAAATGTACATAGGGATTTTCTTTTTGGAAAGGTCATTGTCTGCCGTCATCTTATTTGGAGTAGATTTTTATAATACAAGAATTAAGAGCTTATATTCACCTATCTCCAGAAGTAACATACATGTTCATACTTGAAAAAAAAATTGCCTTTAAAAGTCTCTGTTTTAGGTATTCACAAATCATAGATGTCCATGTATTAATATTCTGCTAATTTTCACAGTGACCAGGGTTCATTTCAGGCATCCATATGGGATCCAAATAGCCTCATTGGTGCATAAATGAATAGAAGTGGGTACAGACAGCATTCTGTGACATTCGGAAGTCTTTACCCGTGGCTTCCAGTTTTGCCTGCAGTTCCAGTAAGGCCTTGTTGCTTTACAGCCAGTGCTTGCTCGGCCTTTGTCCTGTTGGTAGCTGCCCAGGCCCTCTCCTGGCTCTGCAGTGACACTGCACTGCAGTATTAAAGGAGGACTATCTCAAAAACAGAAGCCAGAGAACTCAGATTGTGTTTAGTTAGTTAAAGGACTGCATTCCCTTTTTGTGGCCCCTTATTCTCTTGCCTTTTTTTTTTTAAAGTGGTATTCCATGGCCCACTCAGGAATTAAAAACTTCCTCTGCACTCGTTAAGGCTGAATTCGTTCCTTTAATCACAGTGTATTTGGCAACTGTAATTAATAAATTTGATTGGAATCACCAGAATAAAATTTCTATCCTGATTAATCTCTGGATCATATGTTCCTAACCAGCTGCCTTTTCCCGCCCTCCTACGTTCCCCCCCAAACTATAAGGTCCTATTGCAAGGGCCAATGTTAAACCTTGCTATGTTTTCCAAGCCAGGAGGCCATTGGATAGGTACATGTGTTTAGGGTATCCTGGCCTCTCCTTGATTGGGAGTATCACTATCCCTTAATCAGGCTAGAAGGTACACTTGAGCTTTTTCAGATAGTCCTTCTTTAAACCTGCAGGATCACAAGTAATCTTTTTAATTTTCTTGTGTCCGTCCGTCTTTAATTTCTCCAGATACTGCAGGCAAACAGCTCGCCGAGGTGTCCCATGGGGGTTTAAAAGCCGCATCGAATGCAGTTGAATTAGCGCCCGTGGCGCAATCCCGCGGCCTGAAATGAACCCTGCGAGGCTGTGTATCAGAGGGTATGTTGTTGACTATTGGCCTATTTTCCTATTGGGCAAATTACTCGGTCATAATGGAGATGGGGACAGAGCTGACTGAGGCTGTGCAAAAAGACTACCTTTTCTGTAAAGGATCTTTGGGGCAGACATCAGCTTTGAGCTTAATACTTTCCTTAGCCTGAAAGGGTGCCCTTCTGATTTCTGATCCTGATGGCATAGGCCCATACCCATGAAGTTCTTCCCTGAGATTTCCTTCTGTTGTGCCAGAATTTCTGTTTAGTATTCTTTATCTTGCCTCTGTTCATGTTTCATCTGTATATATGTATTAATCTAATTAAAGCACATGTGTTAAGTGTTCCCTTTATTTACTTGTTTATGGAATTTCTAGCATAGCAGTTTGGATGGACTGGTAACCTGGTTTTTGAATTTTCTGTCTTCAGAATGGATTATGAATTTTTATAGGTCTTTTGTTTGGTGAATTCTATCTTGATGCAATACACATATGTCCTGTGTTTATTCAGAAGTAAACAAAACCAAGAGTCAACCTGTCATTTTTTCTGAAGGAGAGTACTTTTTACTTCTGATGGTAGTGGGATGGTTATATTATACTGGTGTTTTGGTATAAAAGAAAGTGTATCTTAGATGCAGAAAAATATGGAGTAACATTCCTTCCACTATGGCACTAATCAAAATTTTGACTGATGTGTATAACAAAACTTTCAGTCCTGTTGAAATGAAAGGCATACTGCTAGGAGGAAGTCTGTGTGGTGGTAGCAGCAGCTAAATATTATTAGTAATAATACTAGTGAAGAAGACATTTGACTCTAGTATATGACAGAAGAAAAATAACATTTTTAAAAGCTGATATTCTGCTTGGTGATCAAAAACTTTCAAGATGAGGTTCAATATCTTAATTTTAGTTTGAGTGTTTTGTTTTGTCTGGCAAGGTTTGTCTTCATTGCCTGACATGTGAAATATTTATACCAAGGTGATGTCTTTCCTTTCCCAGACCTCAGAATATATTATTCAAGCTTACAAATATGGTGCATTTGAGAAGATCCCAGAGTTTATCGCTTTTAGGAACAGGCTGAATAATTCTCTTCATTTTGCACAAGTCCGTACTGAGCGGATGTTGTTAGACCTTCTACTTGAAGCAAATATGTAAGTATTACATGAGAGCTAATAAGGAACTAAGGGATTAGATCAGATGCTGAGAGCCATTAATGGGCTCATGGGTGTCATTAGCGGGCTTAAGCTAAAGAAAAATGAGGCGGGGGGAGTAGGAGGGAAAAGGGAAGCAAGGAGAAAGTGCCTGTCATGGGGAGTGATGGAGCACTGGCAGCACCATCCCAGGTTCCACACAGAAGCCAAATGGGCCATGGTCATTATCCCTGGTCCGTGTTGTGTACAAGGTTCCCCATATCCCACAGACATGAGGTTTGGGGGATTAATGCTGATGAATTTTGTTTTGGTTAGGCTTCCAGATGCCTTTCTCTGGCTGTGTAGCAGGCCAATATGATCAGTGCTTGGTTCTATTTCATGTTATATGAGCTTTTACTTCTTAATAGTAAAGCCTTCCTTCACTCTTTCCTTTTCTGTCTTTCTAGTAAAACAAAGTCCTGGCTAGCATGTTTTCTTGGCTATTTCACTATTGAATAATACTTAAATAAAATTTCTATATCCCAGATCAACCAGCTTAGCAGAAAGTATAAAGTCAATGAATCTTCGGCCAGAAGAAGATGACATTCCATGGGAAGCCTTGCGAGACAACAGAGACTTAAATGTTTTCTTTAGCTGGGATCCAAAAGACAGGTAACTGGAATTTAACCCCAAGAAATTTATTTTTAAAGAATTAGGATGATGTTAATGTATGGCAAAAACCACTACAATATTGTAAAGTAATTAGCCTCCAATTAAATAATTAAAACAAAAAACTAGGTATCAATATCCCCTATGAATACAGATGTAAAAACACTCAATAAAATATTAGCAAGCTGAATCCAAAAAAAAGAATTAAGATGAATTTAAGAGTTTTATGTATATATATATATTATATAATTATGTCATACAGTATCATGTATATTATAGGGATCAGAAAATACAGGTAAGCCAAAGGAAGCAAATAAACCTCACCCCTATGTTGAAATTACTGGCTAACCTAAAAGTTCCTCTTTCACACCATACATGAAAACAAGTTAGAAATGAATTAAAGATTTTGTGTTAAAACCTAGAAATTCTAGAAGTAAATATAAAAAAATTTTTTTTTTAAGTTGGGAAAGCCTTTCTTAGCATTGTATCAGATCTGGAAACAAAGGATTTGACCCCTGTGAATATTAACCTGCTATATAGAAGTAAATTTGTTAACAAGTTCTAGAGGTATCTGGTAAATTAGTAACTTTCTTCATATATATTAATATCTTTCATATATACAGAGAACTCAATAAATCAATAAGAAGCAGATAACTGAGAAAACAAGTGGGGCAAAGGGTTTAACAGGAATTTCAAAGAAATGCACTTTATATTCATATTTTAACCTATCAGATAAAGATTTAACCTAATGGATAAAAAAAAGATTAACTTTTGTTCTCAGCAAGGTTATGGGTGAATGACTATTGTGCATTTACATGGCAATAAAACTTTATATAACTTTTCCTATAGGGAATTTTAGTGATACATATCAAGATTGAAAAGACTGTGTACCAACTTCTGGGTCAGCTGGTGAAGAATTCACCTGCAATGTGGGAGACCTGAGTTTGATCCCTGGGTTGGGAAGATCCCTTGGAGAAGGGAAAGACTATCCACTCCACTATTCTGGCCTGGAGAATTCCATGGACTGTATTGCAAAGCATGACTGAGTGACTTTCACTTTCACTTCTAGGAAAGTGGAAACTAAGAAGTTGCAGAAACATGTACATAAGGTAGTTCTGAATATGCTGTGATTCAGTGACTTGCCAGGACTCATGGGACTCTGCATGTAGTTGGACTCAGAGCTAAGGTCTTTTGTAACAAAAGGAAGGGTATGTGACAGAACCAGCAAGGGAAAGAGATGCAGGTGGAGTTTGTGGAGAACCCTGTGCCCAGACTTCCAGTGTTCTCTCCCTCCTGTGAAGGAACACGCTGGGCATGCTCCTTTCTCGAGCAGTGAAAAATGAAAACATGTGTGCAGTGTTTCTGCCCAGAGAAACCCGTTAAAGACTTGGTGCTCTAGGTTTTTATCAACTGGTTGTGTAGGCACATGTGTAGCATGTACCAACATTTCAGACTCCCAGAAGGAAAGCGCTGTTCACCCTAAACCACATGATTATGTCAACAGTCTAGGCACAGTGAGCCACTCTGATCATTTAGGGACTGGTTGGCACACCAGGTTCCCAGACCTCAGCCAGGGGCCAGCCACTGCAGGCAGGCCTTTCTAAATAAGGATAATAGCCCCAGGCTTACTATGTTAACTCTTTTTGTACACACTGTCATAAAAAGATGCAGTTTACAAAATAGTATAAACACTACTGTGAACCCATTTTATTTAAAATATATAAATATTTGTAGTTCATTTTTTGTACATCTGTATTGTAAAAGTATGAAAAGATCTATTCCAAGCATGTTAATATTGTGGATTCTTGGGTTACTGGGGCCCATTTTCCTTCCATTTTTTTAATATTTTTTATATGTGTTGTTTGAATTTTTTATATTAACATATTTTATCATCAGAAAAACCAGTCTCACGTAAGGGGAAAATGACTTGTTAGATAGGTTATCTTTCCATTTTATGGATGCCAAGATGGTGACTTGGACTGCTTTGGTTTGTCCAAGATCATTCAGCTATTAAATGAAAGGAGGGACTGTTCAAAGTCATCTTGACTAATGAAAGTGAACTCTAAAAAATTTAAAGTTGACATGAATAAATGGATGGTTTGGGAATGTTTCTTTTTAAGGGATGTTTCTGAAGAACATAAGAAACTTTCCCTGGAGGAGGAGACAATGTGGTTAAGAATCCGTTCCTTAACATTGAGGCTAATCAGTGGACTTCCAAGTCTTAACCACTCTGTTGGGCCAAAGAACTCAGAGAAGACCACGGAGAATGGAGTGTCCTCCCGGATTGATATTCTCCGTTTGCTCCTTCAACAGCTGGAGGCGGCCCTGGAGACGGGAAAGCGATTTATTGAGAAGGACATTCAGGTATCATCAGTGTTCATGTACAATCAAAGCTGCAAAAATCTGTGACTGTCTTTTTGAAAATAGGAATTGGGGTTGGGCAAGTAATAAAGTGGGGCTTCCCAGGTGGCGCTACTAGTAAAGAACCTGCCTGCCAGTACAGGAGACACAAGAGACACAGGTTCGATCCCTCGTTCGGGAAGACCCCCTGGGAGAGGGCATGGCAACCCATTCCAGTATTCTTGCCTGGAGAATCCCATGGACAGGGGAGCCTGGTGGGCTACAGTCCATGGGGTTGCAAAGAATTGGACACAACTAAAGTGACTTAGCACTTATGCGTGAGTAGTAAAGAACAGTATTTTGTCCCAGTTTATGGTATCTACAGGAAAAACATAAAACTTTTTAAACTTGGTGAATTGCAGAGGCTTCCTCAGTATCCAACTTGGATAGTGAGGAAAAGCAGAATAGTTTTTTTTGTGATGATTAACTTTTAATACCTAAGAAATTAATACAGTGTTTTTGTTTTCACCGTAATGATTTGGTTATTATTAGCTTGCAGATCAGTGCTTTGTAACTTAATCATGGAGATAGATTTTTATCCAGTAGTTACTGTTCCTTGTTTTCTCATTTTGTATTTTATGAATTGAAATTTCAGTGGATTTAAAGAACATCACTTTTTCTCCTTTCCAGTATCCTTTCCTTGGTCCTGTACCTACCAGAATGGCTGGATTTTTAAATTCTGGCTGTTCTCAGTGTCAGACCAGCTCTTTTTATCTTGTTGGTGATATTTATGAGCTGGACATCAATGGTTTAGGTAAGTGTATACTTGCATGAGTATATTTACAGGATCTTTGTCACTGAAAACTTAGTGAATGCAACAAAATATCTATAACCTCACATATTTGGAAAAGTTTGGCAGAGATGGAAGCTAGAAGCTGTTTTGGAACATCTGGTTTGATATACAAGAAAATCCATTAACAGTTTTCAAGTAATGTTTTAGAAATTTAAATCTGTTCCATATTTTATTTTCTCTACCCCCCCCCCCCCCACCTTCCTCTGTCCCCCACTCTCCCTGGTTAGGCACCTCTCTAAATACCAGTCAATCCCTTTTCTTCCTTTTTAAGTCCATTCCATATTTAAAATCATTTTTTAGGTCCAAAAGTTGAAGAAATCCTTGGTTTGTTGAAATATCATTGGATTTCAAATTGAATTCTTTTCATTCACTCATTCATTTAAAAATTTTTTTAAAATTCAAAGTATCATTGATTTATGATGTTATGTTAATTTCTGGTGTACAGCAAAGTGATTCAGTTATATCTGTATATATTTTCATATTCTTTTCTGTTAGGGTTTATGATAAGATATGGAATATAGTTGCCTTTGCTATACAGTTGGACCTTGTCGTTTATCCATTTTATAAATGGTAGTTTGTATCTGCTAATCCCAAACTTGTAATTTATCCCTCCTCCACTCCCTTTCTTCTTTGATAATCATTAGTTTTCTATGTCTGTGAGTCTGTTTCTGTTTTAGAAATAGGTTCATTTGTATCAGATTGAATTTTTTACTTAAAAATGAAGGCCTAAACTTTGTAGAGAAGACATATTCTTTTTTCCTAAGCTGTCAACCCAGTGAGAATCACAAATGCCTTATAGATCATGTATTTTTCTTTCTGTTTCATTTTTCCCAAATCATAAGGTTTGTCAATTCTGTCATTTAATGTATTTGAAAAGCATAAATTTTTAGTCCTCCTAGAGAATTTTAGATAGTGCTTTTGGTGGAAAGGTGATTAATAACCTTTCTTTTCCTTTTCTCCTTCCTTTTCCTGTCCTTCATCTTTCAGTAATGGAATTTAGGTGCTGGTGGGTCTTAAGAGAAAAGAAAATGTCCTTACCTATGCTTTCAGGTGTTGGTTTTGCTTATCTTACTTTAAAAAATGAATTAAAAGTTTTTCATTGTTTTTCAATTTTAGAGGATACAGTGGAGATCCAGGAGCGAGTAGAGAATAGTCTTAAGTCTTTACTAGAACAATTAAAAGGTAAGTGTTCTAACTGTGGATTCCCATATTGTATCTGATTTTCTGTGACAGTAGCTCATTTTTTAACGGAAACTTGCAAGAGATTTTGAAAAAGAATAATGTACACTTTTGGTATTTTTAAAGACTTGTTCTATTTCCCTCGTGTTCTAGTGGTTAAGACTACATGCTTTCAATGCAGGGGATGTGGGTTCAGTCTCTGGTTGGGGAACCGAGATCCCACATATACATGGTATGTTCCAAAACAAAAAAAACTAAAAAGTTTTGTTTACAAAAATAGTAGACACTTTTTGTAAATAGTACAGTACACAAATGGGTGTGGTCTTTTCCCTTTTACCAGTCACATTGCCGCCTAGGTAAGTAGGTGCTGTTGACATTCTGCAGTCTGTATTTCTAGAAATGTGCACAGTCATACATATGCATATGGAAATACATAGTGATTTTAAAAAATATATATAGGGAAAGATATAATGCATGCTTTTCTGGCTTTATTTTTTGTTATCTTGGACCTCTTACCATGTCAGTTATATCCACACCCCATTTGTTTTAAGAGCTGCATAATATTCCATAATATTGTATCCATGTACTGGTTTTATTTATATACACCCTGAGTACATAGTATATTATGTGTAACAATGCTGAAATAAATATCTTGGGACATAATTGTTTGGGTACTTATTTGAGTATTTCCTTGGGGTTAAATTCCTAGCAATGAAATTGATAAAGAACATAGGGCTTCCCAGGTGGCTCAGTGGTAAAGAATCCACCTGCAGTGCAGGCAGGAGACCCAGAAGACGTGGATTCAATTCTTGGGTCCAGAAGATCTGCTGGAGAAGGAAATGGGAACGCACTCCAGTAGCCTGGAAAATCGCATGAATAGAGGCTGGGGGGCTACACCTGATGGGTTTGCAAAGAGTTGGACACAGCTGAGCAACTGAGCACATACATGTGTTTCTTTTAACTCTCTTAAATACTTTAAAAAACTATTATTTCATTCTAGCTGATTTACAACACTGTGTTAGTTTCATGTATACAGCTTCAGATTGTTTTCCATTACAGGTTATTGTGCATTTTAAATCTATAAGGGTTTTTCTTTTTCGGAGCCTAAATGGCTTTTTACTTTGTTGCTCAAATGAAGCTAAAAATTAAAAGATGGTCAAGATTATGAGAGTAAAACCTGATATTTGTTATGAAGGTGCATTTCTACTGTGCACATTAGTCTTTCAGTCTATAATGACACAAATTCTTTAAATCATTCACTTGAATTCTTATTTTTATGTGAGTGGCCTATCTATGGAAAGACATAGCTGGTGTTTAGACCCTAGGATGTAATTTATAAGTCTACCTTTTATCTTTTGAAGACAGTAGAGTGGTAGTCATGTGACTTTTTAAAGAGCTTAAAATAGATATTCTTTAGTGTTTGGTTTATTGGGGAGGGGGAGCTTTCTGGATTAAGTCTTTATATCTGCTTATTCTTGACTAGATTGTACAGAATAACACTGAAACAAAAGCTGAATAAAACCATAAAATATTTTTCCTTTTTCAGATGTCTTCAGTAAATGTAAAGGTGACCTCTTAGAAGTTAAAGATGGTAACTTGAAAACACATCCTACTCTTTTAGAAAATCTAGTCTTCTTGGTTGAGGTATGTTTTTGTTTTCATCCTAAAATACTCAGTTTTCCTTGATTGTGTGGAGGATTAATTTTCAAAACTGAACAGGTAATAGGCACTTTATACCTATAATTTAACCCATCATCCCCACCTTTTATTAATTGAAAGCAATTTCAATTTTCTGAACTAACCCTTTCCAAGGATATCAGGAGAATTTAATTCATACTGTTAGGGTAAAACTCTAAAATTTGCTTTACAAATCTCTAAAGAGTCCTCAGATTCACTCTAAATCTAGCTCTGTTCTGTTCATCCTCTTTTTTGACTCAACTGTTATGTAGTTTAAGTTAATTATTGTTAAATTTTTAATTTGCTTTTTAAATTTGTTGCTGCTCTTCACTATTTGTTGAGATTCTGCATTATGAAGGAGAATCCAGGAGCTGATGTAGCAAAACTCTTTTAGCCAGAGAGAAAAAGAGGAGGATCACAAACACTCATAGTCCATTATCTTTTTTCCTTTTGTCACATGTTTAATTGCTTTATTTTTCCTATTAGTCTGTAAGCTTCCTGAGGACTGTTTTCTCTATTTTGGTGACTGGCACATTTCAAGTGTGTAAGAGATAATGACTGAATGAGAAATAACTGTATATATATATATATGTACATGAATATACTGTAAACACCTAACTTAATACAAGGGAGAATAGGTGCTGACCAACTGGCGGAGAATTCTTCGTACATAAGTTGAGGTTTGCATGTGAGGCAATGTCTTACCTGGATAGAGAAGTGGGTGCAGAGAGGCATATTGTATGGAACCTTTGGATTCCATGCCTAAATTTGGACTTTTCAGTGAAAAGGATGTTAATAGATCCCTATTTCCTGCAAGGAGGTGAAAGAAAATTGGACTGAGTAGAGGATTAGTTTAGAACTGGGAGAGTGAGAGGAGTAAAGGCAGTATTCTGAGGAGGAGATGAAGAAGACATGGATCAATGTGGTGACTGTAGAATTAGAGTGGAGAGTTATAAGAGAAATTGAAGGGATTTACAAAGAAGAGCTGTTTGCATAGAATTGGTTTATCCATAGTCTTTGTTCCTGATAGGTATCTTGAGTGTAATCCTTATTGATGAATTTGTAATTTTTCTTCTTTCAGACTATTTCTATTATCCTTTGGGTGTCTAGTTACTGTGAGAGTGTCCTGCGACCATACAAATTAAATTTACAGAAAAAGAAGAAGAAGAAAAAAGAAACTAGTATCATCATGGTAATAACAGAGAAAACACAAGTAACAATCTGGCTGCATGCTGCTTTTTTTTTTTTTTTTTCATTCTTTTCCTGCATTTTGTAAAGGATCTTAGGATCTTATATGCGTTCATTTTCCCTTCCCACCTTTAAAAAAAATTATACAGAAAAGCTGAAAGATTACTATAATTATAATGACACCCAAACATCCATACCTAGATTCACCACTTATTTAACGGTTGTCACATTTCTCTCTTGCCCTTTCCCATTCTCTAACCTCCCCAACCCCCATTTGTTGAACCATTTGAAAGTATAGACTTTATGATACTTAACACACCAGGGTAAAAGAAAGGCAGTCTCCTACAAAACCAAGGTACTCAAGACATTTTCACACCCAAGATATTTAATATTGATACAATAATATTATGTTTACATTAACCTTTCCCCTGTTATCTCAGTTATGACCTTTATAGTCTTTTTCAAAATTCTAGAATTTTACTAAGGATCTGACACAGCTTTTAGTTGTCATTTCTCTGTACTCTTCTTTCATTGAAAGTACTTCCTTAGCTTTTTATTTTTGTCTTTGTCATTGAAGAGTCCAGCTAGATTTTTGGTAGAAGATCCCACAGTCTGGATTTGGCTAATTGTTTCATTAGATTTAGATGCTGTGTCCTTTTTAGCAGTTAAATCAGGAGACACTAATGTTGTGTCCCATTATTGATAATTTCAGATTTAATTATTTGATAAAGGAAGTATCTGCCAGATTTCTTTATTATAAGTGTGTCTTTCCTCTCTGTGTAATTAATCTGTGAGTTGAGACTGTGAGTATCCTGTTCCCCAGAGCTTTTCACACACTACTTTTAACATTCACTATTAGTCTGACTTGCATGAATCATTTATTACTTTGATGGTTCCACAATGGTAATTTAAAAAAATGCTACTAATCATTAATCATTTATTATCTGGCATTCTGTAAAATAGAACTGTATATTTTTAATATCAACTATCTATTTTAGTATCACTGTGTATTCATTCTTTTTTAAATTTACCTTATAATCCATTGTTGTCATTTTCTTTTGGATGCCCAAATTTGGCTAATGGGAGCCATTTTAGGCTGGTTCCTGTCCTTGAACATATCCTCACTGGTTTTTGAGCCCTTACTTTCTGAAACCACAAAATGTTCTAAGCACTTTGTACTCACCATTGAACTGAAATCATACATTTTTTCCAGTGAGCCCTGGTTCCTTTATGGGGAATGGCTATTCAGAATACTAAGATCTAGTTGTTAGGTGTACTAATTGCTATCGGGGTTTTATTGCTTCTAGTTAGTGTCAGTGAAGAGAGACAGGAAATTTATTTAGATACATACAGAGTTTTAAATAATTAATTCTTACTGATAACCTCCAGCTGTAATCCAATTTCACAGTCCTCTTCCTTCCATTCCTTCTCTCATTCCATATTTGTAGCTTTCTTTTCAACGGTTCCCAACAGGATCAATGTATTTATTCATTTGCTGTTTTATAGTAAACACTGTAAATAGTTTTGGAAATAGTACATTGGTTCCATTACCAGTTCCAGTAACAAACCCACTGAAGTTAAAGTTTTTGCAGTTCTTTTTTGTCCTTAGAATATGTTCAGTGAATGTAGTTGAGGTACTCCATAAAAGCACTGGAGTTTAAAACTCGGATTATATTATTAATGTGATGTAGATAAGATTCATGTATTTCTGCTTGTATTCAACTTTGGAGTTTCCTCCCATCTTAATTGGTTAACTTTTTTTTTTTGGTTAACTTCTGAATGTGTGAAACATTAACATAATTTGTATTCTTTTCATAAGGAAGGATGTTCAGGATTTATTCTGCAATGACAGTGCTATTTCACGAATGGGAGATTTTTGTTCATTGTAGCAATATAGTAACCACTGTCATTTGAAAATTTTGATGGTTTTATTAGTAATATTAATTTCCTGCACAGTTCAGTAACAATTCAGGAATTCTTTAGACTTGACACTTGTCCTGGGTATTACCATTCATTCATTTCTCTCCTTCATTGTTCAAGATAATTTTAACAGATCATGAGTGCAGAGTTTGAAAGTATAGACCAGAGTTGCTCTGTTACTTTCTCTTCTGCGGGAAAACCTACACTCCTAGTACTTGTCAAAACAGCTTTTGGTATTTGGATTTTGTGCAAGTTTTTGTAGGTATTGCTTTTCTAAAAATGAGGATAGCCTCCTTTTTTCTGATTGTCCAAGTAACCTAAAGATACGAGTAAAGAGAAGATCACTCATTTTCCCACTAAACAGTGATAGCCACTGCATACAAGCCAGAAATATAGAAACTTTCTATAGAACTTTGTATAAAAAGTTCTGAACTTGGCTATTTGTTTTGTTTTCACTTAATAAGGTATCTTGGACATCTTTTCATTTCAGCAAATATAGATGTATCTCATTACTTTAAATGGTCATGTGCCATCCTGTTTTATTCACATACCATAACTTATTCCCAATGTTGGATGTTTAGTTGGTTCTAATTTTCTTTTATTGTTTTATTTTTTAAGAAATTATTTTTGGTTGTGCTGGCTCATCCTTGCTGTGCTCCAGCTTTTTGTTGCAGCAAGCGGGGGCTACTCTTCATTGCGGTACACAGCCTTCTCATTGCAATAGCTTCTCTTGTTGTGGAGCACAGGCTCTGGGCATATGGACTTCAGTAACTGGGGCTTGCTGGCTTAGTTGCTCCGTGGCGTGTGGAATCTTCCCGGATCAGGGATCAAACCCATGTCCCCTGCATTGGTAGGTGGCTTCCTATCCACTGTACCATCAGGGAAGTCCTAGTTTTCTCTTAATATTACAAATAGTACTGCTATTAAAATATGGACAAATATACAAGATGAATTTATAATATGATTTCCTTAGGCTAATCTCTTAGATCTGAAATTACTACATATACAGGTTTCCCCTGCTACCAAGAAGTAAAGCATTCCTTTGAAACCTTCCATAAGCCCAAGTGGCGTAAAGGGAAGAAGCAATTACCTTAGGACACATCTTGCTAATGGGATACACATAATAAATTGAGATAAAGCACAGATGCTTACAGACATAGTTCAAAGCTGTGGTGGCCTGATGCTGAGTATAGTTCCAGTGCCACTCTTGCTGCTCAGGGTGTGTGCTACTTCTATAACAGCTTGCTGCAAATGCTTTTCACCTTTTTCCTGTAAAAGTGAAAATCCTCTTTGGATTTCTTTTGGTTAGCAAAAATAGGTACTAATGTAGGTCTTTGATAAAAGCTAAGTGGCATGAAGTAAACTTTCAGAAAGCCAGAGATACCTGTTCTTCTGTTTTTATATTCTCCAATGGTGTGGTGTATCTTTACCCATTCAATAGGCAAACATTGGTACTCCTGCCCCTCGCCAGTTGGTGTTAAAGGATTCTGTGATGTTGCACCTTCAAAGAAAACTTCTTGAGTGAAAAGCTAGCTTTACTAGTCGATTGGCTGGGTTTCTTGTGTTTATCTTTTTTTTTTTTAATTGTACCATTGCTGGGATTTTTTGTTTTCTTTTTTCCTTTTTAAAATATTTATTTATTTATAGCCGCACTGGGTCTTCATTGCTGTGCATGGGCTTTCTCTAGCAGCAGTGAGCAGGGCCCGCTCTAGTTGCAGTACATGGGCTTCTCATCGCCAGTGGCTTCTCTCGTTGCAGAGCATGAGCCCTAGGGCGTGTGGACCTGGTAGTGGTGCCCTGCGGGCCCTAGAGCACAGGCTCAGTAGCTGTGGCCCACGGGCTCAGCTGTGGCATGTGGGACGCTCCTGGACCAGGGATTGAACCCTTGTCCCCTGCATTGGCACGTGGATTCTTATCCACTGTACCACAAGGGAAGCCCCCTTGGGATTTCTTTGATATATTTTCTGTTTCTGTCTTTGGCCAAGTTTTTCCTATTGTGGTGGTACTATTTTTTCCATTGATATGTTTTGAGCTATTGACTCTTAACATAATTATGTGATATAAGCATTGGAGAAATATGTTTGATAATCTTTCAACTTCTTAAAAATCTTTTTCTTTTTTTTAGCCACCTGTTTTTACCAGTTTTCAAGACTATGTTACTGGGCTTCAGACTTTAATTTCCAATGTTGTGGATCATATTAAAGGACTTGAAACACATCTAATTGCACTTAAACTTGAAGAACTTATTTTAGAAGACACTTCTCTCTCGCTGGTAAGAGACTGTAGTTGATCAGCAGTAAGTTATATAGAGATAGTTGAGTGTTCTCACCTCTGTCGCAAGGATGAGTTAGTTTTCAGTTCACCATTCTCTCCTTGTAGGACTTGAGATTAGAAGGTCCCTGGCACTAGTTTTTTATTGTGGTGGTGGTGGAGTCTTCTCCCCTCTCATTCCCTCATCCCCCACTCCTCCCTTTTATACATTTTTGGGGGGTGTTGTTTTATTGTGAAAATTACTGATGGATTGTTGAGGAGTGGAATTATTATTGTCCCTATTTTGAGCACCAGAGGAAACCAGACACACTTTTGAGAAATCCAGGGACAATCTCCGTGACTGAGAACTTCCCGGCTGCTGGATTGGCTGGTTTCTTTGCCAGCCAGTAGTCATCACATAAAAAAGGAAAGATGCTGAACATCAGAAATAATTATGTCAGTATTAGTTAGGCCAGAGCAAGTCAGCCAGTAAGGAATGGGAACAAGTATGGAGTCAAAGGTACCAGTTATTAGTTTTCTCCTGATCTTTGTTTTTAGGCTGGTTTCTTAAAATTCTGCAAGGAATATCCCTGTAAAGTCACTTTTTAAAAATGTAGGTTCTTTTTGAAAAACGAATTTAATAGAACAAATGGTGTCAGGTGAATTAACATGCACCAGCCTGGAATAGGTTTAGGATTTTGGAAGGTGCCAGAAGGGCAGTTGTGGAGCCACCTGTTTCTAGCTCGTTGTTCCAGTGATGGAACTCTGATCTTAAGGAAATGATTTTCTTGCGTAGTTTGTCTAACATGAGCCTCTGCTGATGACTGGGCTACCCCAGTAACCTGAGGCACCCACCATCCTAGCCCAAGACCTCCACCCAGACCCTTGGAGGGAAGGGAATGAATGGAATCTTGCTTGGCAAGATTTAAAAGATTGTAAAGCCCCTCTTTTGTAAACAACATCAACGTATTAGAGCTTTGAACAGACTGCTTACTGTGGGAAAGGGCCTAGAGCATTTAACATTTCCAAAGATTGATTAAAGGAAGCAAACAAGTGATACCTAGAAGTTTGGTTTTAGCCAGTTAAGCTGTATATTCAACTCTTTTCCTATGTACTTTAGAGTGAATATAGACTATATAGAATGAATATAGGTCATTAGAGGTACCAGTTGATGGATTATTAATTTTTAGTATCTTTGTTTTCCTCTTTTTAAGCCTTACATTTTTCAAAAAGTAAAATCTGTACATGGTAAGAAAATTCTAAGAGGAAAGAAAGAATATGTAGTACTGAATAAAATAGATTTGTGTACATACCTTTTAATGCACATTTGGGTAACAAAGTGTGCTTATCTGGTTTCTTTTGGGCTTTAAAATACTGCCAAATTCACATTAAGCTAAACAGTTTTCAGCCAACCTTCTTTCCATATTTAAACACTCCATCCATCCCCTTTATTTTTTGTGCTCTCTACCACAGGTCAAATGAGCAGCAAATATTTAACTCACATATTTGAGCAGCGTTAGGAAAACTTTGGTCTTTTTTAGTTGTTTGGCCTCTGGAATCTGTGGACTTTATTAAAATGGAGGGAGGTGTGTCAGTGTTGTAGTTAGAAAAGATGAATTTTTTCTAAAGGCATCTGGTAAATTTGATGCCTTTAAAAAGTGGCTGTGATAATGTCTAAATTAATAATAAATTTCTGCTTTTTTCCTGTTTCCTGATGACTCTAATAGTAAGAAATCTCAGTTTTTCTACTTTGTATGTAGCTCATCAGAAAATAGTAGTGACTTTATGGCCAAAGTACTTAGTAATAATTTTTCTTTTTTCCTTGATCAGAAATCTCAATTTTCTGACTTGATATAATTTATAACTAAGATTACTTGAAAGAATAGTAATGCTAAAGCAACAGGGTCTCAGTGAAAAGTCACATGGAGAAATAGACATCTGTGATGAGTTTAGCCATCTTTGCATTTAATGAAATTGAAAATGACCCACTCCATTGTGATGGAGCTTCTGATGGAGTTAGGTGGTAATTTTAACTTGTGAAAAACTAATCTGGGGGAATGCTTTCTGAGCAAGGCTACTCATTCTTATTTCCTTTGTAGGAAGAGAGAAAATTTTCAAAGACTGTACAAGGGAAAGTGCAGAGCAGTTATCTGCACTCACTTCTGGAAATTGGAGAGCTGCTGAAAAAAAGACTTGAGACCACAAAGAAACTAAAAATTTAAAAGTTAGTGTGAACCACGGGCACTGATGATTCTACAACAGAAAATGACATCATCTTCCCAGGCAAAAACTACATCTGGTTGACCATCATTTTAAATCCAGAACTTCCTCATAAAATGCATGAAGGACTTTGATCGTGAATTAATTTTTTAGGTATTAAATGTATACAACTGATTAAATTATTGTATATAAACCAGAAGCAGGACCCTTGTCTGGGTTTGACCACTTTTTATACATGTTCATATGCATATGGCAGCCACAAGAGAACCCCACTTTTCTTCTTCCCTTCTGTCACCAGAAACATCTGGTGGTGGTTGGTGGTGGGGGTGTCCTATAAAAGCAGCAATAGAAATTAAGCATAAAGCATTGAACTCAGACCAGCTGAACGGCCCTACCATTATAGCAGTGGGTGTTTTGGTCTGGTCCTTGAGCCTTAGGAAGCAGGAAGCCAGTAGAGGGGGACCATGATTGGGAGCAGGCCCTCTTTCCAGCTGCTTGGCTCCCACAAAACCCAAGGTAGGTACTCAAGGGCTTCCAGTTAAATTTGGCCTAAGCACCTGCCACTGAAGGGCATCACTCAGATGATCACAGGCCCTCATTTTTTGGCTTAATAATGCCAGTGGCCAAGACATCCCCATCTTAGCTCCTGCGAGAGTTAAATCAGAGACAGGCTTCTGTTAACTTACAGCTGTTTGGAGGGGAAAGTAGTTCAGACCACTTATAAGCCTGCTGAGGACTAGCTTGCTATCTTTTGTCTGTTTGGGAAAGATAGGAATCACTGTTTTAAAGAAGAGAGGTGTACATAATTTATGCAGGCAAGTCTAATACCAGTGTCATTGGTTTTGTGAGATATATATATATATATATATATATTTGCTTTTACACATATACGTATATTTTCAAGCATATATACACATGTATATATACTTGAAGATAAAAGATTTAATACTTAGTGTTTTTTAAGTGGAGGGTTTGGGAAGGAAGAAAGGAAAGAATGTATATTAATATGGATTTAATCTAGGTTTTAAGTTTTAGGCTGGCAAAAGAAACATTATCAGTTGGGTTTGAGGTTGTATTTACTTTTTTCAAATGAGAGTTATACCAGGATGGTGTTTTACCTTGTTCACCTGGAGCTCCCCAAGACTGTAGCTTCAGAGGTTGGTCTGACAGAAAAGGTAAACATTGCTCTTGAATATGTTACACATTTTATACAATTGCTTTGATAATTTTTTTGTGTTGGAATCTGTGCTTTTGTCTTTGGTCTTTGTTATCCAAATACCATTAAAGTTAGTAATTCTGAAAAAGCAAAAAAATGAATTTGATGAGGAAATTCAAGTATCTAATGGAGGATTGGTCTTGAAGACCTTCCAAGTCCTTTCCAACTCACTTCTCCAGTGAAATGTGATACTTTAAAAAAAAACAACCAGAAAGAGCTGGGAAAAATCTCTTTATGCAAAGCAATTGCATTTTGTTTCCATCATTAAGACTTTCTTAGAGTCACAATTTGATAGGGTGATAACTGTCTCAACTTGCAGGGAAACTGTTTTGAAAATTATGAATTACCTTTTCAAAATAAGACTTGTTGGAAATCTTAGTCCATCCAGTAATTTCAAAAAACTAGTTTTGATGTTAATTGGTAGCCACAGCTGTCATACCCCATCCCAAAAGGAAAGAACTGCTTTGAACAAGATGAATTAAACATTGATTGATTCCAAATCTAGTAACATTTCATGAAACTATGGCCTATTTAGATGGAACTTTGTGTGTGGCGGGGGGTGGGGCTCTGTGTGTATGGCATGTGTTCTTGAAATGATGTTTCTCTGAATATCCAAAAATACTGTACATAGAAGTAGAAATGTTCTTTGAAACAAGTCTATCAACTGACCACGATCATTCTAGAATATGTGTGCTCAGTGAGCTGGCCTTGGTCCTCAGGGACAGTGTGTGACTCCAGTGGTCTACCTACCTATTTGCTTTCCTAGGGGCATCTGGGTCCTCTACTGGTTTTAGTGACAAATAATGTTACATTGGGGTTATGCTTCTTTGTTACTTACTGATTTCCCTACTAAATGTAGCATTTCAACTAGATCCAACCTCTTACATTTTGAGAGAATTGTAAAAAGAATGAAATTATGCAGAAATGGCCAATATCTTTTATTGATCTGTTCTTTTGGAAACTGTCATGCACTATAAATTGTGTACAGTTAAAAAAAATATATATATATATATTCTTACATGAGTAAAAAGCACCCTCCAGCAATTGTATGTCATTGGTATTTGAAAAGAATTCCCAAATAACTCATTGCTGCTGCTGCTGTTTTTACTTTGTTTGGGTTTTTTGTTTTATTTTGTGTGGAAAATTGATATTTAAAAAAAAAAAGGAAAGGAGAAAAAAAAAAAAGACTACTGTTTACAGACTGAAAAATTACTGCTTTTTATACTACTGAGATCCTAAGTTAAGACTCCAAAGCAAACATTTGGTTTAAATCATATATCTGATGTGGATAAAAGAGAAACTTTTAGTGTTCTCCACATAATGGAAAATGTACAAATGCCTAGTTGTGTTGCCCATCAATTTTGTATATTTTCATAATTTTAATTGTTCAAAATTGCATTATATTTTGCAGTCACTATGTTCAATCTGGATTTGTCTTTCATTTTAACTTTTAATATAAAAGGGGTTTCAGTGTATTTACAGCCTTGTTATTGAAACTCTTCCTACTTTTTTGCTCTGATTTATTAACATGGGAAGCATATATTCTTCCTTCTTCAGAATTAAGTGAAGCATAGCAAATCTACTTTAAACTGGATGGGTTAATTTATATAAAACACTTTCAATTTGGCACTTTTGCCTGGTTCATTTTTGTTCGTGTTCTTAGAAGCCACAACCTTTTAAATGGTATAATTTATTTCAATTTTTGTATTGTTATATTCCTCAGAAAAATGATAATACTTGTGAATTTAAAATTATTCCAAGGCCACACTAGTCCTTTTGTTTAATAGCACCTTGCACGCTAGTATTCGTTAATTAGATTTATACATGTATTGGGCATTTATTTACTGTGTGCCAGATTCCATGTTAGGCTCTGCTGATATAAGGTAAATGAGACTGTGTATCCTAGTTAGTGGCTCAAGTGGGGGAAGAGACAATAAAGATAAATACTAGTTTGTAATTAACTCCTGACTAATAAAATATAAGTCAGGGTGTATGACAGGCGGGGTCACCAGAGGACCTCTCAGGTAGTGCCATCTGACCTGAGTGATGAAGAGTCAGTCTTGGAAAAGGGAATACAAGTCAAAGGCAGGAGGCTGCGGAGCATGTTCCAGTGACTGGCAAAAGTGGTTCAAGTGCCTGGGGCTTAAAGGAGTGGAGGAGGGGTACAGACTGAGATAGAAGTGGAGTGGGGATTAGAGCAATCAGGATATTGTAGCCTGGGGAAGGAATAAAATTTCTAAATTTAGTGGAAAGTTACTAGAGGATTTCAGGCAGACTGATGACATGGTTTTTTTTAATCCAAGAGTATATGAACCTACAGGCTGAGATCAAATGTTTATTCATACATGCAACACAGTGGGAAGAGCTGTTTGTTTTTCTTCCTAGTTTCTTTTCTATCCTGTGATATTAAATGCCCTTAACAGAGCCCTGGAAAAGTCAGTTTTTGCTTCTTCAGTTATGAATGAATGCCACCTCAACATTTCTTTTTTTCCCCTTTAACAAAAAGTGGGCACTTGGCTGTTTCTCACTGCCACTTTTGAGTTCCTCAAAAGGTGGACTCAGGTTTATATTTTTTTCATGTTCCCTGTTTTTGAGATGCTGTCACTGCCTCGATGCAGACATGTATTTCATAGTAACTAGCAGACGGTAAGCAACCATGAGCCAAATGCTTATAAAAATTATTTGTGGGGTACCTGTGTTTATGCTGGAGCGTAGAGGTTTTTTGCAACCTCAGCTTCCACATACCTAGTAAAAGTGGGTCCCAGATAATGTACTGTTTTACAGATGAGAAAGGCAGTTATTGCAGATAAGGCTACTAAGGCCAGGCAGTAAGGTAAGGGATTGGTAAGATTCAAACTTTTAAGCATTGATGAAATGAGCTAAAAATCAGAGTTTCCTCATCCCTCCCCATCTCACATTCTTCATCTTGAATCTTAGAGGTTCTCTATTGAAGAACCATTCTTTTTCCTAAAGCAGTTCTAATGCCTCCTGTGTGTATATACCACCAATTACCAAGGACTATTAGTAAAATTACCCTTGGCACTATTTGCGATAACTTGCAGATTCTTTTTTTTTTTTTGCAGGTTCTTTAGAACAGGACTCATGTTGGCTCCAGGGGCTCACTGTGCTTCAGTTTATCTGGAAATTCCCTTAAAAACTGTGTAGCATTTGATTCTAGGAAGCCATAGCCTTTATTACTGTCTAGTTAGTAGCATCTGAGCCACACAATATTAGTAATTATATGCTAAGTAGAGGGAAGGAATCTGTTGGACGTGTTAGGGAAGATTTTTGTGTGGCGTATACAAATCACTGCAGATTCTAAATGAGAAACACGGTCTACCTTTAGTGAAAAATATTTATGCAGAGTCTTTGATGCATGATAATCCAGTCCTATCCAATAGCCCACATTTCTTCAACTCAAGACCCTAGGCTTATAATGATAGAAGGCATGGACCCATCCAATGAAATGCCCGTGGGTGGGTTGCCACTTTTCTTTCTTTCCCCTTACAGTTGAGAAATGAGACCACACTGGAGGACTGAATTTAGTTTTAGAGTTGTTTCTCTACCTGTCATTTGTCTTACTCTAATTTCTATAAGATAACAAATACTTCATTCTTTGGAAATGACTCTGTTTAAGGTAGATGAGAAAAAACTAGAACAGCTCAACAAGTTTACCAGTGAGAAGCATGGAAAAAGATCTTCCAGATTTTTCAGTTAGAACTGAAATAATGAGTAGGGGACATATTTAAATTATCGGGCCTAATATATAAATAGCTATTCTTTTGTCAAATGTTGAGAGTATCCATGCTGGCTCTGGGCAGGTGTTTAGGTTTGAACATCTTTTATCTAGTTGGTTTGAATTGTTAGCCTAAGCTGTGTGATTTTTTTTTTGTTGTTCCACCCAATTAAACACATGAGTTTTGCTGTATTTTTTGTTTCCAGTGATTTTAAATACCCAATCTGGCTGAAATGGAGGAACAAACAATTTAAAGTTTTATTTGCCAACTCTGCTCAACTTAAATTTCTTTGTGTGGGTGCAGTTAGACATTTTATAAGCTGCAGTTTGATATTTTCAAATAGTTAAGTATGGAATGTGAATGTTACCATGAAGCTTACTGTTGCAGATAATTGCGCATCACCCCTGAGGAGATCTGAAAGTCAGTACAGTGCTCTCCCACTCAGCTTATTAAAAAGCTGGTGGTTACTGAGTAATCAACAGCAACAAGGTGACAAGATGGAAAACAATCCCTTTCTAAAGAAACTTTCAAATTGAACTGAGTTATATCATTTAGCTGTCTAAATGCAACTCTTTTAAAGAAACCTACTAGATTATATTGGTAAAACTAAGAATCTGCTATATGTATCTCACGGAGTATGGGCAAGAATATACTGCTATTCAACTTCAAGGACTAGAAAACGGATAATGCATTCGACCAGCCCCAGTCAGTCCATCTGAATCTGAACACCTGTGGAAAGGAAATTAAAGGTAGGTCTTGAGCTCAGACTAGTTTCCACAGTGTTACCAGGATAGTCTGTTACCCTGGTAGAGCAGAGTCCACACCACCTTAGCTTTAAAAAAACAAGTTCCAAGGAAAAAGCAGGCCACAGGGCAAAGTATAATTTGTAAAAGAAAACTGGATGTCTACAGGTGTACTTAACGAAAACAGAAACTTTAATTGGGATCAGAATCATACCTGTCAAGAACCTGGGCAGTATACTCCTCTATAGCACCAGTTCCTTCTGAGGGGGAATTTCACAAGCCATCTAAGTGTTCACCAGCTATCCCCAACTGGCTATAGAGATGTTCCAAGATGTCACATCAGCGTCAGTATCCACGCATGCTCAGATTTCTGGTTTTGCGCCACTTTTCCTACAACTCCCTTATATCCCAGGAGAGTTTCACAGCCAGAAGGTAACTTACCCCTCCCCACCCCACCAAACCCTGGAGTGCCTTCTCACAGCTCCTCCTTCTCACCCCCCTTCTTATGGAAGGCAGTCAAAATGTTTAAGCTCTTCTGGAGTTCTTCCTTCTTCCCATCACTCATCTTGTTCTTCTCAATCAGCTTGGTGATCCTGGTCATCTCTGATGCTGGGAAATCCTCACCTTGGTCCAAAATCTTTACCATGATCTTAAGGTACTGCTCGGCCCACTTCTTGTCAGTCTCCTTCACACTTGCAAGGTTGTCCTGCCCCTGCTTCAAGAGGGACTGGCGGGCCTCTACATCAGAGGCCCTGATGAACTCCCCAGCAAGGGTGTCATATGCAGGCAGGCAACCAGGCATACCTATGTAGATCCCATGTCCCTTTAGCCAGCGCTGGATGGCTCCAACCTTAACTGCCCCAGTATACAGGACTGGGTTCTCAAAGTCCCCATCCTGGAAGAGATAGAAGACCGGGTAGTTCTCTTTGTCCAGCTTGTATTTCTCACTCAGCTCCATATTCAGCTTGTCACCATAATCTGTGAATGGAAACCAGAAATGAGGAACAAGACCCCGAGGAAGGCATGGCAGGAGGTTGCTGAGGCCTGTCTGAGTTGAGAAGAATTCTGGCTGTCAGAATTCCTCCTCTGCTACTTCCTAACCACGTGGCATTAGTCAAGTCCTTTAAACCTCTCTAACCTTCATTTTCCTCATCTGAAAAGGGGGAATTCTGCCTATTTATTATATGTGCCACTATGTGCCAGGGACTGTCCTCTAAGTGCTCAGGATTTAGTTGTGATTAAGAGTACCACACTCCCTGACCTCAAGAGCTTACACTCTTCAAAGGGTAAGAAGAGAGATAATACACAAAAGAACTTAAGTGATTAGTGCCATGACAAAAATGAAACAGTGACACAGTGACTGGGTGAGAAGGCCTCCCTGTGAAGGTGACATGAACTGATGGACCCGAAAATGAAGCAGCCAGACATATCAAGATGTGGGAAGAGTGTTTCAGGCAGAAAGGACTGCAAGTGCAAAAGCTCTGAGGCAGTAAAGAGCTGCGTGTGTTTAAGAATTGCGAAGTATAGTCTGGCTGGAGCTAAGGGAATGTGTGGTAGGTAATGAACATGGCCCCTAACATTTGAGGGCTGTTGGGAGGGCCCAACAAGGGGATATGTGCCAATTAACCTGGCAGAGTTAAGTGTTTAGTATGTGGTGGTGGTTGTTTTGGTCTTTCAGATGTGTCTGACTCCTTTGTGACCCCATGGACTGTAGCCCATTAGTCTCCTCTGTCCAGGGATTGCCCAGGCAAGAATACTGGAGTGGGTTGCCATTCCCTCCTCCAGGGCGTCTTCCCGACCCAGGGATTGAACCTGCGTCTCCTCCATTGGCAGGTGGATTCTTTACCACTGAGCCACCAGGGAAGTCCAACATGTGGTAGCTGTTACTATTTGCTATGTCTTTCCCAACAGGCAGTAGCAGCCCCAAGGGCTGACATGATGACAACTAGTTGCTTATACCTCGCCAAGACCACCTGTTACTGGGTAGTGGTATAGGAAGTGTGGGGTTCCAATCCTAGGTCTATCACTTTATAATCTTGAGCAAGTTTCCCTAAGCATCTGTTTCTTCATTCGGGGATCATAAAACTTTTCACAGAGTTGCCACAAGGATGACATACATGTAAAACACTTAGCACAGTGGCCTGGCCCATAGTAAACATTTGAGCTGAGTTTCTGTGGTCATAGAATCTGCTCAAGCTAAGCCTGTCGTGGGTACCAGACTCCTTGAAAGGCAATGACCCCATTTACACTAGACGTGTGTGGCTCAGACAGGAAGATGCTGGGGTGTTCTGACAAATAGGGAAGTAACCGCTAGTTTATTCCCCCTCTGCCCTCCTCAGTCATTAAAGACTTATCCATACCTGAGATCCCCACCTCTGCCACCAGGAGATCATCATTGGAAGCCGAGTTTTCAGCCAGACGCTTGAACTCATCCTGCTTCTCACCATAGGGGTACTGGGTGTCAAACTTCACCAGGACGAACTTGCTTTTGGGAATGACCTGAGGGCATATAGAGCTGAGCAAGTGAGGGTTCCCAAGGACCTTTGGGGTTAATTCTGTTTCCCAAGGGACCTCTTTCAGAGTGGAAACCAAGCCCACAGGGGAGATAAGCTTTCACAGTCATTCATTCGTTCCTTCATCCCTTGATTCATTTAACAATTTGATGATGTTTTCTGTGTCCCAAGGACCCCATTAAGTAGTTGCTCACACTAATCAAACTGTCTGCAATAAACAATGCTGCAGACATTCTAAGGCCTTCTCTTCCAGTGGCCCTTTTGGTAAGACTAAGGAAGCCTACCCTTAGCACACACTAGGTTAGCCCCTGTCATGCCCATCATCCCAGGGGACCTTTCCGTGGCAAGGAGCCAACCAACCATCTATAAAGGAGCTGGTACCATGAAAGATGCTCTGGTGAGGAGGTCCAGAGGTTGAACTCTGCAATTTTAGGGTTCACAGGAAGTTGATGAGAGGCTAGGCCTGGGACAATGTTCCTTCTCTAAACCAGGTAGATCAGTTTAGATTGGTTAACATAGGCAGTTATGCTAGATCTCTAGGATCTAAACTGTCAGGATCAAGATTTTTATTTTAATTGTAAAATTTACATCACATAAAATTTGCCATTTTAAAGTGTACAATTCAGTGGAATTTATCGCATTAACTATGCTGCACAACCATCACTAATACCTACTTCCAGAATATTTTCCATTTTCATCATTGATAAGGAACCACATATCCATTAAGCAGTCATTCCTCAGTCCTCCTCCTAAGTGACCTTTTGTGTGTGGCTTCTATCACTTAGCATAATGTTTTCAAGATTCATTCACGCTGTAGCATGCATCAGTATTTCATTCCTTTTTATGGTCAAATAAATATTCCATTGTATGGATATATCATATTTTGTTTATCCATGCATTAGTTGAGGAATATTTGAGTTGTTTCTACCTTATGGTTATTTGTGAATAGTGTTGTTATAAACATTTGTGTACAGGCTTTTGTCTGAACACCTCTTTTCAGCTCTTCTGGGAACATACCTAGGAGTGGAACTGCATATAGGAATTCTATGTTTAACTTAACGAGGAAATGCAAAACTTCACTTTGATGGTTTTACCCAACGCACAGATTTTTATCTAATAAGCTCCCTCAGGTCAATAGCACTGCCTTCCCTCCTACAACCTTTTATTTTTCTAATCAAAGTCATCATGACTGGTTAATTTTCAACACAGGCAATCACTGCTGTAGTTAAATCAAGCTGACACTATTCCAGTTTTTGTCAGTCCCGTGTTCCTTGTTTGATGTCCATTTGGTTTTAAAAAATATATAACAGTGCCCAGGGACACAAGGGAAGAGGGAGAAGGGTCCAGAACACATAATCTTTAAATGGTCACTGATCCCCAGAAGTCTGAGCTTTGGAGCCTAAAAAGCAGGGAAGACTTAAAAATATAAATCAGATCACATCCCTCTGGCCCATTTGGTCTTATTTTAGTTTCAACAAACATTACCACTCAGGTCCTTTTCATTTGCTGTCTCTACTGGCTGGAGTGCCCTTTCCCTGGTCCTTTCCATGGCTATCAAAGTTGAGTACAAATAAACTATCATAACAGAGAGGCCTCCTGCACTCATACCATCTAATTCTGCTTCCTTTCCATCATACTCTATCATGCTACCCTGCACCAGTTTCTTCATTAATCACTCTCTGAAATCCTTATTTGCTTGTTGTCAGTCCTCTCCACTAGAATATATATTTATGAGAATAAGGACCCTCTCTGACCTGTTTTCTGCTGTATCTTTAGTGCCCAACAGCACCTAGCATGTGACAGATACTCCAAAAATATCTAATAAATGAACAAAGCCGGGGTAGGCTTTGGTAGCAGATGCAACATGTCCAAGGAGAAAATTTTTTTACGAAAACACATGATAACCTAGCTTCAAAGGGAGCTCCGTTTATATTATAGAATAATGTTAATAATCACGTCTCTGTGTGTGTGTGTTAGGTCACTCAGTCGTGTCCGACTCTGTGACCCCATGGACCATAGCTCACCAGGCTCCTCTGTCCATGGAATTCTCCAGACAAGAATACTGGAGTGCATTGCCACTCCCTTCTCCAGGATTAATAATCATACAGTGGTTTAATACTGAAATAGAATAGAGAGGACTTCATCTTTTATTTTCACCATTTTTAGCCATCACAGAATGGTTTTGAATGGCAAAGTGAAAGTAAAAGTCACTAAATCATGTCCGACTCTTTGCAACCCCATGGACTATATAATCCATGGAATTCTTCAGGCCAGAACACTGGAGTGGGTAGCCTTTCCCTTCTCCAGGGGATCTTCCCAACCGAGGGATCGAACCCAGGTCTCCTGCATTGCAGGTGGATTCTTTACCAGCTGAGCCACAAGGGAAGCCCTTGTTTGAATGGCAAACATTGCACGATTAATTTTTTCTTGCTCTTTTACTCAATCTGTACCTTTGAACTGCTTTAGAAATCTCTCTCCTTTCCTCATCCTTGAGGAATCTGCTCCACATTAACCTACATCTAGGCACCTTGTTTCTTCAATGTATTGATGAGTTCATCATCCATTCATTGAATAAAAAGGTACTGAGAGCCTATCATTGCCAGGCACTGTTCTAAGTGAACATAAAAGTAAAGGAAACAGACAGGGTCTCTTATTTTTAGTGATCATAAAGGGCAAGAAGCAAACAAACAAAAAACAACACTGGAGATCATAGAAAGACCCCTGGATACAGTAACCCTAGGAAGCTCCCTTTTGTTCTGCAATGATGGAAGAAAGTGAGATTTAGAAACAGACTGGCAAAAACATTTGTTCATTCAACAGATTATTACTGAGCATTTTCTAGGTAACAAGTAAACTGCTAGGTCGTGCAGATGATCAGTGAACAAGACCGACAAGGTAGTTCTTAACAAGTATATAATATTCTAGTGTGGGAGATGATACACTAGACAAGAAAAAAAAAATCAGTGACGTGAGTTCAGAGAAATCAGAGCAATGTGACTGGCACTTCAGACTGCACGAGGGGGAAATCTGAGAAAGCTAGTGTTAATCGCACAGTCGTGTGCAACTCTGCAACCCTGTGGACTGTAGCCTGCCAGGATCCTCTGTCCATGGGGATTCTCCAGGCAAGAATACTGCAGTGGGTAACCATTCCCTTCTCCAGGGGATTTCCCTGACCCAGGATGGAACCCAGGTTTCCTGCACTACAGGCAGATTTTTTTCCTGTCTGAGCCACCAGAAAAACCCCTGGAGTGGAGGGGGTGGAGGAAATTTGAAAAGATAACATTTAACCCAAGCCTGAATGAAGAGGAGCAACAAACCTTTCAAAGACTGGGCAAAGAATGTTCTAGTCACAAAGAACTCCAAGTACAAGGGCCTAAGGCAATAAGGAGCTAGGAACAGCCAGAGGACAGAGCACCCTAGTGTGGTTGAAGCAGAGGGGACAAAGGTGAATCGTTAAGGTCTGCTGAGAGGAGAGGGAAGAAGGTATCAAATTATGCAGGAATTCAGCTACTGTGTGAGTAGACTGAGAGGCTCCAGAGTGAAAATCTGGAGACTAGTGAGGAAACTACTTAAGATACAGCATAGACTAGGGTGGTAGTTATAAAGATGGAGACACACCAATCAATGAGGAATTGATTCGCATTAACAATGCGAAGTTTCCCTCTAAGTCACATTTGGTCTGTGATATTACCCCATATCCATGTTTGGGTGGTAGTGGGTTCCCTTTGCCAAGAAAGGCCCCCAAAGCAAAGGGTGCCGTGGGGGTGTGCCTGACAACCAACTGGTCATACCTACACTTTTGAATTCCTGAAACTTTGCATTCAATGAGCCACAGGTGCCAACTCCACAACGGGGAACCCTTTCAAAAATACTTGAGTTCAACCGACTGAGACAGATTTAGAGCTCCACTTCTTGGTTTCACTTCCCAGCAATGGGTACAAATTAAGAAAATAAAACGACTGGCTCTCTCTCAACACTCAGCTTGCCCATCACAATGGGCGAGGTTAAAAAGGTGCAAAATTAGAGGACTGGGACTGCATTCAGCCTTCAACATTCCCAACGACCTTCTACCCAGGCCAAGACCCCAATCCTGTAAATATGGAGGCAGGGGTAGAGGCGAATCCTTCCATGTCTCGACCAGATTTTATCTGTCACCAAGCCCAAGACATTCACCACAGGGTGGACGAGCCGAAACTTATTCTTAAAACCTGCACTTTTTAAGGAGACGCAGAATATCTATACAGTAGTTGCAATCGAAGCCAACGCGAGAGGGGCGCTGAAGCGCAGGCTAACAAGCCGCGCGTTTCGACCTTCGCTCCAGGTCCGCTTGGAGCCTGGAGGCATCCGCCTCGCACCGCCCTCTGGTTCTCCTACTTGGGACTCAAGGATTGGATCTCGCCCGGCACCGCCCTCTTCCCTTAGGCGACTGGAAGACTGCATCTCCGCAGTTCTTCAGCAAAAGAGGAAGCAATACTGCAAAGGTGCTTGGGGGCCCTCGATCATGTGCTCTCTGGTCAGGATACGGTCTCGGCCCAGAGTCCGTCAGTCCTACAGGACGGTGGGAAGTCCCCGGGCCGTCGCCACAGACCACCTCCTGCCAGTTCTCAGTCCCCTGCGTCCCCTCACGGGTGCGCGCTCCCCTGGGCGGTCTGGCTGCACCTGCGCGCGAGATCCCTGGCCCCTTTACCTTGTAGAAAGTGACTGTATCCAGGGGAAGGGCGCCCTTGGTGTGCAGGCCACTGCTGTCTTGCGGAGCGGAGAGGAAGAACAGAAGAAGGGAAAATAATGGAGAGAGAGAAGCGGCGCGGGGAATGGCGGCAGCCATGACGCCGGGTTCTGGCAGTAGGTGCTGGGAAGGCTGTAGTGGAGGAAACGCCGAGCCTGAGACCACGTAGTTTAGACGGGCAGGGCGGGTGCGCGCACGTGTACAGCCCACCAGGCTCACGCCGGCCTAGGCTGAGAGTGAGGAGCCACGTGAGGGGCGGGGAAATGGAGCTGCCGCGCGTGCGCACTCGGCGAAGCCCGCGCGGGTCGAGGGTGAGAGGGCGGGGCCGCGTAGGGGGGCGGGGGACGGACGGCAGTGCCGGGGAGGCTGGGGGAGGGGATGAGGAAGCGGAGGAGGAGGAGGAGGAGAGTCTGCTGCGCACGCGCACTCTGCGAGGTTGGCCATCCACCTGGCCTTTTCCGGTCATCCTCCGCGTGAAACGCGGCGTGAAGCTCGTGTTCGGTGTGTTTGCAACTTTTCGTTTGCTGTCTCTCTTCTTTTTCGAAGGCGACGAGGCAGGCCTTCGTTTGTTTCTGCCTCTAGCCCGTCAGGCAGTCGGCTGGGACCTGTTACTCCTCTGTTAATCAGTCTGACTACAACTACCCCTCCGTCAGGTGGCCCAGTATTTTCCTCAGTCAGTCACACTCCGCTCCCTCAGCCGCGACCGGAGTTGGACAGTGAGACTCGACTCTTCGTCAGTGTGGCGGTCAGGCCTTTTCTGCCGCTGCCCCAGTCCGGTATTAGGCTTGCTCTTTGGTGAGTGCCTCACCAGGGAGGCTCCGGGCTCCTATAAAAATAGGCTTCCTTGAAAGTTGACATAGGACATAGGTCTACCTATGTTCTAGGCTCTCTGAAAATTTTCTTGAAAGTTCTAGTAATTGTCTTCAACCAGTGTTTTTTCGGGGTAGTTTGCACCATATCCTGGTTTTGCCCGCGGGAATACAGAGTGCAGAGCTGTGTACTGAACAGACTCAGTGGTGGGAGGTGGAGACGCAAAATAGCCTTATAACCATTATAATGTAATTGTCAGAAAATAAAACTATTAATTTCGTGCAAACACAAATGGAGATTCAGTCAGCCAGGAGTGTCAAGGAAAGTTCTGGATGGGAAAACCTCTGGTGGCTGGGTCTTTTTTTTTTTTTTTTTCATTTATTTTTATTAGCTGGAGGCTAATTACTTTACATCATTGCAGTGGGTTTTGTCGTACATTGAAATGAATTATGTGGCTGGGTCTTGAAAGAAGAGGTGTTTACAAGGCAAACACCGAAGAGTATTTCTAGCAAGGGGGAAAGTATAATGAATCTGTGGCGGTAAACGGGGGTTGTGTTGTCAAGGGTCTCATCAAGATAAAAGGTTTGGAGTCACCAGAGGTTTTATCCAGGAGAGTGACTTAGTTTTGCTGTCACTCAACAATAAAGGGGGTGCATTGGAAGGCAGAAAGCTGAGGGCAGAGAAATGCATTGCAGTAGTCTAGGTGGGAGAGACTAAGATCCTGTAATCGCTCCTAACAGTAAAGATGAACAGATGAGGATGGGATTGAGAAAATTTTATAGGGTAGAATTCACAAGACTTGATGAAGAAATGGATGTGCTGATAAAAGAATAAGTTATATAACACACTATAAGGGGCTTAACATCAAATTAACCATTGTGTTGTGTTGTTGTATAGTCACTGAGTCGTGTCCGACTCTTTTGCCACCCCAGGGACAGTAGCCCACCAAGCTCCTCTGTCCATGGGATTCTCCAGGCAAGAGTATAGGGGTGGGTAGCCATTTACTTCTCCAGGGGATCTTCTTAACCCAGGGATCGAACCCCTGTGCGCTCCATCTCCTGCACTGGCAGGTGGATTCTTCTCATTGAGTCTCCTGGGAAGCCAGAGAAACCATTGCATGTGTCCAATAAATGTGTGTGTGTGTGTGTGTGTGCGCGTGTGTGTATGTATGTATAAGAGAGTCATCAAAGATAATAGCCAATCTTGGGTGGCCAGTTTAGATAGAAATTTTGAGAGAACCTTCTGTGTATGTGTTGGGAAGGTTCAGAAACATTTGAGTTTTCCCTAGTAAATTATTAAATAAAATGTGCCACATAGACAAATGAACAGAAGTTAGAGGAAGGGATAATTACTGTGAGGTAAAGTGGTTTAAAAAGTCTTCATGTAGAAGGTGGAAATGGAGTTAAGCCTTAGAAGAAAGAATGTTTGAGATGAAGAACAAATTAAAAAGGTGAAGTTGTAATGAGCATGATGCTTTGGGGAATGACTAGCTTAGCTTGAAGGAGTTCTTGAAACAGAAAGTTAAGACAGTTTTAAGCCCAGTTAGGGGAAAATCTTGAAAATCAAATGCTGTTTTGTCCTGTAGTCAATGTGTGCATGTGTGCTTAGTCACTTAGTCATGTCTGACTCTTTGTGACCCCATGGACGGTAGCTGCCAGGCTCCTCTGTCCATGGGGATTCTCCAGGCAAAAAGACTGGAGTGGGTTGCCATGCCCTCCTCCAGGGGACCTTCCGAACCCAAGGGTCGAACTCAGGTCTCCCACATTGCAGAGAAGCCACCAGGGAAGTCCCCTGTAGTCAATAGGAGCTGTTCACTTCTGAGTATATGAATGCCTAGAGTGCATCCTGTGGTAGGTAGTATGATTGATCAGGAGTGACTTTCTGGTCACGATTTGCTTAGAAGTGGGTTTTGAAAAAAGTGAAAGTGGTTTGGTTGGAGAGGAAAGGAAATGCTGGTACTTTTACTATGAATTGCAAACATATAGTAATTGTATTAAGCTCCCTTTTAATAATGGTCCCAGTTAAGACCCAGAGGGATTGGGTGGAGAGGGAGGTGGGAGGGGGGACCGGGATGGGGAATACATGTAAAAAAAAAAAAAAAAAGATACACTATGGTTGTGATAAAAATAAATAAATAAATAAATAAATTAAAAAAAAAAATAATGGTCCCAGTTAGTTACCTTATGATATAATTAGATTTCTTGGCTTCAGGACCTTGACAACCATCGTCTACACAAATAAGCCAAGTATAAGTCTCCATATTTAGGAAATCATAAAACCCCAGTTGACACTTGTGGAAAATCAAAAGGCTTACCCTGGGTCTTGTATGGAGGTAGGAAGGAGGAGGCGGCAAGGCATGTTTCTTTAAGAAGGAAGGAAAAGGACATGGTCTGCTGAGACAACTAATATATAAATTCTCCCATCTTTTTTTCCTAACATCATCAAGCTGATGACCCCCCAATCTCACTGACCTCTTTGCTCTTTCTCCTATACACAAGGCATGTTCCTGCCTCAGAGCTTTTATATGACTTTCTCTCTCTAAAACAATTTTTCTTCAAGATACTCATATGCCTGGCTCCTTCATTTCCCTCAAGCCTTTGCTTAAATGTCAGCTTCCTAAGATCTACCCTGACCATCCTTGAAAAAATTGGTCCTCTCTAATACCTCCCTGCTTTCCATCTCTCTTCCCCCTTATTTTTTTCTCCATAGCACTCTTCAACTTAACATACTGTATAATTTTTTTACTTTACTTAGTATCTGTTTCCTATGAAGGATGGGTTTTGTTTTGTTTTTCTTTTTGTTTTGTCTGTTGGGTTCACTGTTCCCAGCACCTGGCACAGTGTCTGGCACATGGTAGCTGCTCAGTACATTCTTGTTCTGTGAATAAATGAATCAAGTCAATGAGAGAGAAACTATTCCATGCCTATCTTTCAAAATTTCATTGATTCTTTCTTCATTCCCTTCTTAGATCACATATTGTTCTTTGGCACTATCCTCTTACTTAGAGCTAATTGCTTTTCCCCTGTAAGGTTTTGGTGATATTAACAGTAGTTCTTTTGACAGAGATGAACACTTAAGGCAGACTTCTCATTAAAGAATTGTTACAGAAGGAAGATTTGCTCCACAGTATTTTCTCCAAGCCCCGTACTCCTTTAAGAAGCTTTCAATATTTAATAACCATTTACTGAACATCTTTTACTCACACACTTCTGGAGACAAAGGTTACACTGGTGGAAAAAACAGATGTGCTCCCTGCAGTCCTAGAGGAGAGACTAACATTAAGTACTTATACAAATAAATATACAATTACAAGTCTACCATCCTTTTTCCTTATAAAAATGGTTTAATTATCAATGGCTTTCTACAATTTCTATGACTTCTAGCAATTTCTACAGTTTTCTACAACTTAAGCAATTTTTCCAGTTTTACATGAACTCTCACATTTCATTCAGTGGTTTATTGGGTTAACTTGCAAGTTTTACCAAAGCCCTGGAGTATAATTTGTTCAGGCGAGGAGTGGTGTATTCATTTAGAGCAGTCAGGTGCTCTCTTACAGTGTTTATCTTCAGCTCCCTCTTACAGTGTTTGTTTTACACTTTTTATTCTAAATATCATTCTTTTCAGTAGGAAAGACAGAAACATGTTATCCATTAATCGTTATATCATAAATTTCAGCAATGGGAAATATCCTTCCTTGCTTTTGTCCCAAACTTTGTTTTTTTTGGACATTAGAGTTTTGAGATACAACTTAGATACCGTACAATTCATCCTTTTAAAGTATACAGGTCAGTGGTTTCCAGTAGAATTGGACAACTATCCCCACGAGTTAATTTTGGAATATTTTTATCACCCTAAAAAGAAAGCCTGTACCCATTAGCAGTCACTCCCCAGTTCCCTCCCAAACTTTCTTGCCGGAGACAACACTAATCTACTTTCTGTAGCTGTAAATTTGCCTGTTTTGGACTTTTTGTATGAATGAAATTGTATAATATGTTGCCCTTTGTGATTAGATTTTTCACCTAGCCTAATGACTTCAAGGTTCATCCATGTTGTAGCATGTATCAGTACTTTTTTTAACTGCTGAATAATATTCCACTGTACTGGTATAGCACATTTTATTAACACATTTATGTGTTCACCAATTGATAGACATTTGTGTTGTTTCTACTTTTTGTCTGTTATGCATAACACTATTATGAATATTTGTGTCAAAATTTTTGTGTGAGCATAATGTTTTAATCTCTTAGGTGTATACCTAGAAGTAGGACTGGGTTTATACCTAGGAGCTGAGCCATACAGGATATATTTAACCTTTTGTGAAAGTGACAAAGTGGCTGCAATATTTTACATATCCATCAGGAATATATGAAGTTTCCTGTTTCTCAGCATCTTCATCTACTTGCTACTGTCTTTTATTATAGCCATCCTAGTAGGTGTGAAATGTCATCTCATTGTGATTTTAATTTGTATCTTCCTAGTGGCTTACGATGTTGATCATCTTTTCATGTGTTTATTGGTTATTCTGGGATAAGCCTCTAATTTTAAGCTTTTGCCTATGAATTCCCTGGTGGTCCAGTGGTTGAGGCTTTTTGTTTTGACTGCCAGAGCTCAGGTTGGATCCCTGGTTGGGGAACTAAGATCCTACAGGCTGTGAAGTGCAGGAAAAACAAAATAAAACTTGTTGCCAGTTTTTAAATTGGATTGTATTGTTGAGTTATAGGAATTCTCTATCTATATACAAATCCCCTTATTAGACATATGGTTTATAAATACTTCCGTGGGTTGTCTTTTTTACTGTCTTGATGGTACCCTTTGAAGAACTAAAGTTTTTGAAGAAGCCAATTTATATATATTTTTTTCTTTGGTTGCTTGTGCTTTTGTTATCATATCTAAGATGAAATTGTCTAATAAAAGAATTCTCTTGATGTCCCATTAATTTTTTAAATGACCTTTCCCTGTTTTCCCATTAACCAGTTTCCTATTAGTAGCACTGTACTGTTAAGAGTAAGAACTGTGATCAGACTGGCTGAGTTTGAATGTAGGTGTTATCACTTGATAATTCTGTAATCAGAAGGAAAATGACTCAACTTCTTTAAGCCTCAATTTCTTCATCTGTAAAATAGGGATAATACTTCTTACCTCAAAGATTGTGTTGAGGGTTAAAATGGCTTGCATAGAAAGCACTTGATAATTGGTAATGATTATTATTAGAAATTTTCTTTAAGTACTATTTTTGCTTAATTAAAATACTTTATTACATAGGTTTTTTTCTTGACTGTACCCACTGCAGTAACTTGATTCTGGTAGAAATTTCGTGAATATCTTGTTAAATTAAATTGATATGTCATATATACTAGTAGGGCTTCTCAGGTGGTGCTAGTGATCAAGAACCCACCTGCCAGTCCAGTAGACTTAAGAGACTCAGGTTCAATCCCTGGTTTGGGAAGATCCCCTGGAGGAGGGCACAGCAACCCTCTCTAGTATTCTTGCCTGGAGAATCCCACAGATGGAGGAGCCTGGCAGGCTACAGTCCATAGGGTCACAGTGAATCAGACATGACTGAAGTGACTTAGCACACATGCACATATACTAGTGCAGAAGAATTGATGCTTTTGAACTGTGGTGTTGGAGAAGACTCTTGAGAGTCCCTTGGACTGCAAGGAGATCCAACCAGTCCATCCTAAAGGAGATCAGTCCTGGGTGTTCATTGGAAGGACTGATGTTGAAGCTGAAACTCCAGTACTTTGGCCACCTGATGCGAAGAGTTGACTCATTTGAAAAGACCGTGATGCTGGGAAAGATTGAGGGCAGGAGGAGAAGGGGACGACAGAGGATGAGATGGTTGCATGGCATCACCGACTCAATGGACATGAGTTTGGGTAAACTCTGGGAGTTGGTGATGGACAGGGAGGCCTGGCATGCTGAGGTTCATGGGGTCGCAAAGAGACACGACTGAGCAACTGAACTGAATTGAACGTATACTAGTAGCCCATTACATTGCAAACTGGGATGTGTTTTAACTTGCTAAGGAGCTAAGTAAAAAGAAAAGAGAAAACTGAAAATATATATCACCCACTGCATCATTTGGGCTTGGATTAGCCCTTGTAGAAAAGGATTTGGGAGGATTATGTTTCCAAAGACATTTCAGAGCTGGGAAACAGTGCTAAATATACAGGCAGGGGATTAATTTATAGAGAAAAATAGAAAAGTAGAGCCCCAAATGTTGGTTGGTGGCATAAGTCATTTTAGAAGAGAGGCCGAAAGAGAAAAATTCTCTTGCCAGGAGTAGCAGACTGATTTGCCGTGACTGTTCTCTCAAACAGTTTGACATTTGTTCTTGACTGAGACAGGAGTCCTTTGTTCAAAAGCATTCTCTTATCACTTGGTAAGACTGTCATTAGTCCCTCACCCTTATTAGATAGATGTGTGATTAGAGGCCTCAAAACACTCCCTAAGACTTTATGGTAGGAGTTTCTGATCCAGAAATACACTGGTATTTTAATTTGTTTATCTAATAATTTAAGCAAAGTGATTAGAGCCTACCTCCACTTAATAATGTCCTGTCTTCCATTGCACAAGATATTCTTAATTTCATGTGAAAAAATGAATAACATATTTAAGTTACTCATGATTGAATTTACATTATCATTAAATATTTGTGAAATGTCTGAGGGAATGGTTAGATGAAATATAAATAGTTATGTAAATGAAATATTCTTCCTTCTGCTTTCTCCTTACCCCAATTTTTGTCCAAATTTTTCTAGTTCTTCCAGATAATGTTCAAATGACAGTCAGTGTACATTATTTTTTGTGACAATTATTCAAGATTTTGGAATTCAAGTTATTTTTCTTTCTGTAGTATAAGATCCTGGAAGTCTAGGTCTGTATCTTTTTTATATTTATATATGTCATACCAGTGTTTTATACAAAGTTGATATAATATTTAAGAAAATGTTAATAGTAAATAAATATGAGACATTAATAACCCCTTCTTCTTTCACATCTTTTCCAGATATTACTAAAAACTTGTTAATTGAGTGAATATACAGTCTCTCTTTCCCAATATAGGCTATTGTCCCTAAACAGGAACATATTTCAAACAGAACTCCCTTCTTCCCTATTTTTCTCTCCATTTTTTCTATTCCATTTCTCCCTTGCAGCTCCATTTATCTTTTCTTAGTGACTCATTCTGTGTACTTTTTATTATTCCTACCTCTTGCCCCTTCTTACGATTCCTAATGCTTTTTAGAACTTTGTTTCCTTGTCACCTGCTCATTCTGTTTTTGTTCTTTCTGCTTGGCTTTCTCCTCCACTTCTCACTACTCTCTCTCCTTGCCCTCAATATACAGGGCAGGATTGGGTAGGGAGGAGCCCAGCTGGGTTAAGGGTGGAGCTACCTGTTTACTGCTTGGAAGTCAGAACCTGTGCAGGAAGGATCAGGCTGCTTAAATTTGGCTGAGGCTGAAGCCCGTATGGCCTTCCTCCTGGAGACGAGCATTTTGGAGGACAGCTGGGATTTGGTGAGACTAGGAGGAACTCCTGCTGCTTTTTTGTCCCCTTACTTCCTCCCTGTTCTGTGTTTTTCACCAACAGTATCTCTCTCCGTACAATTAACTTTTCTTCTTCCTTTCCCCCTGTTGCTTACTATTCTGTGTTTTCTCTGTCTGGCTCTCTGTCAGTCAACTTCATTTAGTGTCTATTTGCCTTTTCTGTTACCCATTCTTTCCACTTACCTGACTGTTCTCTCTCAAAATTTAACTTTTTCTACCTCTTCTCCATTTTATTCCTGACTTTATTAATTTTCTCATCCAACTCTTTTTTTATTCAGTCATTTTCTGTCCACCTCTCTATTCTTTTTATCTTAGTGTTTCCCAGCAATGTAGCGATAAGGGAGGAAAAAGGGCCAACCTGGCTTTCCAGGGGCCTATTCACCCCTTCTACTCATTTTCAGACCTAGCATGTTTTGATTAGGTAATGAAGGGTTTGTGCTCTGCACAGATAGTTAATAAATAGTGAAATTAAAGTAAGGTTGAATATTAAAATTTAAAGACTTCATTTTATTCCCATTTTCTCTTATTTAGTTTTTTTCTGCGATACAGTGGATACAGTTTGTCATGGCCACTCTGAGGTAAGTCTGTTTAATCTCATGTAATGTGACTGTTTAAACTACTGCAAGCAGAACTGGAGAATTCTGTAGTTTCTATATCTCTGCCTCCACCCCCTGGGGATTTACTTTTATTCTTTAGAGAGATATGCTCTTCTTTACCATGCTGATTTTTTCTGATTAATAAAATGTAATAACATCAACAATTACAATAATAAAAAACAGATTGAAGAAATCAAAGGACATTTTGGTCAACAGGATTGATTTTCAAAACCAGTTGCAAAGTGCTCACTTTGGTAGCCCATATACTAAAAATTGTAACAATACAGAGATTAGCATAGCCCCTGCTTAAGGATGACACACAAATTCATTAAGCATTCCATATTTTTAAAACTGTGCAGTTTATTTTATATCAATTATATGTCAATAACTATATAAAAACATAGCAAAAACAAAGGAGCCCCAATTGTCCTGTTTAATGATAATCTTTTATCTCTGTCAGTGTTGTAGGTTCAAGTTCACTTATTGCCTATGCTATATTCCAGAACATACAGAAATCTCCAGAGGTAAGCAATCTGTTTTTGTGTTGGATTTGAATTTTCAGTGACTTAGCCTTTGAAATAAATGAGATGGGTGTCCCCTGTAAGTGATGGAATAATTCTATAAATTGCTTGTAAATTTGTCATTTTGATATATTGGGATGCTTTAGACATTGCCAATAGATCTCCCTTTTCTTTTAGGTAGTTATTTTAACTATAATTTTTAATACTGAAGAATTGACTAGATGTGGATTAGTGGATAAATGTAGATTTTTTTGGAGTATGCATTAATTATTAAAGTCAAGGAAATGGAGTGTTGTTTGAAGCCTATAATTTGCTCTAGGCATGGTAGGGTCCTGCCAAGAGGTGAGTTTTCTGATGTTGATATCTTGGTAAAATTGCTATTGGGGCTGGAAATAGTTCAAAGACTGCTATACAAAAGATATTTATTTTGCTGTTCTGGCCTTCTGGCAGTTACATTTAATGGTGAAAATAGAACAAAAATACATCCTGTGTAAAACTGATCATACCAAAAAAAAATCTTTTTATTGAGATGTAATTGACAAATAAAAATTGAATATTCTTAAGGTATTAAAAAAGACCAACCAGGGAGTTCCTTGATGGCCTAGTGGGTACATTTCTGGGCTTTCACTGCCTTGAAAAGATATTTTAAGAAAAATGTAAGAAAACTTTTTTAATCAGGCCAGGTGGCACAAAATTAAGCAAAATGTAATTTAGAACATGTATTAGAGAGCTTTTGTAATGTAGAAAATGTCATTAGGTTTTTTTATTTGACCCACTTTAACTCTGTATGTTAAATACTTTATCTTGTTGGTCCTCATCACTGTCCTATGAGAAGAATGGTATTAGCTCAGTTTTGCAGATAAGCAAATTGAGGCCCAAAGTCATGAAATAAGTTGTTCAAGTTACACAGTAAATAGCAGAGCAGGGATTTTTCAAAAGTCTAACTCTTAACTACAATCCCCCTTCAAATTAAATGCAAGTTTTCATAATTATTATATTATTGGTACATATGCCCAGTATTTTAAATACACTCTTCAGGACTTCCCTGGCAGTCCAGTGGTTAATACTGCGCTTCCTCTGCAGTGGGTATAGGTTTGATCCCTGGTTGGGAAAGTTCCACATGCTGCTTAGGGTGGCCAAAAAAAAACAAACAAAAAACATCTTTCATTTAATCCTTAAAATAATCCTGTGAAGTGAAGTCTCTCAGTTGTGTCCAACTCTTTGCGACCCCATGGACTGTAGCCTGCCAGGCTCCTCTGTCCATGGGATTTTCCAGGCAAGACTACTGGAGTGGGTTGCCATTTCCTTCTTCAGGAGATCTTCCCAACCCACGGATTTAACCCAGGTCTCCTGCATTGTAGGCAGATGCTTATATTATTAGTCTGATATTATAGATGGAGAAATGGAATCCTTATTAAATTGATGGATTTTCCTAAGGTCTCATAGCTAGTAAGTATTAAAACTAGAATTTGGGTGCAGACTTACCTTGTTCCAAAGCCTCTCCTCACCTGTATTTTTTTTAAGATTTTTTTTTTTTTAAATGTGGACCATTTTAAAAGTCTTAATTGAATTTGTTACAATATTGCTTGTTTTATGTTTTGGTTTTTTGGCCCTGAGGCATGTAGGATATTAGCTCCCTGATCGAAACTGCACCCCCTGCACTGGAAGGCAAAATCCTAACCACTGGACCACAAGGGAAGTCCCTCTCCCATACACTTTTAAACCACTGAAATATAATGCCTAATGAAAAGAGAATTTTGAATTTCAGAGATAGAATGTGGCTATGTAAGTAAAACTAGAAAGTAGAAGTCTTGATACTGTATTGTTAGTTGCATGCCAAAGTAATCTTAGGCCACACGTCTTCCTGTGATGTGAATTTCCTTAATGTTTGTTTCCTGGATGTTCATTAAAATTTTCATTCAGGTGTGATTAAGTTAATAAAATGTAAGTTACATAGAGAGGGGTAAGCAGAGATTCTCATCTCAGCCACTATTGACCTTTGGGATTATATGGTTATTTGTTGTAGGTGGCTGTCCTGCATCTTAGGATGTTTAGCAGACTTTACCTATTGGATGTTGCAGAAACCTTCTTCACCCAGTTGTGACAACCAAAATTATGTTCAAATGTTGTCAAATGTCTCCGGGAAGAGACAGTCACTTCTGGTTGCAAATCGCTGCTCTAGGGTGACTTCTGCCATGACAGTGGGTTAGAGCTTTATAAAGATGTGGGGTCTAGTTTGGCCTGGGGTGCAACCTTTAATTTCTCTGGCTTCAGTGCTCATACCTTTCACATAACCAGAGCCCGAGGGACCTTAGTAATTATTAATTCCGTAGTTCCTACACATTCTGTTTTCTTGGTTTAGGGAAGATTCCAATTTTTCCAGCTTAAAAATGTCAGTCATACTGCTGCTGCTGCTACTGCTAAGTTGCTTCAGTCGTGTCCGACTCTGTGTGACCCCATAGACGGCAGCCCACCAGGCTCCCCCGTCCCTGGGATTCTCCAGGCAAGAACACTGGAGTGGGTTGCCATTTCCTTCTCCAATTGTGAAAGTGAGAAGTGAAAGTGAAGTCACTCAGTTGTGTCCAACTCTTAGTGACCCCATGGACTGCAGGCTACCAGGCTCCTCCGTCCATGGGATTTTCCAGGCAAGAGTCCTGGAGTGGGGTGCCATGGCCTTCTCTGGTCAGTCATACTGCACTGTTTTATTTATTTGTTAAATCACATTTTTAACAACAAAGACACATGGAGGCGTAATCTGAAAAAAAGATAATTACTAAATTAATAATTATGATAAATTGGAGAAGTCCATGGGAAATCTTTGAGGGGACTAGCTGATTAGACAGTGACTCAGAGAGGCAACCTTAAAAGAGAAGAAAGTGGCTTAGGTCAGCCAATGTTAAAAAAAACAAAAGGCAGATGTACTTCACTACACTTGTATGACTTCATTTCCTTATGAAGGTCACTTTTGACATTCTTTGTAACCTGATTTCACTAGAAATATTGGGAAGCAGGGTTTTGGAAGAGTGTTAATATGGATTGCTTTAGGTATTTTACCTTACCGGGTAGACCTGGACCCAGAACCTTCTCAGGGAAAGTCTTTCACATAATGCATCTGTCTCTGCATTTTATTTTGCTCTTGATTTTAATTAGACAATTATAAATATATGGTTTTTTTTAAAGATTTTTCTTTCATGTTTAGGATCATTATTAAGCTTTTTCATGTCTTTCTTAACTGCTATGCTGATTGTATTTTTATTGAAACATTTTTTATTAAAAAAAAAATTTGGCCATGCCACGTGGCATGTGGGATCTTAGTTCCCTGACCAGGGATCAAACCAGTGCCCCTTGTAATGGAAGCATGGATTCTTTACCAGTGGACCACCAGGGAAGTACCTTTTTTAAAAAGTTTTAGATTTTTTATGTTTTGTATTTTTCTTAAAGTTTGGTCTCTATCATACATTTCTTTGTATTATATTTTATATAGTATCTTGTTAAACAGAAGGGGTGACATGTTTTTTTATTTCAATAATGGATGCATCAGTTTTGTTTTTGAATGGTATATACTTTATACATTTTTTTTGTTTGTTTGTTTTGTTTCCATTTATTTTTATTAGTTGGAGGCTAATTACTTTACATCATTGCAGTGGTTTTTGTCATACATTGAAATGAATTAGCCATGGATTTACATGTATTCCCCATCCCAGTCCCCCCTCCCACCTCCCTCTCCACCCGATCCCTCTGGGTCTTCCCAGTGCACCAGGCCCGAGCACTTGTCTCATGCACCCAACCTGGGCTGGTGATCTGTTTCACCCTAGATAATATACATGTTTCGATGCTGAACTTTATACATATATATTTTTAGAAATATTATTTATTTATTTGGCTGCTCCTGCTCTTAGTTGCAGCACACAAGATCTTTTAGTTGTGGCATGCAAACTCTCAGTTTCGTTATGTGGGATATACCTGGATCACCTGCATTGGGAGTTGGGGGTCTCAGCCACTGGCCCACCAGGGAAGTCTCAGGTTTTGTTGTTTATTTGATTTCGTCCCCTGTTACTAGAACTCATGATTTTCCAACCATGAGTGAAAGTATATAAACCTCTTTTTATCCTTTATTTCTCCACGAACGACCTTAGGTATGTTTTAATGACCAGCAGTTCCCTGTGTTTAAGGTTATTTGTTGAATCATTGACTATAATTATGTTCTTGCTCACAAGAGCTGCTTGGCTGCCTTTCTGCTCCAGAGTTTATTTTGTATTCTGTTTTAATTTTTTACCCATTAACAGTTATAAACTTGTGGTAGGTCATAGACCAGTAGAATCTGTGAAAGAATTTAGTTTTTGCATTTTTGAACTTAATATAGATGGGATAACACTGTATTTTTGAGGATGTATTGCTTTGTGATTTGCTTTTTTTCCTCATTATTACTTCTGAGATTTGTCCATGGTGTTGTGTATAGCTCTGCTTCATTTCTTTCTCATTGATGTTTAGCATTCTGTATTATGAACATACCACAGTTTATCTATCTGTGCTAGTATAAACAATCTGGTAGGTGTCTTCTGATGCCCACATGCAAAAATTTCTCTAATGTATTTACCTAATAATAGAATTGCTATAGGATATGGATATCCCGTAGATAATGCCAAGTGTTCTTCAAATGGTTGTGCCAGCAGTGTATGAAATGTCTTATTGCTTCATGTTCCCCTCAGTATTTGATATTGTCAGACTTTAAAATTTTTTGCCATGGGTGTGTAATTTTTGTCCCACTGTAGATTTTTTTAAAAACAGAATTTCATTTATTTTTGACTGTGCTGGATCTTTGTTGCTAAATGTGGGCTTTCTCTAGCTGCAGTACACAGGGGCTATTCTCTAATTGTGGCTCACAGGCTTAGTTGCCCTGAGGCATGTAGGGTCTTAGATCCCAGACCGGGAATTGAACCTGTGTCCCCTGCATTAGCAGGCAGATTCTTAACCACTGGGCCACCAGGGAAGTCCCTGTCTCATTGTTGATTGATTGATTTGACTTTTGGTCCCCTTGTAGTTTATGATTGATTGACTTTGGTCTCCTTGTAATTTTAATTTTTTAATTTCCTTGATTACTGATTGGGTCAGATGTACTTTCACATGTTTATGGTTATTTGAATTTCTTTCTTAACTACCTATTCAAATCTTATGTCCATTTTTTTCTATTAGTTTTTCTTATTGCATTTTAAGAGTTTTTGTTTTTAATATTGTTTGGACACTGTTCCTTTGTTAGTCATATGTGTTACAAAGATCTCCCACTTTGTAGCTTGTCTTTTCACTTTCTTTATGGTATCTTTTGACAAACATTTTTCATTTTAATGTGGGCAAATTTTTAACTATTTCTTTTAGAATTTTGTTTAGGAAAAACTTTCCCTAAAATTGAAGACATTCTTCTATATTACCTTTAAAAAACTTTTAAAAAAACCTTTATAGATTTTTGTCTTTCACATTTAGGTCTTTGAACTAGTTGAGACTAATTTTTGAGTGTGTGAAATAGAAAGTTTGGGCCCAATTTCATTTTTATCCATACGGATACCCAGTTGTTCTAGTATCACATTTTGAAAAGCCTGTTCTTTCTCCACGCAGAAAGCTGCCTCTGTCATGTATCAAAGGGTTATAAATCTTCTGTATATATATGTATATGTATTTGCATGCCTAGGCTTGTTTAGACTCCATTCTGTTCTGTGGATCTGTTTGTCCGTCTCTGGGCTAATACCACTGTATCTGCTTTATATTGTATCCAGCTTTATGTTGTTTGGTATGTGTAAGATAAGTCCTCTTTCTCCTTTTTCTTAAAGAATGTCATGGTTAACTTGATATTTTGTGTTTCAGTATCAAAGTTAGAGCCAACTTCATCAAACTATACAAGAAAATATGTTGAGATATAATGATTTACATTTAATCTGTGTATCAGTTAAAGGAGAACTGACATTTTCATAATACTGGATCTTACAGTTCATGAGCATTCACCTTATCTTTGGGGTCTTTTAATAAACATTTTATAGTTTTCTCCATGGGGGTCCAAAACTGTTTTCAAGAAAGTGGGAGGGTATAGACCAAAAGGAGAAGGATACAAGAAAGTGAGACAGACAAACTTCAGAATGTAGTTAGAAACTGAAAGACAACATATATAATTCTTGCTGGTATTTTTCTCCATCTTGACTTTCATTAATATGAAAGCCTATAAGATGAATAAAATCTTAGGATCTTATACATAACCATGATAACCATAGTTGATAGCACCATATTGTATAATTGAAATTTGCTCAGAGAATAGAATGTAAATGTTAAATGTTCTCACACACATTTATGTTATATAAATAAATATGTGAGATGATGGATGTGTTCATTAGCTTGAGGGAAATCCTTTCAGAGTGTATATATACATCAAATCATCACATATACTTTAATTATCTTATAATTTTATTTGTCAGTTACACATCAGTAAAGAAAAATTGCAAATTAAACTATGTGACAATTTAAAAACACTTGTTTTCATGTTCTTTGTGTTCTTAACCATATCCTAAAACACTCAGATATCATTTCTTACTGTTAGAAGATGTTGGCTCTGCAGCTAAAATACTTAATATTTCCCATTTGAGGTATGTCTCCATTACAAAATTTTTCATTTTTTCGTTCTTTCCTTTGACCCTGTATCTGAGGAAGGAATGTCTCTTTGAGAGAGAAGTTCCTCTGGTTGCAGAACAGTTGGAATAATTGAGATTACAGACTCCTTCCTGCCTGGATTATTCATTTAGATTCCCTACAGTTAGCCAGTAGCAGAGGCCCCAGAGAAATTGTGCCCAGTTTTATACGATAAAGGTTAAGCATAATTGATTGTTACATTCTTGACTGCATCATTTTTGAAAGTATGAATTTTCTTGCTTTGACAGAGAAGACCACTCTTTTACCTGAGCTTCTCTGACCTCCTCTTGGGGATATACTGGCTCACTGAGGCACTTCTCTATGGAACTTCAACAGCCAATAAGGACATTGTCTGCTATAACCTGCAAGTAGTTGGACAGGTGAGTACTACTAGATTAAGACAACATCTTATATGAAAGGCACACTCTGATCTAAGTAAGAAGTGAAGATAACCCATCCTGGGAAGTGGGACCCTTTTATTTATTGTTACACTTTAAAATAATAGCTTTTACTGTTTATCCACATTAAGAAAATACTTACTGTAGAAAATTTGGAAAATATGGAGAAGCAAAAAGGTAATTAAATCACCCAGATATAATTACTCTTTAATATTTTATGTATATTATGTATTTTCAATCTTCTCTATAGATAAATACATTTTAGAGCTAATATAATATATTAATACTCTTATAATCTGCTCTTATTATTCAACATACTCTGACCATATTTTCATGTAATGGAGTATATTTCAACATCTTTTGAGATTATTGCATTTTTTATTAATATAATGTTGACTTTTAGAAATACTACATATGATTATATGTAAGTTATATATCTTTCATAGATTTTATCAGTGGATTAACCTACCTAGTACTATCAGTATATAATGCTTCTGAGACTTAGGATGTGAAAAAAGTAGAGGCTAATGTGCAGTCTATACTCACTGCTAGTTACTTCCTCTGGGAGTTGTTGCTAGAGGGGAAATTTGTTTTAATTTAGTAGGAAAATACTGATATGTAACTAGTGATATGAACTCCAGGTACTAATAATATGTTACCTGTCTTGTATGAATTTAAGTATCTTAGAGACATACTTTATTCAGTCCTGCTTATAACCTCATAAATATGGTTAAGGCTGTATTTTCTCAGGTAATAATAAATTATTATATTATAATATTATAATCTTTGTTGTTCAGTCATTTCAGTTGTGTCTGACTCTTTGCGACCTCATGGACTGCAGCACACCAGGCTTCCCTGTCCATCACCAGTTCCCGGAGCTTGCTCAAACTCATGTCCATTGAGTCAGTGATGCCATCCAACCATCTCATCTTCTGTTGTCCCCTTCTTCTCCTGCTTTCAGTCTTTCCCAGCATCAGGGTCTTTTCCAATGAGGCAGTTCTTTGCATCAGGTGGCCAAATATTGGGGCTTCAGCATCAGTCCTTCCAGTGAAAGTTCGGGGTTGATTTCTTTTAGGATTGACTGGATTGATCTCCTTGCAGTCCAAGGGACTCTCAAGATGATTCTTCATTCAGCACACAGTTTGAAAGCATCAATTTGGAGCTCAGCCTTCTTTAGGGTCCAGTTCTCACATCTGTACATGACTACTGGAAAAACCATACCTTTGACTATATGGACCTTTGTTGGCAAAGTGGTGTCTCTGCTTTTTAATATGCTGTCTAGGTTTGTCATAGCTTTCCTTCTAAGGAGCAAATATCTTTTAATTTCATGACAGCAGTCACAGTCCACAGTGATTTTGGAGCACAAGAAAATAAAGTCTGTCACTGTTGCTATTTTTTTCCCCATCTATTTGCCATGAAGTGATGGGATTGGATGCCTTATCTTAGTCTTTTGAATGTTAAGTTTTAAGCCAGCTTTTTCACTTTCCTCTTTCACCTTCATCAAGAGATTCTTTAGTTCCTCTTCACTTTCTGCCATAAGTGTGGTGTCATCTGTTTTTCTGAGGTTACTAATATTTCTCCTGGCAATCTTGATTCTAGCTTTTATCCAGCCTGGCATTTCACATGATGTACTCTGTATATAAGTTAAATAAACAGGGTGACAATATACAGCCTTTGATGTACTCCTTTCTTAATTTTGAACCAGTCCATTGTTCCATGTCCAGTTCTGTTGTTTCTTGACCTATATACAGGTTTCTCAGAAGGCAGGTATGGTGGTCTGGTAAAATTCTCTTGAAGAATTTTCCACAGTTTGTTGTGATCCACACAGTCAAAGGCTTTACCGTAGTCCATGAAGCAGAAGTTTTTCTGGAATTCTCTTGCTTTTTCTGTGATCCAGTGGATATTGGCAACTTGATCTTTGGCTCCTCTGCCTTTTCTAAATCCACCTTATACATCTGGAAGTTCTCAGTTCGTGTACTTTTTTTTTTCCATTTATTTTTATTAGTTGGAGGCTAATTACTTTACAATATTATAGTGTTTTTTGCCATACATTGACATGAATCAGCCATGGATTTACATGTGTTCCCCATCCTGAACCTCCCCTCCCACCTCCCTCCCCATTCCATCCCTCTGGGTCATCCCAGTGCACCAGCCCTGAGCACTTGTCTCCAACCTGGACTGGCGATCTGTTTCACACTTGATAATATACATGTTTCGTGCTTGAAGGCTTTTGAGCATTATCTTACTAGAAAAAAAAAAATCTGCATTGGAATCCTGGACTTGATTAACTTTGTGACCTTAGGCAAGTACTTCATCTTTCCGAACTCAGTCTCCTAAATCTATAAAACTGTCACTAATAACAATTACCTTGTGTTTGGCACAGATGTGATTAATGTTACTTTATTTTTTGAACTTTATTGAGTTATGTATTCAAAAACTACATATATTTAAAGTGTACATTTTTTATATATGTATGAAATCCTCACCGCAATCAAGTTAATAAACATTACTATTTCTGTCACCCCCTAAAATTATTTCAAATGTTTTTTCCCTTAAATGCATTGTAAATAGTTGCTTTTAAAACTACTGATTGGGGAGAAGGAAATGGCAACCCACTCCAGTATTCTTGCCTGGAATATCCCGTGGATGGGGGAGCTTGGTAGAATACAGTCCATGGGGTCATGAAGAGTCGGACACGACTGAGCAACTTCACTTACTTTCTTTTACACAGTATTAAAGGAGGCTCCATGATGACATTTGGTTCCTCCTGAACTCATTTTTCTCAAGCCTTGAGCTGCTAATGGCTCAGCAAACCAATACATCTTCCTCATGAAAATGTTTTTCTTAATCTATATTAATGAAACTCTATATTTGCTTGGAAATCTGCCTGTCTTCAAGATTCATGTCAATTGTTTTATGGCCAGAGATAACTCCCTTTGTGCCAGTTCTGTCTCAAAATGCTTGCTAACCAGTATAGAATGCTTTGCTAAAAACTAAAAACGATCTCAAAATGCTTGCTAATCAGTATGTAGTGCTTGCTAAAAACTAACAAGGGGGCACTGTTTGTGTCCCCTCCTGATGTCTGTGTCGGAAGCTTTCTCTGTCCCTTTGCACTTTAATAAAACTCTGCTATACACACACACAAATAAAGATGCTGTTTGGATGTTTCCAACATCTGGCTCATTTCTGAGTTGATGTTTGATGATTATCTTCTCCCATGAGAGTCAGTGACATTTTTCTTTTCTTTATATATAGAATGTAATTATCATCTCATCATCTTTAGGCAGTGGTTCAGATCTCAGTCTATTTCTCTAAGCCTTGGCTGTGCTGTTTTGGGACTACCATGCTTATGCATGGTGTAGGGGTTAGGCTGAAACTTATATGGAATCACACACAGAATCAGAGCATCCTCATTTCTGACTCTTACCATTTCTGGGATTCTCCCCATGCTTTTCCACACCTTCCTACCTGATGGGAGCCCTTCTCCGGTTTCTGTAGCCTAAAGGATGGGTTTCTATTAGAGTTTTAGGTGCCTACATTGAGTAGCATCACGATTGGGGTACACATTTGAGGCAAAACTGTGAGAGAGAAAAAGTTTGGGAAACTTATTTCTGTGCAGTTCACTTCTTCACATTTGACTCCCTTCTGTAATCCACTTGCTTTTGTTTACTTTGCAGAGTCCTCAAGTAATTAATTTTTATATTTTTACCAGATAGTTTTTCTTTGTAGTCAGTGGAAGGGATGAGCTATAGAGGGCTTAAACACAGTAGCTTATTTATTTAATGAATTAGTTGTAGTTTTTGAAATTGTGGTAAAACACATTTAACATAGAATTTTCCATTTAACCATTAAAAAATTTTAGGTTTTGGTAAAAATGCATAACAAAATTTAGTATTTTAGCCACTTTTAAGTATACAGTTCAGCAGCATACATTCACATTGTTGTGTAACTATTCACCTCCAGATGTTTTTATTATCCCAGACTGATATTCTTTATCCTTTAAATAATACCTCTCCATTTCTTGTACCTTCCAGCCTCTGGTAACCACCTATGAATTTGACTACTCTGGGTACCTCATGTGTGTACTAAGTTGCTTCTTGTCTGACTCTTCATGTCCGACTCTTTGCGACCCTGTGAACTATAGCCCACAAGGCTTCTCTGTCCATGGGGATTCTCCAGGCTAGAATACTTGAATGGGTTGCCATGCCCTCTTCTAGGGGATCTTCCCAACCCAGGGATTGAATCCAGGTCTCTTTTGTCTCCTGCATTGTTAGGTGGGTTCTTTACCACTAGCACCACCTGGGAAGCACTGGATACCTCATATCAGTAGAATAATACAGTATTTGACCTTTTGTGTTAGCTTGTTTCACTGAGCTTAATGTCTTCAAGGTGTATCCATGTTGTAGCATGTGTCAGAATTTCTTTTTTTTAAAATTTAAGATATAATTGATATGTAATATTTTATTAGTTTCAGATGTACAACATAGTGGTTCACTTTTTAATAGATTATACTCTGTTTTGTTTAAAATTATAAAATATTGGCTATATTCTCTGTGCTGTATAATATATCTTTGTATCTTGTTTATTTTATACATAGTAGCTTGTACTTGTTCATCCCCTACCCATTTTTTGCCCCTCCCTCATCCATTTTTTCCCACTGATAACCACTTGTTAATTTTCCAGGTGAGAATATAAACTAGTGGTTACAATCCATAGGGTCCCAAAGAGTCACACAGGACTGAAGCAACTTAGCACAACCAGTTGTTCTATTAGGTATATCTGTGATGAGTTTGTTTCTGTTTTGTTATATTTATTCATTTGTTTTATTTTTTAGATTCCACGTACAGGTAGTAACATATAGTATTTATCTTTCTCTGATTATTTCACTAAACATTATACTTTCCCCCTTCCATCTATGTTGTTGTAAATGGCAAATTTTCATTCTTTCTTATGGCTGTGTAATATTGTATTGTGTGTATGTAAGTATATATATATTTATTTATACACCACATATTTTGTATCTATTCATTTGTTGATGGACAGTTATGTTCCTTCCATATCTTGGTTATTTTAAATAATGCTGCTATGAATATTTAAGTTTGATATTGTCTTTTCAAATTACTGTTTTCTTTTTCTTTGGCTATATATGCTCAGGAGTAGAATTGCTGGATCATACGGTAATTATATTTTTTTCAGGAACCTCCATATTGTTTTCCATAGTGGCTGAACCATTTTACATTCCCAACTGTTATAGGGTTCTCCTTTTCCCCACATCCTCACCAGCATTTGTTATTGGTGGTCATTTTTTTGATATCCATTCTGACAGATGTGAGATAATATCTCATTGTGGTTTTTATTTGCATTATCCTGATAATCAGCAACATTGAACATTTTTTTGTGTGCCTGTTGGCCATCTGTATGTCTTCTTTGGAAAAATGTCTATTCAGTTCTGCCCATTAAAAAATTTGGTTTTTTGGCTTTTTGATATTGAGCTGTATAAGCTATTCATATATTAGCTCCTTATTGGATATATCATTTGCAAATATTGTCTCCTGTTCTATAGTTTGTCTTTTCTTTTTCTCAGTGGTTTGCTTTACTGTGCAAAAGCTTTTAAGTTTAATTAGATCTCATCTGTTTATTTTTCTTTTGTTTCTTTTGCATGAGGAAACATCCTAAAAAATATTTCTATGTCAGAGTATTCTGCCTATGTTTTCTTCTAAGAGTTTTATGGTTTCCTGTCCTACATTTAGGTCTTTGATCCATTTTGAGTTTATTTTTGTATATGGTATAATCATAGTTGTTGTTGTTTGGTTGCTAAGTTGTGTCCAATTTTTTGCGACCCCTTGGACTGTAGCACACTAGGCTCCTCTTTCCATGGGATTGCTGAGGCAGAAATACTGGAATGGGTTGCCATTTCCTTTTCCACAGATCTTCCTGACTCAGGGATCAAACCTGCATCTGCTGCATGGCAGGCTGATTCTTTACTGCTGAGCCACCAAGGGAAGCACTATATGGTGTGATAAAATGTTCAAATTTCATCCTTTTACACATAACTGTCCAGTTTTCCCAGCAACATTTATTGATGAGTATCTTTTCACATTGTTTATTTTTGCCTCTTTTGATAGATTAATTGACCATAAGTGTGTGGTTAATTTCTGGGCTCATTATTTTGTTCCATTGATCTGTGTGCCTGTTTTTATGCCAATACCATACTGTTTTGATGACTTACCTTGGTACTGTAGTCTGAAGTCAGGGAATGTAATAACTCCAGCTTTGTTCTTTTTTCTCAAGCTTTCTTTGGCTATTCTGGGTCTTCTGTGGTTCCATATAAATTTTAGGATTATTTGTTCTAGTACTCCTAGATATTTTCATAGAGATTGTTGCATTGAGTCTGTAGATTGCTTTGGATACTATGGACATTTTAACAATATTAATTCTTCCAATCCATAAACATGGTGTATCTTTTCATTTCTTTGTATCATCTAAAATTTCCTTTGTCACCATTCTATAGTTTTCAGAATATGTCTTTCACCTCTTTAGTTGTTTGTTTTTTTTTTGGATGCTGTTTTAAATGGAATTGGTTTTTTTGCTTTCTCTTTCTGATAGTTCCTTCTCCAGGGAATCTTCCCGACCCAGGGATCAAACCCAGGTCTCTTGCATTGCAGGCAGACACTTTACCCTCTGAGCCACCAGGGAAGCCCATATAGAAAAGCAACAGATTTCTGTATATCAATCTTGTGTCTTGCAACTTTACTGAATTCACTGATGAGCTCTAGTAATTTTTTGGTAGAGATTTTAAGGTTCTGTATGTGTAGCATCATGTCATCTACAGATAGTGACCATTTTACTTCTTCTCTTCTAACTTGGAAGCCTTTTCTTTTTCTTCTCTGATTGTTGTAGCTAAGACTTATATTACTATTGAATAGAAGTGGTGAGAATGGGCACCCTTGTCTTACTCCTGATCTTCGAGGACCACTTTTCACTGTTGAGTATGATATTAGCTGTGGTCTTGTCATCCATGACCTTTATTATATTGAGGTATAGTTACCTGTATATCCAGTTTGTAGAGAGTTTTTTTCATAAATGGATGTTGAATTTTGTCAGAAGCTTTTTCTGCATCTATGGGGATCATGGTTTTTATTTTCCTGTTGTTAATATGGTACACCACATTGACTGATTTGTGGATATTGAACTTGATCATGGATATTCCACTTGATCATGGTGTATGTTCCTTTTTATGTATTGTTGAATTTGGTTTGTTAATATTTTGTTGAGGATTTTGACATATAATTTCATGATTATGTTGTACCTTGGTATGGTTTCTTCATGTTATGTTTGGTTTTATTAAGTTTCTTGGACATGGTGGTTTGTATTTTCATCAAATTTGAAAATTTTTTGGTTATTATTCCCTCAAATATATTTTTTTTCCTCCCTTCCTCTCTACTCCTGCTGGAATTCCAATCCCATATTAGGGATTATTAGCCTGCTTGTATTGTTACATAACTCACTGAAGTTTTGTTCCTTTTTTTCAAAGTCTTTTATCTCTAGGTGTTTCATTTTACTTTCCATTTCTGTGTCTTCAAGTTTACTAATTTTTTGCAATTTCTAATTTTCCGTATTTTAAATTCCATATATTTTTCATCTCTAGACTTTCAGCTTGGATCTTTTTTATATCTTTCATTTCTCAATGTTGTCCTAATGCTTTCCTCTACCTTCTTGGACATACTGAGTATATTTACAGTAGTTCCTTTAACTTTTTTTTCTTAATTTTTATAATCTATGTTGTTTCTGGGTCCATTGCTATTGATTAATTTTTCTCTTGACTATGGGCCATAATTTCCTGCTTATCTACATGACTTACAATATTTTAATACACACCAGATATTATAGATTTTATATTGTTGAGTATTGGGTTTTATATATACATATAAATCCCCTTTAAATTCAGGAATTTTGTCTTCAATGTAGTTAACTCTCAGTTTGTTTGATCCTTTGTTTTTTTGAAGGCTTGCTTTTAAGCTTAGTTAGGGCAGTATTTCATGTACAGCTAATTTGGTTTGATTAGTAGGGCAGTACTCTTCTTATGATTTTACATTATTATTCTACAATACTGCCATTCAGCCTATGGATTAGGAATTCTTTCCACACTGGCTGATGGAGACACAAGCTATTCCTTTAGGAATTTTTTTTTTTGAAGGTTGTTCTACATACTCCTTTCTGGTGCTTCTTTTTCTGTTCTTGATGGTTTTCTCTCCTATGTATATACTTAACCAAAGACTAGAAGATACCTCTGCAAACCTCCAGAGCACTAGGTTTCTGTGTATCTGCCTCTTCTCTGATAATTTGCTTCACACATTTTAGCTGCCTTGGCCTCTCTGAACACTGAAATCTGTCTCAACTCACAAACAGCTTATTTCTTTGTTTTTTTTAATAGGAAAATAAAAGTAAAGTAATTTATTTATTTTTTATTTTATTTTTTTTTTTACGTAGTGGACAGTTGTTATTTATTTGATTATTCACAATCTATCCCCTTGTTGTCTTCTTTTTTTTTTCATTTATTTTTATTAGTTGGAGGCTAATTACTTCACAACATTGCAGTGGGTTTTGTCATACATTGACATGAATGAGCCCAGACAGCTTATTTCTTTTGGAGTCCCCTTCACCACACTCACTTTGCCCAGCTGGTTAGCTGGGTTCAACTTGTTTGTTTTTCTTTTTTTCGGGGATTACTCTTCTGTACTGATTGTTATCCGATGTTTGAAAACAGGGTGTTTTCATGTATTTTGTCCAGGTTTTAGTTTTTTAAGGCTGAGATGCAAATTCTGTTCCTTTTATTTCATCAAAAGATGGAAGCAAAAGTTCCTTTTCTTGGATTTTTGTCCTACTGGTTTGTTGCAATCTTGTCAGCTCTTTGATGTTTTTAAAGATTAAAAACATATTCATGTTTAGTTCTTTTGAATGGAAAGTTTGGTTCAGATAGCCTAGGCTTTCATTATTATAAATGGAAATTCTTATGTCCTTTTCTTTATTTTTTTAAATTTTTATTGAAGTATAGTTGATTTACAATATTGTGTTAGTTTCAGGTATACAGCAAAGTGAATCTGTTATACATAAACAAATATCAACTCTTTTTTTAGATTCCTTTCCCATATAGGCCATTACAGAGTATTGAGTAGAGTTCCCTGTGCTATACAGTAGGTCCTTACTAATTAACTATTTTATATAGAGCAGTCTGTATATGTCAATCCCAATCTCACAATTTATCCCTCCCCCACCCCTCATCCCCTGGTAAACTTGTTTGTTTTCTACATCTGTGATTTGACTTCTGTTTTGTAAAAAAGTTCATTTGTACCCTTCTGATGTCCTTTTCAATTAAAAAATGAAATAGAAAAAGATTCTATGATATCCTCATAAAAATAGAACAGTTGAATGAGAGGAGGTGGATAATGTTGTGGTTCTTCTGAACAGTCAAAAGGATAAAATAAGGATGCTGGGACATATTTTAGGTAGGCCTGGGTTGAATTCTCAGACTTGGCCCAGTTTTGCATGATAGGGATACTAGATGGTAAGTTACTAATAGACCAGTAGGTAGGATTCTTACAGTAGAAAATAATGAAATAAATTGAAAGAAGCCATAGTGGGACAGTTATGATCAGTTGTTTTGATTTTCATCTAGGTATTGTACATCTCCTCATTTTTCTACACCATCAATTATATCTGGTATCTGTACAAAGAACTGAGGATGAAACCTAGCCAGAGTGCACAGAGGACATTTTCACTGGTAAGTTTTATTCAGAGCTGATAGTTAAGAACAGTATGCTAAAACAAATCCACAAGTCCTTGACAAATAGTTTAGCACTTAGCACCAAATAGGTGAATTCATTGGAGTTGATAAAAGAGAAAACTCATGGAGTTTCCACTCTGTTGACATGATTTCTCTACTCTTGTGCCACCATCACCACCCCTGCCGCCGCCACCACCACCACCACCAACAGGATTTGATTATAGGAAACATTATTTACAGTATTACCATTCCTGCCTGGTTCCTTTCAGTGAGGGAAATCCTTCTTGGCTCTATGCCAGTCCATCATTGTTAAAGAAGATCTTGGCGAGCAGGTAGGGAAAATGCCCAGCTAGCTAACATGGGATTTGGGTTGTGGGTATTGGAAAGGCAGAGTGTTGCGCTCTGAAGTATTTTGTTGGTTTATGTGGGTAACGCGTACTGGTTTGCAGAAGGGCAGAGGAATAAGTGCATGGTAATTAGAAAACAAGATGGATCCAGGAAGCAACCCGTTCCTTCTTTGATTCACAAAAGAGTTTTGGACACTGTCTAGCATTGCAGAAAGAGACAGAGAACACTTGGTAAATAAGTCAATATACCTGGATCCTTTTCTGTGTATGCATATCTTACATATATCACATAATTCACCTGTTTCATGTGTACAATTCAGTGTTTTTTTTTTTTAATTCAGTGGTTTTAAAAGTAAACTTACCAGGTTGTAAAATTATCATAAATCAGTTTCAGAATATTTTCTTTACTCCAGTAAAATCCTTCATGCATATTTACTGTTAATTTGTTTTCCATACCCTGCCCTGCCCTTGTTGTTCAGTCACTAAGTTGTGTTTAGCTCACCCTGCTCTAGGCAACCGCTAATACACTTTCTGGCTCTATAGATTTTCATTTTCTGGACATTTCATATAGATATTTTATATATCATACAAAATATTTTGGTGCCTGGTTTATTTTATTTGGCATAATGCTTTTGAAATTCATTCATTGTATATAAGTAATTCATTCCTTTCTATTGCTAAATAGTATTCCATTGTATAGTACTCTTAGTTCCTTATTTCTGATTCTTTAAGTAAATCACTAGGTAATTTAGCAGAATACATTTTTATGTTGTTATCATTGTTCATTTCTTCAACTGTCTTTGTGTGTATTTTATCTTACTCAATAGTCTAGTCCTCTTATTTATGGCATATCCATTCTGTTGTGGCTTTTTGAAGGAGAATTTTTGTTCAGGAGCACCATGGAATAAATGAATCTAGAAAGCCTCCCAGCATATTTTTTCCAAAGCCTACAGTTCTAGAACAAATGAAAGTGGTATCCTATCATGTAATGATGAAACACAGCAAATGTTTGTTGAATGAATAAATGGTCTTATAGCATTGTGAAAAGAGCATTTGAAAGTAAATTGGGAGATCTGTCCTCTAAACCTATTTCTGTCATTATATCTCTTGTATGACCTTGGGCACATCATCTTCCTTTCTTGGGCCTCAATTTTTCATCATAAAAATGAAGTGCTAGGGGACTTCCCTCATGGTCCAGTAGTTAAAACTTCACCTTCCAATGGAGGGAACATGGGTTCCTATCTTCTAGATAGATCTTATATTCAAGGTGCCTTTTTTGATTCTGTCTTATACTAACCCTGGGCTGTTAATGGTTTCTGCTGGTCATCTTACACATAGACTTTTACTCCATGCATAAGGTCTGAACAGTTTACACCTCCCTTGATCTAAAAGAGGAGAGGATTGAGTAGTTATTAGAAGATGAAGATTTACTATGTAATTTCATATTAGCCTTTCTTCTTAAGAGAATTTGTTGGGGTATCCAAATCTTATATTAAGCTACTTCCTGCAGGCCCTCTTTGTGGCTACTGGTGTATTTTTTAATATACAATAATACAGATAAAATTTTCTTTATGTTCAGTGCTAAGGAACTATTCATTTCATTTACTTTTTTTATCAGATGTTGCTTAACTGAAGCAAACCTGCTATTGGGAATTTTTGTGCTATCAAATAGTAAGTGATGACCTGGTCTTATTATAATATTATTGGCAATATCCTAAGACATTACTCACATTTATTATTTTCATAGGCTATAGATTATACCTGCCGAATTGGTCAAATAGCCATCATTTTGTCCAGGTAAGATTTTTTCCCTTCCTAGCATGGTGTAGACTCATTATTCTTGGGTCCAGGTGGGAACAATTAAAAGGACAGAGCTCTTATTTCCGTTCATTCTGTCACTCCTTGGTCCCCACATAACTTTACTGAGTAGGAAGCAACAAATATGTAATCACTGATTTCATTTTCCCAGGTAAAATAGGCAAGCAATTTGAAGTTACAGATTGGGTTTTAGCCCCAGTTCTGCAGTTAACTGTATGTGACCTTGAGTGAATATTTTTCCTTTAAGTCTTTTGCCTTCTAATTCTTTTTCATATATCATGAAAGCTATAATAGATAATTTTCAAGAACTTATTCACCTTTATAACAGTGGGTGAGACTCTTTTACTAAACTCAGAAAGGATCTGGATCTCACCTAAAGTGATGGTCACATTGAGTTGATTTTAGACATCGTTCTCTTTTACTCCTGTATCTTTTCCAGTTATAGAAATCTGCATATATTATGCTGGATAAATAACTGTTTGCCTAAGGCTGTGTTTTAGAAAAATTCTCAGGGAACAGACAGATCACACAGCTCTTTGGTAGATGTTTTTCATTTCATTTTGACCCACTTGGTTTTTTAATCTGATGGTGCAACTCCCTGAGTGCATGCTTAGTCACTCAGTCTTGTCCGACTGCGACACCATGGACTGTAGCCTGCCAGGCTCCTCTGTCCATAGAATTTTCCAAGCAAGAATACTGGAGTGGGTTGCCCTTTTCTGCTCAGGGAAACTTCCCAACCTAGCAACTAAACTCACATCTCTTATGTCTCCTGCCTTAGCAGATGGATTCTTTACAACTTTGCCACCTGGGAAGCCCACAGCTCCCAGAGACTCTCTGTGAAAATCTGTTAAGTTTTATTAACCTAGATATAAAATTATTTCCTGCTTCATTTCACCAGGAACTTGAAAAGAAAGTATACTTAAAGTTTTTTAAGTATTTTTCTTGAAGAAATGAAATGTGTTTGTTTTCATGGAGAGTGGGTAGGGTAATGGTATTGGGAGAAGGATAGGAGAATATTTTGCACAGGGAAAAAGGCATAAAAAAGTCTGAATATTAGGGTGATAATTTTTTTTTCCTCCCAGTCTGATACCTCTACTGTTGATGGTACCTGTATTCTGTTTGGGCAATGTCAGTGAATGTTTCCGCAACTTCAGCCAGAGCCACAGGTAAGTAAGGACCAAACCTATCATTTTCATGGTAGGCTACACCTATTCTTTTCTATAAATTAAGATGGAAGAAGACTTTGTACATCCATGCTGGCCAGGGTACTTGTATTTTAAATGGGCTATGGTTAGGGGCTATAGTCAAGGCTAAAAATACATTAGGTAGAAATATGACATAAAATGACTAGATGAGAATGTTTCAGTGAGAAGGAACAAGGTATTATGGACAAGGCTCAGCTCGATGATAAGTAAAATTATATACTCATTAACTTTTGTTGCACCAAATGGCTATCTCTCTTGTCTTACACCTATAGCAACACTCCTGACCATTGATTCTCTTCCTAGGTGTATCCTGATGTACTCACCACCACCAGCCATGGCTGAGCTCCTGCCTTCTGCCAACACATCAGTCTGTAGAGCACTTTATTTTTATGGACTCATCATTTTCCTGGCCAGCTTTGTACTCAGCTTCTTTACCATTGTGGTACTGTACCTCCCTATCTGCCTTTATGGAAAGTGGGGTGGGGTGGGGTGAGGTGGCGCAATATTTACGGGCCTGGGAAAGATGTGGTACAGAGGTACTTCTTATAGTCCTAGAACCAAGAAAGTGACTGGTACATATTGGTAATTTAATTACTTCCTCAGTCTTTTGTACTTCCCAAGGTCAAATGATGAGTGGGGAAAAGAGCCTATATTCATTAGGTGAGAATTATGCTCACTCTAGAACTAGTATGTGTTCCTGTGGATCCTCATGAAGGACAAGACCAGAAAACTAGTATGTGTCAAGTATATTCTTTATATAGTATGATTTTCTGGAGCACAGAGATGTTCTTTGATTTAATTTTCCAAATAGAGTTTTCTTTTCTCGGTTCTTTATTGAATATAAATTTGCGCTTATCCTATATCTAACTGAATTTAAAGTGCTTAATGGTTCATACAGTTACTAAATACTCCTTTGATATCATCAGAATGATGGACAATTAAATAATCATCTGTGGGACAATATATTATTTATATATAACTGCCTAGGACAAAATCAGTAAGCAAGGAAATATGCCTTTTTATTTGCCAAATCTACTATTCAATATCATTTCTCCTCTTTGCATGCTAGTTCAGGGATTACAAATTATGCTTGTAGACCAACTTTATCCCACAAATTTTTTTCTTTTTGCTAGCATACCTAGCATGTGTGAATGAAATGCAATAGTGGAGTATTTTCTTTGATAATTCAAAAATAAGTTATGGAGGTAGCTTTGATCAAATCAGCAACTTTGTAAAGAAAGCACAGTGACTACTTTATGTTAAAATGGCCTTGATGATTTTCACTTAGAACTGATTGACAAGAGAGACAGGTCTCCCAAAACATGGGAACCTGGGGATTCCTGTTTGCTCCTTCAGAGTAACCCAGACTTCAGTGGACATTCAGAACTGGCATTCTGATTCTTTTTTAATCAGCAGATGGTGAACTGATTTCTACTAGACATAAATAATCTCAAATCAAGTTTCGTCCTCCTTTTGACTCCTGTGTCTCTGGGTAAAGGAAAATACATGACTGAACTTAAGGAATAGGATTATTAACTTAGACAGTAGATCTGGATTATTGGAAAAAAGTTTCAGATTTGGTCACATTTTATTTTTTTGTTGTTTTACTTGTTTTAGTCATTAAAGTTGTGTCCAACTCTTTTGCAATTCCATGGACTGTAGCCCCACCCAGGCTCCTTTGTCCATGGGATTTCCCAGGCAAGAATACTGGAGTGGGTTGCCATTTCCTTCTCCAGGGAGATCTTCCCAGCTCAGGGATAGAACCCACGTCTCCTGCATTGGCAGGCAGATTCTTTACCACAGAGCCACCTGGAAAGCTCAGGTTTATTACCTAATTTACTCCCCCACAGAAGAGATATTTAACTGATTTATATTTATTTTGTTAACTAAAGCGTATTCAAATTGCTCCCAATTGGAAGGGAAAAACAATCTGTTTTCCATCTAAAGATAGTAAGAAACTTCCTAAAACTGTTTTTGTTGGAAGCTGAGAATATTAAGCTCTGTCAAGTGCTAAAGTATTTATTTAAAAGGTATTAAGCTAGAACACTGTCTAACACAACCTCTAAGAAAGTGTTTTACAAGAGAATCTGGTTAGGTCTTAGTTTAACTTCCCATGCATATTGCAAGTAACCTCATTGAGAAAAATAAAAGCCTTAAGGTCGATGTAAATTTTACATACTGAACATGATAACCACAAGTTTGACTAACATTTGTCCATTTCCCTGGCCAAGCAAAAGATCACTCTGGAGAATTTTCTCTCAAAAAAAAAAAAAAGAAAAAGAAAAACCTGATCTCAGATGGCAAAGACAATAATGATAAGAGGATGGTCTTTCCTGCTGTCAGATCCTAAGAGAAGGCTTTCTCCAAAATGACAGACTAGACAGGGAAGTTTTAGTAAGCGTTAGGCAGACTACTCACTGGTATAACCCATGTTTAGGTCTTACTCATTCAAGCCCAGACACTTTACAAGAAGTTTCTGAAATCGACTGGCTTTCTGGGGAGTGAACAGTGGGCAGTGATTCACATCATGGAGCTGCGAGTACGCTTCTACCCAGTGGCCTTCTTTTGCTGCTGGAGCCCAGGTGGGTATCTTAACTGAAAGATCTGGGCAGTGAAAAGGGTAATTGTTAGACTGTAATCAAGCAAAGTAGTTTCACCAAGAAGTTTGACTACAAATTCCTGTCCAGCATATAAAATTGACTTTGGTCCCACACATATTTCCAGTTTTTCTCAACCTCCTTAACTTCTTTTCCTTCTTATGTTTTTAGAAATTGAGATAATTAGATGTGAAATAATATGAGAGGAAATGTCATGACAGAACTCAGAGATATTAACACTTGCCCTTCCTACTATACAGTTATAATGTGAGGATCACATTTGATAATATTTATGAAAAGGCTTGATAGACATAAGTTAAAAATTGTAACTTATGTCCCTCCTATAGTATGTCTTGCTTCCATTACTACTCTTAATAATCTGCAAAGTTTAATCACTGAGGAATAGCAGTGGAGACCTGCTATTGGAGGAGACCAGAAGCCAGTGGTTTATATAACTGGTTTATCTCACTGCTAGTCTTCGTTATGTCTATAATTCTCACAGTGCTTAAGTGTTTATATTGAAAAAAATGTATGCGCAGGTACCCAGAATTGGCAACAAGATCTGTGCTTCATGTTTTCACAGCTGTCATTCTGATGATCATAAAACTGACAAAACTACAGGACGCTAAACTTCATATGGCCCTCTATGTTCTCCAGGTAACATCTTCAAAAAAACACCCAGCATGTCTGTTCTTACACTTTCTTATCCTGTTCTCTTACACTGCCAAAATTCAGTAAGCACATTTTTCCCCCCTTAGGGTATTTCTTTTTACATTGCAAGAGAAAAATATATTATTTACATTCAGTCCTGAAAAATGTGAAAATTTCCTCATTGATGACGTAGATATCTTTATGAAAGTGCTGCCATGAATTTCAGAGCTTGTGTGTCTCTAGCCAATTTCATTTTATTGATGTGTTTTTTTAAGGGATGGGTAACAAAAGACAAGCTCTACCAGGTAATGTTCTTATGAAACACTAATAGTGACATGATTGTCTCTCATCCAGAGTGAAATGAATAGATAAATTAGCTGTCCTAGGTGAACAGAAAGAAACAAAGAAAAGAATGATTCCTTCCCTCCTTGTCAGATTTGAGTAGGTTTTTTGGGCTCTCAGACGATGCTGCTTGGCAGTTTCCTCAAGCATAACCCAGGAAATGGGGCAATGAGGTGGGGCATTGAAACCACTTCATTGTCTGTATGTATATAGTAAGAAATATGACTAACTCTCATGACAAAGAACAGTGTGAAAAGTGAGTTCAGGAAGAGATGAAAAATGGTTTTTAAAAACAACACCAAATCTTGATTTTTGAAGTGAATATAACAATGATTATAAATAAGAGGAATGGAACTCTTCCCCAAATCTCTGAAAACCTGAAGGATGGGCTCCATCACCCCTTCATCTCCTCCAGGCTCTAACAACATCATCTCAGGGTCTGCTCAACTGTGGAGTATATGGCTGGACACAGTACAAGTTCTACCAACTAAAGCAAGAAGCTCGGCGTGATGCAGACACACAGACACCATTATTATGCTCACAGAAAAGATTCTATTGCAGGGGCCTAGATCCGTTGGAGTCAACTCTTGCTTTTGCTACTAGCACCTCTACCATTCTTTGAAACTATAAAACTAGAACATCCAGAACTGGAATTATTCTGCACTAATGGTTTGGGCAGAGTGTTTGCGGCCAACATCTTAAGTCTTTTCTAACCGTGCCTTAAGATATAGAAGTGAAAGAGAATATACTACCATGATTAGTAGCTACTCTAGTTGAAGTGGGTGGAATCTATTATTCTTAGATTCACAGATTAAGTCACTGTTCAGGGAGATGAAGCTACTTTCCACCTAAGAGATACACTCATATTACTTGAATAGATATTAGATTTGTGGAGTCTCTTCTGGAAAAAAATAAATTCCAAGTTATTATTAGTTATTATTTATACAGAGTATTTCCAGGCCCTCTACTGTGGTTGTGGGAGAAGCAGTGTGGCATGTGACAACTTTCTTAGATATTTACATTGCTCTTCCTTCCATTGTACAAAGAAAGTCCTGGTTTTACATTGTTTGAACAGAGTTTTGGAAATTCAGAAAAAACAAGGACAGAAGGTGTCAAAAAATTGATAGGGAGATCCTCAGACACTCCACATCCTAGTCTCATGTATATTCCATGCTGTTCTAGGTCTTAACAGAAACCATTCCCTTCTAGAAAGTTAAGGCCAGTCTTTTGAAGTTACAGTGGATAATAAGATTTAAGAGAAATCAGGACTAAAAACTGAATCAGAAACTTCTCAATTTACATTTATAAGCAGAAATCCTAGGTTGTAGGTTTCATAGTGCTTGGATGTAGAATTAGATTGAACATTATGAACTTGCCATTTTTTTAGGTTAAAGTGGTCTAATGTTGTTTATTTTACATGGTTCAACCTGACTGGAAGTGCTAAATATATGTTTATTGAATAAATGAATAAACAGGTGAATGACTGACTAACAAGTAGAATTGAACCTTTGGGAAAGAAAAGACTCCCACACTGAAGAGGCTCGTTCTGGGTAGGGATGTTTAATGTTTCTTCCTCTTTAGTCACGTAACAAATGATGTTTGGTTTCTCCAGTTGTCATGAGCAAAGCCAAACCAGGGCCAGGGCATCAGATGCTGTGATGCCTAAACAAAGGGGAAAGCCAAATGGACAAAAACTAGAACGATAATCAACTAAAACACCTGGAATGTTTATTAAATCAGATACTTTTTGCCTAATATATTTCCTTGGCCTGTGCAAGGCAATATCGTTAAGATTAGAGAAAATTGACAGAGTAGATTATAATGGGAGATAAAACAGTATACAATATATTAGAAATATATTAGATAATATATTAGAAATCAGTCCTGAATATTCATTGGAAGGACTGATGCTGAAGCTGAAACTCCAATACTTTGGCCACCTGATTAGAAGAACTGATTCATTAGAAAAGACCATGATGTTGGGAAAGATTGAAGGCAGGAGGAGAAGAGGACAACAGAGGATGAGATGGTTGGATGGCATCACTGACTCAATGGACATGAGTTTGAGCAAGCTCCGGGAGTTGGTGATGGACAGCGAAGCCTGGTGTGCTGCAGTCCATGGGGTCACAAAGAGTCGGACACGGCTAAGCAACTGAACTGAACTGAAGACAGTATACTCTGAAAAGTAAGTACCAGAGATCTTTGCAAAGTAATTCTCAATAGAAATGTTGTTCAGTTGCTAAGTCATGTCTGACTTTTTGCGATCCCATGAACTGCAGCATGCCAGGCTTCCCTGTCCTTTACTATCTCCGGGAGTTTGCTCAAATTCATGTCCATTGAGTTGGTGATACCATCCAACCAATAGAAATGTTAGGGAACTCAATAACAGCTCTTTAGGTTTTAGGCCATGAGCTTCAGCCTTTCTAAAGATGGTAACCTGACCTCATTCTATCAAGATATATTGAGGCCTCTCAGGGTGTGTAGCACAGATTTTTGGGTAGCACAGAATGAGAAGGATACCTCACCTAGAGAGCTGCCTTCACTTCTTTTAATTTAAAAACTAGTAAGAATTCAGTGTATAGAAAGACAGATGGAAACAAGAATTCTCCTTTCGATAGACCTTGAGGGATACCTGAAGTAAGGAGCCCATTTCTTAAAAAGTCCTTCATAAGACTTTATTTCCAAAAAGAAGATAATTATCGAATGTCGGTCAGGTTTGTTTATCTTCTCTGATGAATTTTTTGCATTGACACTGGTCTTGGATATTCTATAGATGTAGCAAGCAAAAAGATAGTAGGAATGAAAAATAATATAAGGTTAGGAAAGATTAGGATTATAAGCTCTTCATTATACTGAGAGTAGGAGGGCCACTATTCAAACTACCCCTCTCGCCCTTGAATTCACATGTAGGAGGGGCATAGACATAGATACAGTGGCAGTTCTTAAAATTTCTGCGAACACCCCTCCCGTGACTCTGATACTTGTCTAGGTTGCAGTCCTAGTGGGATACAGTGATATCTATGCAGCTTTGATTAATACAGATCTTTCTTGGACCACATGTTGTATCATCCTTCACCTTCCGCTCATTAGCCCTGTCTGTGGCTTCAAAAATCTCTGTATTGCACCACCACGTGTCCTGCATGGGGAAATGGGTAAGTGTTTGAGGTTTTTTTCAATGCATGAGAGTCTTTGGATATTTTCACATAGGCACCTCCCACATTTTACATCTTTGGCGTTGCACTGGCCGAAGACTTCACTGCCACATTTCCAAAACCTGTTTTCCTTGGTATTCATTCACATTAGCAACTTTCCTGGGCAACATTTGTACCCCTTTCAAAGATTTTAACACAGAGATTCTCTAGGCTTCAACCCTGGCTTTGCCAACAATAACCTTGTTCCTTGCAAAGGGTGCCATTTTGCTTGTAGATATCTGTGTGGCACCACGTGTGGTGCCATTACAGTATTTTGGGAGGTCATGCTCATCCACACTGAGGTGGCAGGGTGTTGTTGTCTTTAGAGATTTGTGGTTTTTGCAGCAAGATCCAAATGCAAAATCTGAACCCTTCTTCAGCTGGCATGAGGGCAGACAACAGTGATTCTTTTGAAGAACACTGCCATGGTCACATTCTTCGCCCTTATCTACTGTCTTTTTCCCATAGTATGGCTTTCGAAAGAAGCTTTGGGCCTCAGATTTATTAAATAGGCAGCCCTTTCTGTGCAACAACTTGCGGAAATAGGGAAGCTGCAGTTGCTGAAGCTCATATCTACAATAATAAATTCATGGGCCGTATAGAGATTCTGGCCATGGAATTTGCAGACCACATGGTCATGCTTCATTCCCAAGTGATGGCCAACCTGATGAGCTATGAAAGATGTGACGTTTGATGTATCTTTTTGAAAGAAAGATTCATCAAGGTTGCATTCTTGGCAGTGCAGATACCACAGAAATAAATGCATGGCCCAGGTAATTCCCCAAACTTTGGCCAGTAGTCATATGAGCAGCATCATGTTCACTTCTCCCAAGAGATGCCAGTTTCTCTAGTGGTTAAAATTTTTAAGTGTTTCCTACAAATTTAGTAAGATTTAAACAATGGTTTTTTTTCTGTCCATATCTGTGACTTAGAAAGTACCACTTTCATGTTATATCCTGGTGTACCTGTTGACCAGTGGAGAAGGAAATGGCAACCCAATCCAGTATTCTTGCCTGGAGCATCCCATGGATAGAGGAGCCTGGCAGACTTTTAGTCCATGGGGTCTCAAGAGTCAGATACGACTTAGTGACTAAACCACCACCACCACCTATTGACCAGAGCATGGAATCTGTTATCATCTTTGGGATCTTGGTAACTTACTATTCCTGCATTTGGAATCACGGTCAACCACAGTCAACTTGAACACACTTGGGAAGTGGCCACATATAAGGCATAGGAACTGAGGAAGTCTTGTTCTGTTCTGAAATTGTGAAATGCTTAAGAGTTCCTCTTGTTTATCTTCATGGATTACACAAAACTAACCTGAGTTTGAAGATATGCCATAAACCATATGCTGAGGATGTATAGGCTTGATGCCAAAGACAGTGCCATATAAGGTCAGGATTCCCTTTTGACCTGAGCAAGGGCTGATTATCACAAAAGAATCCAGGTCATCCTCTGAATACTCAGTCATCCTGAATAAAAGCAAGACTAGTTTCCCATTTTGACATGTATGAAGAGGGAACTTGTATAAAACAGAAACAAATAATCCTTTCTTTTGCTTCAAATTGATAATAATATGTCATTTCCCTTGTTTGGGCAGGACTTTGTACACTTTTTCTGCTGTTGCTTCTTCTCCTCTGAATATCTTCTTCTCCTCTGATCCTGATGATTCCTAGGAAAGACTTTTATAATAAAGAGATTCCCACTACAGTGCATCCCTGGAAGAACAGTCAGAATTACCAGTCAAGTGACACTAGGCTTAATATGGGAAGGGCCCATTCTCAAATGCCCTGAATGGGATTCCTAAAAGAGAAATCACTCCAAAACGTAACCCATTATCACCTGATTTCGTAGAAGAAAGGATAGGAGGCAGGCAAAATAACAAACTGAGGGCATCATTATCATGGCCCAGGTGAAACAGCAAATCGATTGTGAGTTGATTTCCCTGGGACACAATTATTTGTCAGTGACACAGTTGTTTGGACAAAGATAAAAACTATGCTGCCTGCAAGACTAGCTGCTCCACCCTCAGAGTGCTACATGATGACACCTACGTTTTGTCTATGTCACTTCCTATTCCTCTCGAGCTCTCGCTCTTTATGGGTGTCCTCACTTTGTAACCACCCTCAAAAAACAGCAGTTGTAGTACTCTTTAGCCGAGTTCCTGCTGTCTTCATAGAAGGGCATATCAAGGAGAGGAAACTTAGACGTCCAGCCACTACAGTGGTAACAGATCAGACCCTAAGAAAAGAAAAATATATAACCTTTTCCCTCAGTCCTAGTTTCTGTGGAACAGACTTCTCCTCCTGTCATCTAGTATGCTTTTGAATTATTGACACTATAAAGTTTCCAGAGCAGGGGTTTGTGGATTTCTGAGTAAGCCACCAGCCTCTGCTGTTTAATGCCGTTTACACCATTCTCTACTCTA